GAGGGTCGATAGATGAGATGGACGCTTGAGACCGGAGATGTCTCAACGAGAAGGAGGACGAACGTGTGTGGGGAGGTATAAAAGGCAGTGCCGGCGTTGGAGGTGGTTCGACCGGAGGGCGTGAGGATGATGTCGAGGTCCGACCACGCCGTATGGAGAGGCTTGACAGGGAAGGATTTCGTCGTGAGCGACGCCGGATGGGTGCTGATACCGACGTTGTCCGCCGGTTTGTTTCCGCAATAGCTTCGTGATAGTCATCCAACTTGAGATCGAGATCTCCTTCATCCTCCAGCCATCGAAAACCGTCCATTGAGTAGTCACCCATGTCAACAGCAGAGTCAACCCTCGGTTGGTCTTTCAGCTCTTCACAGTCAGCAATGGAGGCGTCGTCATCAGAACCCTGGCGTTCAAACACGGTAGTGTGACCGGGATGCCAACTGCGGCGACGGAGTGTTTCGTCTGCGGAATCGAGGATGATTGTGTTTCTCTCTTGGGAGTAGAACGAGCACTCTTCCCGCGAGAACAACTTCCTTTGGACGGCAGGGGGCAAGGAAGCGAACCAAGCGACCGTGGTTGGGGTGATATCTGCTGCCGAGCAGCGCCTCCTCCGCAGTCTCTTGACGTTCAAGAAGTGTCCGGTCTGTGTGATTCCGTGGGTCAGGATGGTGAAAGTGTCGGAGGTTTGGGTCGTGAAGCCAACATTGTTTGTGGGATGAATTGAGAGTCGGGAAGGGGGCCGTGAGAGGGTTCTGCCATCTTCGGCGAGTCTGAGACGTTCTAAACTACTAAAATACTGGTGCAACACGTATGTTAGCTCGTGGACCTGCAGAATAAGCGATCGAATGAGGCTGTTATTTTTCTCTAACGGTCGCAAGAGACAAGTCGCAAAGGTGGAGGAAGCTCTGTTGGATGCCGAGTAGTGTTGGTAGTGTTGGTGGTCCCTGCTTCGAGGTTGGAGGACCGTGCCGCGCCCAGGCAGCCTAAGGGCTCTTTATCTGGACTAAGGTCGACATGCCTAAACTCCAAGCGTTCAAAGCCCGGAGTGCTGGCGTCCGATAGTGGTGATAGCGTGGATTCGGTGTGTGTGGTGCCGGTGAATGATCACCAGAATGACGTGGGATGGCCCCGGAAAGGATGGGTCCTGTTTCCAGAGATGGCAGTGATGGGCATCCTCCTTGCGGGCTCGCATGCCTTTGGCCTGAAGATCATGTTGAAGATCCCGTTTCATCCACCATGGAGAATCCCTAGGCACCCAGCCTAGGGATGGCGGGAAAAGATGGTTGTTTGCAGTGGTAAGTTGGATTTACCAGGAGACTCTGAATGCCTACCGAAATGAGGGAAAGAGAGATTGGACAGAGGCTAACTCACTTTTCGGATCACCACTGGAGGCAATGTATCGAAAGCCACATCATTGGGAAACGAAGGGCGTCGAGAGTTTCGCATCATTGTAGCAAAGGTTGCAGAATTGTTGGAAAACCTTTGGGCTAACAGTTATTGTGGTGTAATATTTGCTCCGCACTGGGGTTTCGCTGCATATTTCTCTCGTGTCTTGCACGCGTTTTTCCCCTCCCCAAGAGAGACGATTTTCTTCGGGTAGCTCAGGTGGCGGTCGGTCCGAAGATTGGTATGCGTAGGTCTCCCTTTAGACTTCGAAAGCCCCAAAGTGTGCCTGGAAGTGTGGCAGTGATCGACCCTAATTGCTGGATGTCCTTGTTGTGTACACAGTAGCCTAGTCTCTCGCTTCTGCACAAAGAGGCTTAGGTGGGTGGACAATTGAGGAATATGGAGACCTGGGGTGAAATTAGGAAAGTGTATCTGTAGAGAACGAATGACGATTATAGTAATAATAACAACAAGCGGTAGAAGAGAAGAAGATGTAACAAGGCGATTGGGGGACGATGAGTGCAGCCATCTACCCCAGCTATATGTATTTTTCTGAAGCCTGACCCTGGAGAAATGAGCATTTCTCAAACCGTGATGTGCGTGGCCCTGGGCTGAGATTAAACTCGACTCCGCGTACGGACATGGCAGCCCTGTTCACCATGCGGATGCAGTCTAGATACAAAGCCCTGCGACGTCTGGATTCGCTGTGGCGCTGCAGTTGCTCGTCTAGACCTTACAAGGTACGCTGTCCCTCCGTCCCTGCCTTGCCTGCTCATCCTCGATTGCTGACCTTGACGTACGGGATTCGCGCCATCGGCCGTGTTTGAAACGCCCAATCCACACGAAACTCTCCTGTTGGCCCGCTATCTTCCGCAAGGCGTCCTCGTGGTTCTTGCTAAGCGACACCAAGGTTCATGCCACAACGCGAAACCAAACCGACAGACGTGAGATGCCGGCGAACCCACTGAAGCCAGCAAACGAACTGCTGCAGACAGTCTAGAATCCCGCTTCCACATCAGGTAGCCGATATATTGTGCCACCAATTTATCTCACGAGCTCCCACCATGTCCTTTCATGCCAAAGGGTCTCGACATGGCGCACATAAAAGGCAGAGGACATGGCGCCCCCGGAGAAGGGTAGAAGTTTTGAAAAGATGACCCAAGTCAAACAAAACACATCAATCAGTTGTGCAAGTCGACATGTCATATTCTTTGACGAGCTTCAACTGTCGAGATGACCCTTCGCTTCGAGACCAGATTTCCTGCGGTTCAGCTACTTCCTCTTCGGCGGACTAAAAGATTTGGTGCGGGCGTTTGGCGCCTGAACCCGCGTGGCAGGCAGGGATCAGAGAATATCTTCCTACCATCCCATGCACGGCATACTACAATTTGTGGCTGCAAAGAAGTCTCAGATGTCAGGAGATCGGAATGTCAGCAAGCGAAGAGGCGCACGGGAACGCCGTAAAAACTCCAGACCTGGTTGAACAAATTGCTGTCAAGCTGCAGCCAGATCAGTTTGAAATTTCAAGTCGCTGCCCCCTTCCAACACGCTGCGGTAACCACATTCGAAAGCTGCACGAGCTGTGCAACCATCTGAAGGGACAAAGCCAGGACGAATTGTTCGCGAACGCTGCCCTATCCTTGAAGGAAGAAATTACATCTCGGACTGACACCGGGAAATCTACGCACCAGGTTATCGATTCGCCTGGTAAGTTCTGACTGTACCACTGTTTGTTTTGGGAAGTATCTCTGCTGCATCGTCTCCGAGAAGGTGTCATACCACGGTACCTCGTACTTGTATCTGGCCAGCCCTTCGCACATCCTCGCCGCTTTTTATGCTATTTTTTGGCGGTCGCTCTCCATCCCCACCCTTTCTTAGGTCAGAACGGGAAGCACTGATAGGGACCACTGGCATCCAATACGAATAAATGGAATCTAGTCTACGTGGTAGCGTCCGTCATCGAAATGTCTTCTCAGCCCTGTGTCCCAGTTGGCGATTTATCAAGTTCAGGTCGTCGCTCTTTCTTGGCTTCCTGGGTGGACAACAATTCGCCAGACGCAGGCCATTTAGCGAGATGCAGTAGCAAGCTCGTCAGGTACATTTCGGCTCGCAAAGAGCTAACCGGTACGAGGATTCAGAAGCGCAAGCCGACAAAACAGGCACTTGTCCCTTTGTGATCTCAAATTAGCATTCAGCTCGTCCGCAACTGTTACAATTATACCCATAGCTCATCATGTAGGCAATTATTTCCGGTGTCTTTAACCAGGCACGCAAGGTCAAGGTGGCTAGTAAGCCGGCGGAGTGAGTTGTGGTGCGCAAACCTTGAAGAATTAAATCCAGATTTTGGGTAAAGCTACTGCCGGTTCTGGCAACGTCATCACTCGCCAAACTTTCTGGGAAGTCAGGAAGTGTAGCCGATTCCCCTCGCCACATACAAAGGCTACGGAATAATTCATGGCATAAGGGGCTCGACTCAAGTATCCTGGTCCTCGATTTACTCTAGAAACGAATCGCTGTGGACTACTCGGTACTCCGTAAAAGGTTCAAAATGTCAACAGGAGATTTCGACCAGTCAACCAGTGCCTGTTCTCGTCATAGGCACGAGGAAGGGGTACCTTAGGTCGTCAAAAAAAAAGGGGGAGCTCCGGGCCAAGACAAGACTACCATATTGCATCTCCCGTGGCTGTTTTAGGAGAGACGAGATCGACCAAACGAAGGACATTTAGGAGGTGCGCAGCAACAAAACAAGTACTTTAGTCTCTCGGACACCGTGCTGGATATCAAAAGACTCCGAGAAGGAGATTTTATTTTAATTCTCAAAAATGGTGCTGCAGATTCGGGCGTCCCAATGTGAACTCCGGTGACTGGGAATGCCAGGTGTAGGTCCGAGTGCATAAACAGTATAGAAGAAAATCTGCAGGTCTCTGAAATGTCCGGCCCCCGTGGCCAACCATGATGCGGTGCCTGGAACAAGGTCTCATTATTAATGGTGGGACAGAGTCAGCTGGACGCACTCCAAGTGGTGGTCGTTGATGGCCTCTGAGAAATGGGTGGCGCCGGTTGACGAGGACGACGCTCAAATCGAGGCTGAGGAACCAGGGGGGGAGATGGGGGGGACGGGGCCCCCTATTCCGCAACACGTAAGGCTTCCTTAACGTTGCTCGTGCGCCTGGGGGTTTCCTGCGCCGGCTAAGCTTCTAGGCTGGGCGCTAAGTGGCCGAAATGGGCCTCACACCGTCTCGTGTGTCACGGTTGGCACCCTTAACACCCTTAGCACCATTGGCATCATTGGCATCGCAACCTTCCAAGCCAACGCCGCCGCGTTGGCGGCGCGGTTGACGAAACCACCCCCCGTGTCATTGTCTCAAACAAGCAGTCAAATCAACATCTGCGGGTTTTTTCTACGCTCTCTCTCCTGGATTTTATTTCGGTCGTCTACCGCTCGCACTGGCACACGTACTTCTCTCCACTACTGTACAAAGTAGAAAAAAGTCCTTCGTTCACCTTGTATCTTGCCCATCGCCCTTGTATTAATACATACCTGTGCGACTCAGCTCCACCGCGCCTCTGATCTTGCTTCCTCTGTGCCTCAACATCAACATCCCTACTAAAACAAGATGCGTTTCGCACACGCGATAGTCGGCGCACTCTGCGCAGTCGTGGCATATGCACAGAACAATAATGCCATCAGCATTCCTGGCGGTCAGGGTACTCTGGACGTGACGGCAGGCCAACCCCTTACAATAGAATGGACCAATCCCTCAAGCGGCACGGTTACCATCAAGCTGCAGCAAGATCCCATCACCCCTGATTCCGGTGTGGTCCTGGCGTGTATGTGAACACCTCGACTGTGCTACAGCTTTCTACATTGGATATCTGCTGACCCTGACCCTAGCAAACATCCCTGCCTCTGCCCTGACCGCAACTCTTCAAATTCCTCCTGCGGAAGACGTCAACTCCCACGTCTACACGATTGAGATCATTGATGACACTAACCCCAACAACATCAACTTCTCTCCCAACTTCGGCATCCAAGGCGCTACTGGAACTGCCACTGGTGTCGCCACTGGCACTGCCACCTCCACCGGCACTGCGACCACCTCTGGCAGCACCGATACCTCATCCGGCACGACCACTGGCACGGACTCTTCAACAATTACATCGACGGACAGCCTCACCTCCTCGGAAACAACGACAGCGAGCAGCAGCGACAGCAGCAGCAGCAGCGAGAGCTCCGCGAGCACCACCAGCTCTGAGCAGACGACCACCTCAACGAGCTCTGCTTCTCCAACCGAAACCACTCCGGCTCCGGATTCCAACAGCAACGGGGCCGGCAGCTTGAAGTTCCAGGGAAGTCTGATGGCCATGGCCGTTGGATTGGTTGCTGCCTTGTAAAGTGTTCAAAGACCAATTCTGACACCCAAGTCCGATTCTCTTGTACAATCTTGACATCCACTTCACCTGCACGTGGAAATACTTCGCGGCAGCCTGTGTTTATAGCATCCCTGCTCAGATCCGGGCTTCGGCTTTTATCCTAAACCGTTGTATTGACTTCGACAAAGAGGAGAAGGATCTTTTGGTGAGGTCGGGTGGCACTGAATAGCTCACGAGGTGACAGTACAGGGTTCGTGGAGCATAATGGGCATGTACATGGATTTTCAGCATGGCGCTTGTTTGATCAAAAGGAGGCACCGGAGCTGGATCCTAGATAACAGGATGTTGCACTTTGCATAGCACTGAAAGGAATAATAAAACATGTCAATTGCGCAAGTGTTGTCTTTTTGTAAGTGCAACCCAACACGACTGTAGATGGGAACCTGGTGAAGATGTATAAAGGGAACGCATTCCCTCGGAAAGGCCGCGGCGAGAAGGAAGGGAGGCACAGAGGCACGGAGGGTAGGTACCTTGGGATACCAGGAAACAACAAACAGAAACAGAAGACGGCATGCACAAAAACGAAAGGGACAACACAGAGAAGGAAGGAATGTGGATAACAAGACGCAGACAAGATTGTCGTTTTCACTCGCGCAGGCGCAGGCGCAGGCATAGGCAGGCACATAGATGGATGACGCTGGAGGTGATACCCACCGATGAGTATCAGGTTGGTAGATTGGTAGAGGAACGTACTCGGACAGATCAGGGAGCGTGAAGATAGAGGAGAGGAGGGGGGAGGAGAGGAGGGGGGAGGAGAGGAGGAGAGTAGAAGAGAGATAGAAGTTACACCACTTCCCTCCCTTGCTTGCCTACTGCCTACCTACCTAGCTCAAGCAAGCGGCTACGAGTACGAGGTAGACAAGAACAAGACCAAGCAGGAACTGTTTTCCCACGTCGATCCTCACTGTCTAGCTGGTCTGGCCAAACCCCTCCCTACGATAAATCTGTCCGTATCCGTATCTGCATCTGTACGAGGTATCTGTGTTGACATTCTCGTTTGCACATGCGAAGCGATCAACCAGCTACCCGGATCCGTCCATCCCAGACAGACCAGCAACGTCTCTGCAGAGGTGACACGCATTTGCTATCCACCAGGCGATGAGGGAACTGATCAATCGAGTAAAGAATTCCACGATTTCGTTCTTCACACCGCTATTTGTCTGTTATGGTGTTTTTCTTCTTGTTCACGTTTTACGTTGCAGGTAAGGGGAGCAGGGGATGTAGCGATAGATAATGCAAGTATATCTACCGAGTAGATATCTACTCGGTATCTCGTCATTCGCCCACCTACTTTCGTCTGATTACTGGGCGAGGTAATATGTACGAGGTATGGACCCTTGGTGCCTTGATGAAAACACACACACTTAGACGTCACATCCTTGTCAATATTGTTTTCTCTGATAGATAATTTTGAGGAGTGTAGCGCACATCGCGTGGCAGGTCGGCAACTAGCAGGCGGGTAATGGCGCCTCGGGGGATGGGGGAGGTGTTATCAATCACCTAATAGGTACGACGATGGGGGAGACCGAGATGGACAGGCAGACAGGCAGCCATACATACAGATAGACTGTCAGATAGATAGATAGACGTGAAAAGAGTAGGAGAGGAGAGAAGAGATGTGAGCAAGATTGATGACTTTCCGGTCGACACTCGCCCTGCGTGTCTGCATCCACTCACACACTCACACTCTCACCTCCCTTCTCTACTTTGGTCCTGTTTCTCACTCATCCTACCCATGTGCCATCCATATCTGTTGGGCATTTGAGGAGGCTAGATCTCTCTGACTGAGCACATGCCAAGTCTAGCCATGTTCCCTCGTTGCTCATACAGTAGCTCATCCGTACCCTTGTGCTGCTGTGCCCCATGTGCCCTTTTGACCACCCTACTATGGCTCAGCTTCAGCCAGCCTCTCGAGCCACACGAGATCCAGCTCTAGCTCTGCACCGAGTACCTCGTACAACCCGTTGGGTGCTTGTCTCGGCCAGCATCGGCATCGGCGCCACCGTTTATTTACCCGAAGCATTGCCGTCCAATGATGAACATCAGGAGTAGTACTTTTTTGGTGTTTCACAAGGAGTCAAGAGTAATAGTACCTTTGTAGGTAGCCCTGGTAGCCAAGCAAAAAGTCCCTCTCTCTCCCTCTCTATCCGTGCTCATCCTCCTCCTCCTCCTTCTGCCGTGAAGTTACATAACAAGTACAAATATGTACTCCGTAGTAGCCGTCAAGCCGTCCAGCCGGTACAGGTACATCTTTCTACTTGTAATTACTTGTACTCGTAGTCCCATCAGACGTGAAGGGTAATCTACCACGAGGGCGAAGTTGGTTTTGACATGAGCCGAGTAAAAGCCGCTTGGAGCCAACGACCACAACCACCGCCGCCACCACCACCAGCGCCACTGTTACTATCCCGACAATGGTCGTCGTCACCAGTCACGCCAACTTACCTCGTATGTCCCTAATACCAAGTCAATGCCATTGTACCTACTTGTACCTCGTACTGGATACGCACAAGTCTACCCCGTACGAGGTATACTTCCACGTATCCTAAACCTCCCGTGCCAGCCAGCCACTAACCTATCCATTTCCCCGGTTCCAATCCCGACAAATGGAAGACAGCACATTCAGCCAAATCAAAAATCCTAACGACGAAAGCCGCGCATGCACCTCCCAAGTACATACAAGTACATACATAATACATGTGGTCTGAAAAAATAGGAGACTTTGGACGTCCACACCCTCTCGACCAAAAACAAGATTTTCTCTTTAGCGAGTGAGCGAGGAACGTGCATGACTCTTCGTACTTCTCTGCAATCCACTCACCCCTCAGCGTGCTGGCATGGAAACAACGGAAGTACGAAGTAAAGCAAGGCAAGGCAAAGTAAAGCGGGAGAGAGAGATCAAAGTTCTTTTCTCGCGTGGCGTCCAAGAATACCGAGATGTATATGTACGATGTATAAGGGCAACGAACCCTATGCGTGGATTTGGTGTATGATACAGTAATCTCATTTCTCATTTCCCCCTTCGCTGTCACGGTACCTCGTCTTAACTGTGGTGACTGCACTAACATGACTTCTCCATGCTAGACTCCACCATAAGAGTTTTTTCGTGCTTTGCCCCAGCGTTGAGGGAGAGGGTTGTCCACCTGGGGGGTACGCTGAGTAACCCCCATGGCGGCCGTATACTGTGTTGTCCAGCAAACAGATCTTCGTAATTCTTTTGCCCATAGAAGAGCACCACAGAATACCACCAAGGGTCCCGGTCCCTCACCCCGGTCTGGGGGTTGACCTGGGTTCTCAAGGCGTATACAGTGACAAATCCAGGCAAACTCACAAAAGGATTTTCTCAAGGCGCAAAAAGTGAAATCGCCATCACGAAGTGCAGAAATACCTCCATCAAGAAGTGAGAGTGGGGGTTGGGCGTCTTGGGGGTCGTATGGAGAGACAAACAGACAGACAGAAACGATACAACATGTGCTTTTTGCTCTTGAACCCCGACCCGATCGAGATTACGAACAAGCAGTCGCTAGTCCCTGTTAGCCACGTAGTCAAAGATGCTGAGACGGCATGGTATGGTACGAATACCGATCACACTGAGCACTCGGCTGCGGAGGAGAAAACAAGGCGTGAGTTGTCGCTTCTTATTTTTCGCCTCAAATTGCCCCAATGTCAATTTGAGATCGAACCTCTTGTGTAAACCCCCCGGGCTTGAAAAGTTGCGAAAGGACGGGAAAAGCGTCGATTTCAGATCCGCGCTCTCGATATGCTCTTGGCCCCGAGGAGACGGTGGGTGGGATCTAGCCAACCCTGGCTCGAGTGACAGAATGAGGTCCCTTCAAGTGGTACTGGCAGTGGAGGTTGGGCGCGTGGATCGTGGCAGCTCAAAGAGTCAAGACCGCGCTTTGCCTCGTGTCAACATCGTCGATCGCGACATCATCACGCATGATGATCATCATGAACTTCTGTCCCTCAGCTTTGCGATGAGTAGAGGAAAGGCGGGGAGGAGCAAGGGGTTTGGGTGGTGTGCCAATTGAAAGCATGTGGTGAGACCGACCTGCCTCAAACCTTGGACGGGGCGAGGTTGTTGTCGAGGGGAAAAGTTTTAGTCGAGAAATTCCCAAAAGGACCTCCCTGTACAAGGTGGTAATAATCTGCCCTGCCATGGTGGCGCCACATTTCACCATTGCCATCGCCCTCACCCATGTCTTTGCATGAATTTTTTTCCGGGGCTCTTGCGAAAAATCAAACTTTGCAAATGTTGTTGCCGCAGTCGCTCGACCGAGTCGCCAATCACGATCAAACGGTGAAGCCGCTGCCAACCTGTCAAGCTGGGCTGAGCCGGGCTGAGCTAGACTTTGACGCTTTTGTCATCGATCGAAAACATGTGAAGGTTCGAAATCGCCCCATCCCTCCCGTTCGCCTCCCATCGCGCCGGGATGAGCAGCATTGGGATAACGTGGGGCATTGAGACACACAGATGGCGACACAAGGATCGAGGGATCAGCCTCAGTTTCGCATGCTCAGGCTTTCCAAGTCCTTGCCAACGACTCCTCCCCTCCTCCGCCTCCCGACTGATGCGTTGGGTGCCTGTTGATCCCGTTACGTACGAACTTGTCGATATCCAGAACGTCGATCCTTTCTCCGCAAAACCCTCGTCGTCCCTTAAGGCCCTTATCTTTTGCTCGGTGGTTACACAAACCAGCACCCATCGCTGATGATGCGCATGTCGTGGAACCCTTTTTCCCCGCAAAAATTGGGACGATGGCGCGGGCGCTATCGTCCAAGGAATCACAGCATCCAATCAGCAGAAACATGCCGGGGCTCGTACAAAAGGGCCGGGGCAGATGGAGACATCCTAGTCCAAAAGTCTAGAGATGCCATTTCGGGCAGGAGCAAGAGCAAGAATAAGGAGCAAAAAGAGCCTGGGCCAACCGCCCGTGCCGCTCTCAGCAGATCGGGGGTAACCGGAGAGATAATAACATTCCATCTGATACAAGCTAATCATGGACATGTCATGCGTTCTTTTGTTCGTACTTGTACTATCAAAAGTGGAATGTCAATGGGCCACTAGGGCTATGCCTCATTCCCCCCTGGTATGTAGACGCATATTGTGACATGCCTTGGTTGTCCTGGCGAAACCGAGGGCCGAGCATCCTCCAAATAGCATCCTGGAGGCAGGTTGTTGCTCGGTGAGCACTGCGTAGTTGGCGCACACGAGCATCCATTCCCTGCATGTGTCAATCCTTGTCTGCGGTTTCTCCCGACATCGTCTCCCTCCGCAATCTGCCCATGTCCCTCTCGGGGTTCTTTCACCTTCTCTTCTATTGGTACCGCAAACCATCTATATAAGTTTCGCCAGGGTCCTTTTCTCACCCAACTCAGCCTTGTCCGATTTCAGCCGAACCAAAGTCCCCGATCCATATCCATCTTCATATATACAAAGCTGTGGGTGGCTCCGCCAAATTTGCTGTAGTCACCTGACTCTGTGTAAGAGCATTCCAAAATTCCCATGTTCAATTTCCGGCCACATTGTGATACTGTAAACCTCTCAATGAGAATTTGGCTTGCATCCATCGTAGTACCGTCATTAGGGTCGTAGTGTTGTGAAATTTCCAAAAACGCCGCGCTATGCTGCTGGGATAAAACATCGCCGGATTTTTTTCCCACCCAAATATGGTCGTTTAGCAATTTTATCTTCGATTCCAGCCCACATTCCATACCACATGAGCAATATCTCTGAAGGTATTGACGGCGTACATGGCCTGCCCGAAAAGGGTGTTGTTCATGGCCACTTCGTCGTCGTTTTCGTCGTAGGGCATGAACATACCGGACTCGGTGCGTCTCATTGTAGGGTGATTGTCGTTGCCGTCATCCTCTTCGTCATATGGGGACCGATCGTCCCCAAAGGAAGACTGAGGCTGCCAAGGCTCATCCACCACTTCCGGATCGTCATCAATTAGAAAGTTCTGGTGCGGCCTAGGAGGCCGCAAGGTCTCCTGGGATGGTGAGGGTGATAGTTTTCGGGCCGTGGGCCAAAATCCATTCGGCGGGTTAGGAATCTCGTGAGGCTCAGGGGTATCGGTCCTGTACTTTAACGTAGTAGACGGCAACGGGACAATCGTCTTGGACTCGTTGCTGAAACTGCCGCGGGGCGTTGTTCGACCACTGCTCCGACCCGATCTTTGAGCCGGGGCCATCATTAACCCACAATCATCGTCCTCGTCATCCTCGAGGATCACGTCTTCTTCGTCTGGTTTGTCGTCATCTTCGGAATCAATAGCCTGGACTTGCCTGACCTCCTCGTCGAACAAGACGTGCTTACACTCTGACGGAGTTGGCACATCAAAAGCGAACGAAGATCGGGGACCACTGAAGCCTGGGGTCTCATGCTCAGCAGGGGTGTTGACCACCGAACTGTCGTATCGTGGCAGAACAAATTCGGAATTTCCTCGTCTCAGAATAGGACGTCCACCAGCTGGGCTGGACTGCTGTATCCGGATGATATCTCCAGCTCTCTGTAACAGCGAGTGCTGGGACCTTGACCGTTCCAAGATGACTGCCGACGCCGACTTCTTTTTCAAAATGGGCTTTTTGGAGATGAAGGAAGATGAATGAGATAACCTGCTGGGGGGAGGAGATGTGGTGGTCATGGATTGGGAGACACTTCGGTTCGTCTGTAGCGGACCGTATAGCCAAGTCACGTCACAGTCTTTCAGCCAATTGAGTGTCTCGGGCGAAACCGTTTTGAGGTGGTTTTTGGCCTTCATCCACGACCTCCAGGACGCATTCTCCAGTCGAGTTCCATTGGTAAGACTACCCCGCCTGTGAACCACGTAGCTCCATGACCTCCAGATTTCTTCCTCTTTCCATTCATGTGAGAGGTAGTCGACATGTCTCGTAGGCTCTGCTTCTATTGATTGGTCGTCCTGGGTTTTCCTCCCCGTGAGCGAAGTATCGTCTGTGGGAGGACTTAGAACCTGGGTTGGAATATCGTCATGTTGTTCGGTCGAGACTGTAGTATCCCGACTCGACTTGGTCCCGTGATCGGCAGCCCCGAAGGCGGGGAATGCCATGTCGTCGTCTTCGTCCATTATATCCCTCTGATCCAAAGACAAGCAACTAGCCGGCGTCGACGCATTGGAATCCCTCCGCGAGGAATAGGTCAATTGAGGGGAAGAGGGCGCGGTAGAGGGCCCGGAGTCGGGATATACTTTGCCATAGTCGTGGCGAGAGTAGGGAGAAGTTTGGGAAGGGGGTTGGCCGAAAGATATTGAAGCGTCTAGGGCGGATAGATCAGGATATGAGCTGGAGTGGATGGGGTTAGACGAGAAATGCGAGGCCCCAGCAAGAGGAGCCTGTAGAACGGTCGTCATGAGCGGCACCTCATGAGCCCGTTTTTCCTTGGGCTCTCTTGATGTTGACGAAGCTTGACCTTGACGGTAGAAATGCTAGACCAAGTAGATAAGTGGCGTAGATTAGGTCGGTATAGATTCAGAATTGAGAACTTGAGGGTCTCTTTGGGCCGTTCGTCCCACGTCGTCTTCGGCGGCAGAGGTTTCTGTGCTTGTCCTCTGTGAGTAGGTCTTTAGACTGAGGAATTGCTTCGATATGTCAGTTACGCAAACCAACGCATAACGGACAGTCTAGTATAGAACCAGAATATGACGGCAGTTGAGGGTGGATGGTATGTAGTAGGGTAAAGCGCCCGCGGGGGTGCGGTTAGGGCGGACAATGGGCTGTTTAGAATGATCTGCGAGGACGCAGAGAGGGTTGAGAGAAGAGAAGAGATCGAGGATCAATCGGCATGGATGTGCAGGTTTGACGTTGGAAGCGAGGGCAGGAAAAAGAGGCGTTGAAAGATGTGTGGAAGGAAAGTGTGGAGTTTCAAGAGTTGTAGCGAGATGTATGTTGCGGCTTTGTGGATGGATGGAAAAAATGAGTGAGCGTGGGAACCTGTGGGCAGACTGCAGGCTGGGGTGGGGGAATCGACCTGGAGGAGGGACTGAGTCTCGAAGGATTCGATCAGAGCGAGGGGGTCACCAGCTACCCTTAGCGGCGCTATGCCTGGCTAATGTCCAGGGGGAGGGGAGTCCACAGTGGTTCTGCTTAGGTGCCCACGAAGGCGCCTCCCTAGTTACTCCTTAGGTGCTCAGGGCCCGGGTGGGAGGCGACAAAGACGATAATTGTCTGGAGCATCCCGCCGAGCCCGCGTCGAACTGTGGAGTTCCAGGTGCCAAAAGGCCAACCACAGCCAACCATAGTCCAACTACGGGAGAGCAACAGAGAGTGTTGCTCGGTATCCCGAACGCCCGTGCAGCTACAAGTAAATCCCTCCTAAGCACAGGCCTAGGCCTGGATTATTGTCCGGGGACCCGACTCTTGGAGGGTTTGCCCAAAAAGTTGATTTGAGTTGCATATCTTCCCACCTGTCGAGTCTAGGCACATGGGCATGCCTTGATTTGACTGGCTTGGGACTCGTCGGATATGACATTAGGTGCTGCAGGGTGCAGGCTCATGGCAGGAAAGCAGCCTAAACAAAGTTGGCCGCGTGGGAGGCAGGAAGGAAAGGTCCCTAAGATGACCCGGGCGGTCGTTAGATACTGCTATCATGGATCAGGGCTGGTGAATGCATGTACGGGAGAGAGATGTTGTAGAGGGGATTGGAAAATTCTCAGAGACGCAGATGCAGCCGCTACTCGTTCTGACGAGGTTCCCGTACTATCAGCGAGTCTTTGTCCGAGGCGAGAATTGCCCGTCGAGAGCTGTGAGTTGGTTTGTCCCTATAATTGATTCAGTCAGACAGGGGCAAGTAAACAGTTAGAGGGCGAGACTGATTGTGTGAGATGAAAGAGTGGAATGACGACGATGACCACTTGTGGGCCAATAATCAATTGGCGGGGAAGCTTCATCCGAAGTCTGTAGATGGAGTTGAGGCATTGAGCAAGTGAGGCCCGAGTAAGAAATCGGTACCTCTAGTCCCATATAACTTTCGCTTAGGTGCGAGGTATTTTTAAGTTGAGTTCTGACTCCGCGCAGCGCAGCGCAGATCAGATCAAGCATGGATTGATTACCTGAGCAAGGCAATTCCCATCTGCTCCAGGGCTGTCAGTCATAATCTGCTACCTTTGCCATCCTGCATTCTGTTAATTTCACTCAAACTTCCTATCATGGAGACAACATGCATCTCTTGAATCAGTACGAACATTCCAGATGCATTGACGGCTTTCTTTGTTTCCTTGTCTGCTCGTATTCACTCTCTTCCCCGCCTTCATGTTGGCTTCTTGGTTTCTGGGTCCTCTGTACCCCTCCTTCACCCTCCATTGCGACTCGCAAGCTGCCCTCTTCCCTGCAACTCAGACGCAACATCCCACGTCCCTCCCACTGGTGATGCGGCACACCTGCAAGCCACACACCGAATCCTGCCTCCGGATAATTCAGGCAAGCTTTCCTTCCGACCTAACAATCTGGAACTTCCCAATGGTTTGTTGCTCTCTGTGAGAGGACCTTACGATGACAATGACTCTTGGCTAAGCTGATGGACATTGATGAGACACACCACCTTTCTCGTGTTGGAAACTCCATCGAAACATGACCTGGCAGATACATCTTGCCTCTTTCCATTGACGACCCCAGATAGCCTGGAGCTATGAAATTTTTATCAATGGTCCACAAACAAATGCATCCCACTCTGCGTCGCAACCATGAGCCACAGCTACGGATACGCCACCCGAAAATTTCCTGATATTGCTCCCGCTAAGGCCTCAGGGCGGCACAGTACCTAGCCGCCTTTTCCTATCCTTGTCCGGACCCAATCCCCTTGCCCACACACCTCAAACAACGAACTGGATGGATTTACGCAGCTCGGTGCATAAAATTCCTTTCACAGCAGTCGCATAAAGCCAAGACGACATTGGACAAATGATGGCTTCTCCGCTTGCTAAATCCAAAAGGGTTTGTTTTCTGTGACATGCGCAAAATCCACGCCAGTGGCTTGCAGGGATAATGCATCTCTTGCCTACCCAAGTGCACCTCTTGCGTTTCAACTAATCTGACCATTCTGCTGCCCCTACTCGCATCGCACATCCAGTAGCAATTCTTGATTGGTTGCTTCTTTGTCCACCCTTTTGGCGGGACGGGTGGTCGAAATATTCCACCCTGCAGATCCACGCTCAAAAGGATTGGACGACAGCGCAATATTTTCATCGATGACTCTCAGCCGTTGACCGAGGGGCAGGACATCTCAAGCCTCATCACGTTCTTAGCCAGGAGGATTCCGTCAACTAGCTTGCATCCTTCGCCACAGATGAGGGATATATGCACAGACTTTTGGAGAGTCACCGCCTTCCTACGTGCTGCTAATGAGAATATGGCGAACAGTTCATTCCACGGGAAGTCACTTCCACAAAATCCAAGCTAATGATAGCGAGCGATACGCGCTGATAAGGCTTTGCTGAAGTGTCTCCAAGGGAGTCAACAGATAATAGGCACTGAAACCAATGGCATACAGAAAAGGCAGATTAAATTGAGCATGCCACGACTTGGTGTACTATGCGCATCTTGCAACAACAGCATGGCTGGCCGTCTGGGTGCGGCATCTTCTATCCCTTTCAACCAAGGGTGGTCTTCGTCTACACTGGTCGGCCATTGGCAAGAGTTTGATCTTTGTTTGCGAGCACTGTTGGTCTGCTCCAAGAATGCCCAACGTGTCAATGCCTTGAATGCGTCCCAGGGTTCTCTGATGTCTAGGCGCTCTCAAGGTGCTTCTAGGCGAGGTTTTTAGCAACGATGAACCGTGCTGAAGGCACTTTGTCGTATCCCTCCCAGTGATGACTTCGTGACTATTGCGTGCTGGCTCATCATGGATTCGCATCATGGAAGGTTTTCTATACTGCAGGGTCCGTCACATTCATACAAGCTGATTGTCAGGAATCCGCAACCTCCCTTCTAGTTCAGGTCAATGAGTTTCGCTCTGATGACGCTTGAGTCTGCCTGTGGCAGGTGGATGCATGTCAGCGTCGAACGTGAATCTTTTTCTATTGCATGTTACCAACTCTACAAGGCAGGGATCTCTCGAGGGCAGGGATAACTAAAGATCAGTGCACCACTACCTCCATGAAACGTGTATTGAGTTGTCTCCTCTCGCGGGACTGTTCTGAGGAGGGTGATGACCCTCAAACATGGTGTAATGCACCTCTATCAAACACCTGTTTTGGGCTTGTCTTCTATCAATCATCACTCTACGAACAGCGGTCCCAGCTTCTCACAGATGTTGGCGTGCAGTACAGATTTCCACGGACGGCCGGTACGGGTGCCTCTAGTGCTCCCTTCTCTCCGATAGCGCACTTTCTTTAGCATGTCAATTAAGTGGTCAGGGAGTGGATGCTTGAATTAGCACTTTCTATACGTCGCGGTGCCCTTCGGGCCCTGTGGTGCCTGTGAATTGCTGGCAGAGACTACCAGAGTGCCCGGATGCCCCTTGTTGACTCACGAGTGAGGGGATGCTGGGGACAAGGCTGTTAGACAAGGAGCAAACCACTGCTGATCCCACAGAGGTTCCAATTATGGCGTGGGCTGAACAAGCATGAACTTTACAGAATCTAGTCGACCTACAGAACCAGATGTCGCCGACTTGTTCCGTCCTCTAACCTTCTCGTTCAGTATGTCAGAAAGCCTGGATCCTTGGCTTTAATGCTGCGGGGGCTCTGGCCAGCGATAGTGTGTTGTGACAGCGGTACTGTGTACCTTAAACAAAACCTTGACCTTCCCTCAGGAAACATCTCTGGCAGCCAAAGTCGACATTGAGGAGCTCAAAGATGTGATTGCGTGGAGGAGTCCACCGCAGCTGAGGGTGACTCGTAGGCTGGGGGTACAGGGAGAGCAAATTTGATCCACCTGCAAGTGATTGATGCATGTATGTTCATTCTCTCGTCACGTCCGTTGTGGGCCTCGCAAGGGAATGTGAAGGCAAAAAGCAGATGTCCACGTCAATCAATCATTCAAGCGTTCTGCTTGCGGTTCAACCCTGTTTCTGAGCTGTCATATCTGTGTGTCAAAACACAAAAGGCAGGTGGCTTGAGACTGGAACAGTGGAGTATCTCGACGCCGGTAATTCCTCATGGCAAAAGCCCTCATTGTCACCGGCAGCTCGATACGAGAACTGCAGCGTCTCGCCGAGGGGATGTGCATATCACCTCTGCTAGGACCACTTCGTGTCGATGACAGGGACCACGACAAGGTTCCTCGTATGGAGATATTTCCCAACCTTACCAAAAGGGAATGAGTTTTGACGAGTTGAGAGGAGAGTGGTCAGATAGAGCTGCGTAACACCGGGGCGGGGAAACATTGATAACAATGGAGACATGGCGCAACGGCCTCGCATCAGCTCAAGGTTCAGATCCCTGCCGTCTTCATGGCAATGCTTGCACCTTGAACATGCCCTTGTAATTCGCACGTGAAAATCAGTCAGGGAATGCGCGAAGTGTAAGATATGTACCTCGTATCTGAGCGAGCAAGTTAGGTTGGAGGCTGGGAGGCCGAAACATGTGACATTCAACAGCTCCTCCACCCGAAGATCTACCGCCTACGGGCTTGGCAATCATCCTCCCGGTACACCACCACCACCAAGCCCACCACTAGCGCCCATGGGACCAGCAAACTGCAACTGTGACTGCACAATGTGTATCTGTTGAATGAGTGGCCGAGACATTTTGCAACAAGCCACATGCAACACCACTGTGGGCGGTATCTATCATTAACCACAGGTGTAACTTGAGTACCTTAAAAACCATCGTGGGTTTCAGCCTAAAATCCTGATGTCGGCGGAGGTCGCAACAGGGCCAGCCTCCGGTGCTGGTGCTGCTGCAGGACCTGCTGCCAGGAAGGTTGTCTATTGCGGAGGTGCGATTCCTTTGTCCTCCAAGCAGACCCAATGGAGCGAGAATTGATGCTGATGGTAAATTTGGGCGATTTACAGTTTGCACCCTTCCACCTGAGGTACAACATACATCTGCAAAGTTCAACTGGATGTGGCTGGCAGTGAACTGACTCGACTTTGGATAACATCTAGTATTGCGAATTCGGCGGGACGGTCAAGAAGTGTGCAGAATGGCTCGAGAAGAACCACCCTGACATGCACCAGAAGTTGTACTCGGAAGGTGTGCAGTCCCGTAGCCCTTTATCTTTCTATCGACCTAACGAATTCTGCCACAGAAGCATTGAACGCCAATCTGTCAGCTCTCTCCGTCGATGCACAGAAACGAGCAGAGAAAGATGCTGCCAAAAAGACAGCCAAAGCTGCCGCGGCCGAACAGCGAGAGGCGGAGCGAAAGGCCGAAGCCATCGTTCTGATAAAGCGTGTCGAACGAAACAAGCGGAAGTACGTCACAGTTGTTTCAGGCTTGGAAGAACATGGACTGGATTTGAAGAAGGTAGCCAAAGAGCTGGGCAAGAAATTCGCGACGGGAAGCAGCGTCACCAAGACGGCTGCAGGAGGGGAGGAGATCACTGTGCAAGGTGATGTGAGTGATGATCTGTATGACTGGCTGGTGGAGAAGTATCCTGAGATACCAGAGGATAATTTGGACATGAAGGATGATACAAAGAAGAAGGCTTGAAAGGCAAGCACTGGACGACTATGGGTTATGGTCAAATGGCTGCGCCCACAACCTGAAACTCGTCAGCAACATGTGCCGAGATCCAGGACGGACAGTTATGAATTGAACGAGGACAATGACCTAGTATGGATCCCGAGGTGAAGAGAACAATGTTCGGTAGAATTGTGCACGAAAACTCCAGCAATATCAAGCTGCCTGAACAACTCTCGACCTCCTCTCTACAGTTAGGGCCTTTGAGCTTTGAGGTGCCTGGGAGACTGTCAGGCTCATTAAACCGAGAATGCTTCACTTAGACTGTCGATAGTAACTTATGTCTACCACCACTGCAAGCTGACTTCTCATCTAAGGTCTTCCCGATTTCCCCTTTCCCAAAAACCGTGTCGCAGGTTTCAGGATCACAAATCCCCCTGGGACACTTGACAATTAGACATGTCTGATCACGGATGTCCCTCTTCCGACAGCTCCTCTGACTGGATATCCTATAATAGCAGCTCTTCTCACAGTTTGAGCCACAAGATCAGTACGCGTACTGCATTGCTGTCGACACTGAGAAAGAACCCGTGGTTGACGTCATGGTCACTCTTCCGCCGGCGAAAGCTGGCCCCCAACGATGTTGCTTTTGGGCCTCGCCTGGCACCCACATCAACTGAAGCCGAGCCTAATGGGATTGCCCCTGGTGGAGTAACCCCCGTGGCTGGCCCTCAATCGCCAAACAAAATGTCCCCGAGCAGCCACTCGAGCAGTGCATCCTGGGCTCGCTCACTATTCGCTCCGCAGTTCAGGCGATACCGTCAACAACGCGAACTTCTCTGGTCATTTGCATCAGACACACCGCGCAACCCCCAGTATGGCGATGACAGCGAGATACCCGAAGCCTACGTCTTGCCTTCCGACACACTGACCTCGACGCCTCGACTGCCCTCGAACCCTCATGTCTGGTCAGAGCTGATCAGGATGGATCCCAATCACCCGACTTTGAGCCCCAACCTCACAGACCTGCTCACTGGTCTGTCGAGTTCAGAAGATGCAAGCCGGAAAATGGCAGCTTTCAAACTGCAGTCGCTCATCAACGATCCTTCTTTTGCGGAACATTTCGTGCTTGCGGGCGGCCTACCTCAACTGCGCACACTCGTCCTCGAAAGTAGTGGAAATACCCTCGCATATAGTCTTGCAAGCTTTGCCAGGTTACTAGAGGTGGACCAAGGATGGGAGGCTGTCAACGACCGAGTTGTCCAGAAGGCAAGGCTCCCCCCACCCAGGACATCATAATGGATGAGCGCCACTCACTGACTACGGTTTCTGCGCTCAGGTGGTAGAACTGGTTGTCTGCCAGCCCTTGGTGAATATTCTCCGGGGCGCCATGGCAATACTCGTCTCTATCGTTTCCCGACCGTATCACGCCGATCGATCCTCCCAAATCAACAACAATAACAATGCCGGGGGGTTCCAAGCCCTGAAACCGGCTCTCGCAGTTTACCCACAATTCCTGGAGATGCTGGTGACGAGGTTATCTTCCGCAGACCACGCGCTGTGTGCGAATGCTCTCCAATTGATCAATTCGCTTATGCGAGACGCCATCACAAATGACAATGAAACCGAGTGGCCCAAATTCATCAAGAGAATACAAGATCTTGGGGTCATCAAGGCAGTGTATGTGCTAATGCAGAGCTCGGCCTTACAAGATTTGGCGCATCCCTTGCTTGAATTCCAAGCATTGACGAAAATCTTGCTGAGGAGGTGGAGAGACGTACCGGTTGACCTAGTCAAGCCGGAACATAGGCGGACCATCAAAGCCGTTCATCTCTCCAGCAATCCTGAGAAACAACCCGAATTTGAAGTAAGGAATGGGGAATCCAAATCAAAGCATAATCCGCTGAAATGGAGACGACTTGGGTTCACGAGCGAGAACCCGGAGCCAGATTTCGCGGATATGGGCTTCCTGGGGATGATGGATCTTTCCGATTACGTCCGCAAATACCAAGACGAATTTCAGAATATCCTGCTGGAGCAATCAGTGCTGCCGGAGCAGCAAAGGTGTCCATTGGCTCGGGCTAGTCTGACGTTGACGGCAATACTCTTTGAGCATTTTGAAGTGGACAAGATGGATCTCGAGGATTCCAAAAGCTACCTGGCATTGGAGAGCCGGACCAACTTTGACAAAGTGTTCAAACCCCTATTACTACACTGGAGTCGCCTACATGTTGCTGGATTACATGCATTCTTCAGATTATGGAAGGCAACGGGTGCCGAAGTCGACGATTTCCCCAAGATTGTCGAGTTGGTTCGAATTTTAGTGGAGAGTGTGGTCGGTGGAGCTGATCGCACCAAGGGTATCGAAGATATCGAGAAAGAGATGGCTGCCTTCGAGTACAGCAAACTTCGTGAGCTACAGATGGAACTCTTGGAACTGACATACGAAGACGTGTGGGGTCAGCATCTTCGAGGAGTCAAGGAAGAGCTGCAGAGCGAAGCTTTGCAATTCGTCAAGGAGCAAAGGATTCGGTGCCTGCTCGCCGGAGCATGGTTTCCAAACGGCACATATACGGACCAAGAAGGCGGAGGCCCTGTAACGGAGGACACTTTGGTGCAGAACACAACGCATGGCTATCGTTTCATCAGACTCTCCGAGAACCGCAAGTATTTGCATTGGGGCGACTTCGACGAAAAGGAAGAGCAATCCCCGTCCACAGCCAGTTTGAGGGACAAGATCGATCTATCGATTGTATCATCTGTGGTTTCCAATGTAACGGCCAATGACAGATCATCAATTGGTTCGGATTCGACGCTGAAGGAATTGCTCCATGACCGGTTCACCACCAACAAGATCACGATCCATGGATTCCTGCCCAAATCCCGTGGCAGCCGAGAAGGGCATTCGAGAACTTCCTCAAAGACGTCTTCGCCCCGACACGGGACCAAGGAAGCGGTCCTTCTTACCTTCCACCCGAACGGTCACAGCCTTGCCTCGGAATGGCTCGACGGACTTTTGATGCTTCTGGACCAGCAACCGATTACCGCCGAAACCAACAGTCTCATACATATGATCAGTGACTACGGGCTCAAAGTCCGGCTCCTGAATGTGCGATTCAATGACGAGGAGGGCATCGTGGAGGGTATGGATGGAATGGATGGCCCTGAGATTCCAAGCAGAGAAGGTCTGGACGATGACTACTATTATGAGATATGATTTTGGAGGATTGAGGCGAGTCACGAAGCAGGGCGACATAAGACTATTGCCTCCATTCAGACCTGTCCTTTGGATAAAATAGGATCACAGAGCTGGAGGTTATCTCGGGGGAAAGCTGGGCTACTTTTGAGCTAGGGATGAAGCTTGATGGTGTCCAAAAGCGAGATCGACTTCAGCGAGAGTTTTTTTTTGGGCGATTTCCTTTGTTGAGATACCCTGATATCGCAGTCAAACAGACGCTTGGTCGGTTTGGGTCCAATTCGAAACCATTGAGATATCAAAAGGTGGTATCGCTTGAACAGTCTCTCATGCAGGGGGTGTCAGCTGGAAGCTATCGGTACAGTGTCTGAACAAGCCTGTTCGGACTGCGCAGGTCACAGGTTTGTAGATGATAAGACATGCGATGCGAGCATTCGCCGTCTTCTTCGCAAATGCTTTGGAGAATTGGAGAAAGGACTCTTCCTCTTTTCATACTTTGAACCCCATCCACGTGCTGGTTCTGGGGCCGCGATTGGTGACCATAGCAATGGGTATTACCGCATTACCTCTTTGTACCTGTAGTTGGGCAGAAGAGGCAAATGCACGGAGAAGAAAGATTTCGCGGTGTAATTTCCTCTCCCGCCGAGGCTTGCCGCCCCTCCAGTGCAGCTTCTGGGCAAAGGCTCTAGCCTGTTACAGGGGCCTTTAACCAAGATGTTCGTAGTTCTCGTAAAAGTCTTGAGGCTCACTGCAGCCACCCTAAGGGGCCCTAAGCCACACCAAGCCTAAATCCAAAGCCCAAGGCCAGAGGTGCACCCCGCTACTGCCCCGCGCTGGACCCGATGACCGAATCAGCGCAGTCGCCTGCGCCATCTTGGTTCCTCGGTTGGTCTTGGAGGCGCACACAAGACTGTCTGGTCTTTCACTGGTTGCCACCAGATCGACCTCACGCCCGCTCTCCCGCCTCCCAAACCAAACGCTTGGAGAAAGTTCTTTCGTCATGGCTGTGGTTGCCCATTGCTGTCGTCAGCCTTAGCGATTCGGATTGGCTGTAGCAGCCGAAATCGACAGCAGCGTTACAACACAGCTCGCACGTCGTGTGCCTTTGTGTCCTTGTCGCGTGTCCTTCAATGGTCTAGCCAGGAATGCCCACCCGATATGGCGCTGGCTGATCGCTGCACTGACCGGGTCCTCCTCTCCCTACGGCCTCCACTCAGCTCGAGCCAAACGATCTAGTTTGGGATGTCAACTCGGCGACGGATAGGGATGGTTTCCTCGTGCCAATCGAGAGAATGGTTTTCCAGTGGACCGTCAGGAATTCGGAGCGAGGGCCCACGTCAGTCCCCCAGTCCCCATGGGTTTTTCCTTGCATTGATAAACCTGCCGTTGTCCCTGCCTCTGTATCTCGGCTTCTTCTGTCCTGTCACTCGCGTGTTCCTCTTGCGACAAAAGAGGATACAGACTCGTTTGGGGCAAAGAGAAGAAAAACCAACTTGTTCCTCGACTAGCAAGCCTTTTGGACAGGTGCGACTGCTTGCGACGTCGCCAGATACGATATCGCTCCCTCTTCTGGTACAAGCAAAGACCTAGCCGCCATGTCTACCGAGTATCCGACAAAAGAGGTGGTTGAAACCCAGGCCGACTCGAAAGATGTCCGCCACCATCACCAACACTCTCTTAGCGAGAGAGTGCGCCATAGCATCTCTGTGCAGTCGCTCGATGAGAACACGGTTGAAGGCCAAATTTTCTCCATGAACGATATCGATCCTGCCCTTGACAAAAAAATGCGCCTTGTGAATGATGTTGGTCATCCCCCAAACATTGCGTAATGCCTCGGAGTTGCGAGTGTAGAGACAAGAAGCTTGGAGGTAATAGCTGCTAACCAACTCGCGCAGGCTATCGACGAAATCGGCTGGACCAACATGCATCTGAAGCTCTTTTTCCTCAACGGCTTTGGCTACGCAGCCGACTCTTTGATTCTGCTACTGCAGTCAGTCACTGCTGGCCAGGCCGCACTTGAGTTTAACCCTTCTTTCAGCAATGGTCTCACCGTGGCTGCATACTGTGGCATGTTGATCGGAGCCTTGTTCTGGGGATTGAGTAGGTTTTCTTCAAGGATTTGAGGCAATCCACATTACTGACGGGTTGAAGGTGCTGATGTGATTGGTCGTCGATTCGCTTTTAATGTCTCGTTGTTCAGTTGTTCGATCTTTGCCGTCGTTGCGGGTGCGTCACCCAATTGGTATGCTCTAGGTGCCTTTGTAGCATTGGCAGCATTTGGATCTGGAGGGAACTTGATCCTGGACACCACTGTGTTCCTCGAGTACCTGCCTGGCAACAAGCAATGGCTTCTGACTCTGATGGCGTGCTGGTGGGGACTTGCTCCTGTGATTGCGGCGGCTTTTGCGTGGCCATTCCTCTCAATCTCGAGATACAACTGTACCAGCCACGCGACTTGCACCTACGACAACAACATGGTAATTTTGCCTGTAACAATCAAACACAAGGATTCGCTAACAGTTGCTCAACAGGGCTGGCGTTATGTCTGGTACTCAAATGGAGCATTGGTTTTTGTTCTCAGTATTCTCCGGGTGACGGTCATCCGGCTCAAGGAGACACCAAAGTACCTCCTGGCGAAGGGACAAGACCAGGAAGTTGTCAACACTTTCCATGCGATCGCCACCAAATACAACAGACCGTGCTCGCTCACTATTGAGCATCTCGACGCGTGTGGTCCCATCAAATCGACATATGGCAAATCGCGATATGGATTCTCCGAGTTTCTGGCTCATCTGCGAGGTCTCTTTGCGACCAAGAAACTGGGAGTCTCTACTTGCTTGATTTGGCTGTCGTGGACCTTGATTGGTAAGTGCAGAAGGATGGCGTCTCACACCCCCGACGCCATGGCAGAAACTCTGGAGCTAACCACAAGCTTATCAGGACTTGCCTATCCGCTCTTCTACGTGTTCCTGCCCCAGTTCCTCGAGAGTCGTGGCGCTCAGACCGGGCAAAGTGGCGCCTACTATACCTGGCGAAACTACATGATCACGAACTCGGTCAGCATCTTTGGTCCGGTTCTCGCTGGGATAATGTGCAACTGGAAGTATTTGGGCAGAAGGTACACCATGGTGATCGGAGCTCTGATCACCATGGCCTTCTTCTTTGCGTACACGGCAGTGCGCACCCCGGCTCAGAATTTGGGGTTCACATGTGCCATTTACTTCTTTGTCAATGTCTACTATGGCACTCTCTATGCGTATACTCCCGAGGTAAGTTACCCCAGCGTCCAGGCCGAAGATCTGATCTGATACTAACGACATTGGTCAGAGTCTGCCGTCTGCCCACCGAGCCACAGGAAACGGCATCGCAGTTGGCTGCAATCGAGTCATGGGTCTTGTAAGTGCCTTTGTGGCGGCCTATTCTGACACGGCCACAAGTGCTCCCATCTACATTTGTGCCTCTCTCTACATTGCCATGGTAAGTGGATGTTCTTCTCCAGGGATAAAGTCAAACAAGGTACTGATAGGTGTTGTAGGCACTCGTAGCCGTTGTCATGCCATTCGAGCCTTATGGAAAGAGGTCAATGTAGACAGAGAGCAGGATGTGATATGTGATATGTGCCATGCGAAGAAAAATAAGCGATATCTATACATGATATATGTTTATACCCTCCCCCCAAAAGATATTGGTTTCCCCCTTTGGTCCGGAAGGACTTGTCCGCATGAATTCGCACGCGATTGCCACGAGATATCGCTTGGACATTTGCCGCTCGTGGATCACTTTATCTTTTCTGTCTGGCTGCCTTGCGGGCTGGTCGAATGATCGACTGGTCGACTTGATCCCAAATGGTTCAGACCTTCCTGATGCGGTTTAATGTACGCATGACGATCATTCCTGGCTTGCAGCGGCCGCCATTGACGTCGCCCTCGAACCATCCATCGTACCATTCAACTTTTGATCGTCCTCCTCCTTCCTATCTCTATGCAGTCCACACACAACAGCTCCCATGCTATTTCCTTGGACCACTGACCGCATCAAGCTTCCCCATTTTAGTCCCCGCTCTCGACACCTTTTTCTCCGTCGTGATTGATGCAATGCCACATGAAGCAATATCAGGTGCCTCGGTGGGAATTGCTTATCCAACCCCGGCTTTTGCTTCATTCTGTGATGCAACGTCCCTTGGAGTCCAGAACCGCTCTGCCTATCAATGCTATCGCGACCCGGATTTGTCTCGGTAGAGGTCCCGGGAAAGGATAAACTGTCCTTCTGTCATTGATGTTAAAAGGGTCGACAGCTTCCTGTTTGGTTTGATGCCTGCAATCTCGAGACTCTGTTGATGGTCTGTGTTTCTGCTTGAGCCGGCTCCTCGACAGCACGAGTGCTTCGTGTAACAGATTGGACAGTCCTTGTTTCTGAGTTGGGGTTACATTGCTTCTCTGGCTCCTCAGCCACATCCTTCCGTCATCAACCCGCGGGGCACGCGACGTACTTCGAAGGACGTCAACGTCAACCATGGGCGACATCCAAGACAACGAGAAGTCGGTTGCCGTCCACAATGTTCCTGGTGGTCGCTCCGTCTCACCGGTGAACATAGAGGAGCGGCGGGCCTCGGTGTCGTCCACCGCCGCCGCAAAGAGAATCCTCGAGCATAGCAAGGATGCCGACGAGGCGATGAAAGCTTTCGCCTCGGGCGAAGTTGTCGAGATTGACGAGGCGACTAACAAGCGGCTGTTGCGCATAATTGACTGGCATCTCATGCCTCTGCTCTGCGTCGTGTATGGGTTGAATTACCTCGATAAGACGACCTTGTCATATGCCAGCATCATGGGCATCAAGACGGACATCAACCTCGTGGGGGATGACTACCAGTGGCTGTCCAGCATGTTCTACTTTGGCTATTTGGCTTGGGAGTATCCCACAAATCGACTGTTGCAGAGACTGCCACTTGCCAAATACTCGGCCTTTTGTGTCGTGGGCTGGGGCGTGGTTCTGGCATTGTTTGCTACCGTCTCCAACTTTGGCGGTGCTGTTGCTATACGATGTACGTGTCGTTCTTTGTGATGCTGTATCTGCCCCCTCGACGCTGTTCGTGCGACCGTCTGACGACGAGATAGTCTTTCTCGGCGTGATGGAATCAGCCGTCACTCCAGGATTCGCCCTGTTCACTTCTCAATGGTATACGAAGCGCGAGCAAGGCACCCGAACAGGCTTCTGGTTTTCCTTCAACGGCTTCGGCCAGATCTTTGGTGGGCTCGTCGCGTATGGGATCGCCGTCGGCGCTCGCAAGCACGGGACTGCCATTGCTCCCTGGAAAATTGTTTTTCTCGTCAACGGCTGCCTGACCGCCGTGCTGGGGGTGGTGTTTTTCTTTGTCATGCCTGACAACCAACTCAATGCGCGGTGGTTGAAGCCTCGTGATCGGGTGTTGGCCGTCGAAAGAGTGAGGATCAACCAGCAGGGTATCGGCAACAAGCACTTCAAGTGGTATCAATTGAAGGAAGCTCTGTTGGATCCACTGACTTGGGCTTTCACCTTTTACGCCCTCACAGCCGATATCCCCAATGGAGGCATCAGCAACTTCTTTTCACAACTGGTGGGTATTCCTGTGTGATGCTCGTTGCCTGCGAATATGCAAGCTTATGCCGGCGCTTCTTCTAATCTTCTTTTAGATTGTGTCCTTTGGCTATACACCCGAGCAATCTCTGCTGTACGGCACGCCTGGCGGCGCGGTCGAGGTCGTGGCCCTCATGTTCTGTGGGTGGCTCGGCGATCGCCTTGGTCAGCGGATTCTGGTCTCGATGGGAGGTCTGTGCGTCGCGATGCTGGGCATGATCCTCATTGTTGCGCTGCCCCTGAGCAACAACGCGGGCCGGCTTGCGGGTTATTATCTCACCCAAGCGTCTCCCACACCTTTTGTGGCTTTGCTCTCCCTCATCGCCACCAACGTCGCCGGTTACACCAAGAAGACGACCGTGGCAGCATTGTATCTCGTCGGCTATTGTGTCGGGAATATCATCGGCCCACAAACCTTTAGACCAAAAGACTCTCCGCAGTATAGGCCGGCTGAGATTACCATCCTTGTTTGCTGGGGCGCATGTCTCCTGGACCTCGCTTTCATTTGGTGGTATTGTAAGAGGATGAACAAGAAAAAGGAGCGGGAAAGGGCTGAGCCTGGATACATCAAGCTGGAAAACCAGGAGTAAGTGCTCTCTCGCTATTCTTTGCCGGTCCTTGGTAATGCTCTGTCTACAATTCCACCCAGAGGTTTTGTTGGGGGTTGAGATAGACGAGCGACGGCGAGGTCGGTTGTGGTGAGGTGCCGGTGACATGTTGATCGACCCACCTTCTTTTTCTGTGTCTGTGTTTTTCATCCGACTCAGTTTTTGTTCTTTGTTACCATCGGCGGCGTCCGGGTGTGCAACGCAATGCAATGCAATGGCTTACTCGTGTTCTGTGCAGGTGGCTCGATCTGACCGACAAGGAGAATCCCGAGTTCATTTACAGCCTCTGAGCCAGCAGTACTAGCAGAGGCCAGCAGTCTCCGAGTTGAGAGTCGGTTTGACGGTTGTAGTGATGACCTGGGAATTGCTCGCTGGTGAGTGCTTGTTTGCGTCCAGGGTCGTCATGCTGGATCTTGGACAGCTAGTTGCTGGACATGTTGTACAGAATGGAAAAGAAGATGGGACGAGCAAAGACATGATCTGGCATGGATATGTCGTATGGCGGTCCAAGGGGGACGTCGACTTTGTTGTGAGACTCTCAGGGCAAGCCTGGCTGGCAGGGGACTCGGTGAGATGTTACCTCTCAATAGCGATATGTATTACAGAGGGACGAAGCAGGAGCGCCATCCTTGATACCAATGACTGTCTTACTCCGTTGTCATGGTGTACAGCCGTCTCTTGCGCAGGTGCCCTTTCCAACGAAGGATGTCTTCTTCCCCTTTTCCCCTTCAGCCTCGTTTCGCCCAAACGCAGTAGGGGTGGAGAAGGAGAAGGCTGTTGATGATGCTCTCTTCTCTTCGGGTCACTTCTTCAACATTCTTCTTTGCTCGTGTACACCCTCTCAGGGCCCTTTTGACGCTTCTATTCGTGTACGGTGCACCCAGCTCCAGTTACCTACCTCATTTTCACTGCCTCTCTCTCTCTCTCTCTCTCTCTCTCTCTCTCTCTCTCTGTGTGTGTGTGTGTGTGTGTGTGTGTGTGCGTGTGTGTGTGTCTGTCTGTCTGTCTCAGAACCACCTCGTCCGATACATGCTTCATGTCTCCGCTCGAAGACAGTCTCCCTTATGCCTCTCCCTCGCGACGTCCATGGCTCTATCTATCTATATATCCATCTAACCACAGATGCTCAGAAGCCAACTGGCACCGGTGCCGCCGAAACCGGAGCCCCATCCTCGATCAGATTAGATCCGTGAACCTCTTCAGATCTGATAACCCCCACATATCCACTCACACACCACACCACCCTCGATGTCTCTCCATCAATTTAACCTTTACGCTTAATGGTTTTGATTCTTTGGCGTGATCAATGACAACCACATATCACTCATACATGCATGCATGTAACTGCATGGATTCTTCAGGCCTTGCTCGTGTGCGAGGTTTAAAGTTTTTTTATCTTTGGGAGGAGAAGCCACTTGATTGGAAAGATATCGGGGCGTAGGATGTTTGCAGCCCAACCTCCATCGCCAAACTCCACTTTCAAGATGGAGTGGTGGTTGTGGTTACACAACTTGACACGAAGAGTCTGTCCCGACGGGACAAGGGAAGGAGGAGGAAGGGACCAGGGGCAGGGGGCGATAGAGGAGGGGGGAGAAGATATGCGGTATCATCCAATACTCTTTGATGGATTGCAAATTGATTGATGCCCACACGACTTTCTTTCTCCCCTCTCCCCTCCTTAGTCGTCGTGGGATGCATGATGCGAGGACGGGACTTTTGAGGCCCTGAGGCCTGAGGATGTCCAGGATTCAGATTCTCATCGTGATCCAATACCCAATAACAGACGACATGTTTGTTATTACGACGCTGCTCAGTGGTTGTATTAAACCTTTGTACTGCATATCTAGAAGTAACTCCCACGACAGAGTCGGTGTAACAAGGTTTTACAAGGTTTACATCGTACAAGGACCTCCACTCCATTCCTTTCCACATCGTTGTTGCGTTGTCAAAGTCCTGTGTAAGGGCCGAAGCAAGGCAAAAGCCAAACAAAGGAGGCAAAGAAATCGGGCCAAAAAAAAAAAGGCGTGGGAGTGGAAGCTTGAGGCTTGAAACCTTGCCTTGCTTGCCTTTTTGCTTCAATACCTGATAGACTTTTTGTTGGTTCACCTCGTATTTTTTTTACTGGTATTCTATTCCTATTCCTATTCCTTGCCTGGCCTGCCCGCGACGGAAACTGAGATTGACTTGCCTGACTTGCCCGACTTGTCCTGCGGTACTTTGACCTGGAATTGCGAAACTCTGATTCCAAAACTGCGCACCCAATCGGACACGATGGATATTGGATGACCTTGAATTCTTTCGTGCTTCCTTCGTCTTGCGCCTTTTGTCTCTTTTCTCCGTTGACGGCGGATCGTGTCGTGGCACGTTGTTACTTGTCGAAACGTCTCTTCGGTTCTCGACTACCCGAACACCCTCACCCTTTTGTCGAGAAGATCTAACGAACCACAAATCCACTGGCACACCCTCAGCTGGACCGAAATCGACACCAAGGAGAGAGCCCCACGCTCGCAAAGACGAGTGCTCTACGGACAGTTGAGTGCACACTGGCTAAAAGAAAGACCGGGATGGGCCCTCTGTATCACACCGCATCGCATCACATCACATCACACACACACACGACTTCTAGCCAGACCTCCTCTCTCTTTCCCACCCGCCCTTCTGTAATCCTTGGAGAATCAAAGATCCTTCTTCCTCCACATGCCGATCCGCTCCTGTACATCCTCGTCCTCCCAGTCCTCGATCGACATGTACTTTTTCAGCAGGGGTTTCTTGCCCAGCCACAGGGCCAGGTAGGCGCACAGACACTGGAACAGCCAAGGGATCCACCACCGGAGGGGCCCGAGGAAGGTTAGGCCCGGCAAGACGACCAGAGCCGTGGCGGAGATGTGTCTTCTCTATCGTCAGAAAAAAAACAGGAAAGAAAAAAAAAATGGTAGTAGCGGGAAAGCCAAGGCCCAAGAGCGTGGGGAGATACTGAGTGAAACTTACTGGCTCAACATGATTTGTAACAGGGAGAACGGCTCCTTGCCCTCGCTCACATCACTCACGTACAGCAACAGAGTCTGGAAGAAGAGCCGGTCCATCTTGTCGTCCATGTCTTTGGGGTTTGGGTGTGCCCATATCAGCATCGTCGTGTCTTCCTTGGCGCTCGGCGACGGCCAGATCTGGTGAGGCATGTAGGGCGCAATGTGGTGCGGTCGAGCGGGAGGCGTGGTTTGAGGTGTGTGGATGGTGTCGATTCGTGAGTATGTCGTCGTGGTGCCGAGCTCGCCGCTGAGCACGGCCAGCGATTCGGATTGTTGGAAGTGCAGGTGGAGTGGTGGTGCCTACGGGCCCGAGGGGAAATCCATCAGCATTGTACCGCTCAACCGGAAGTCCGACCGTCTTTTGGGTGGTCGAGTGATGCGTCTGCTTGTGGGCAGCGAAGAGTATACGCCAATCCCGGCGAAAACGAGATAATTACAACAAGGAGACAGGGAATCGACAGACCTGAGGATATGCTTTGCCTTTGCGACATAGCGGGTGATCATGTTTGTACGTGGCTCGCATCAACACTCTGGGGAAAGAGGCCGTCAGTCAGTAAGTGCATCAAGACTGAGAAGTGGGCTCATAAAAAAGAGAAGGTGTTGGATGAAGCGCCCAAATCCATGTCCAAACGATGTCTGATCGCAGCCTTGCGCGACTGCCTGACTCCCCTGGAGTTTCCCCTGATTACCGAGATACCAAGGTAGGTAAGTAGGTAGGTAGGTAGACAAGGTACCCAGTTGAGTGCTCAGACCACGAAATACTTCGATAGAGTAGGTAGGTCGAGAATTGTCAGTCCCGTAGGTATAGGTAGGGAGCCAAAGCGCCATAGTGCAACGACCGCATTGCGACTGGGACAACACCCCCGACGGAGCCTTGCCGTGCCTTGCCTGGCCTTGCCTTACAAAGGCCCCTTTTGTCCTGTCCCTATACCATGTCCGAACTCCAGTCCCAACTCCCCCTGAATATTATCTCTTTTTGTAAATAAAAACCAACAACAACGGGAAATAGGAAATGAAATAGGAAATGAATGGATAGGAGTATCACGGGACTGGACTGGACTGGATACTCACGAAGCCTGCCTCGACGGCTTTGGTCGGAGAAACTCGAGGATAAAGGACCCGTGGTGCAGGACGTAGGGGCCGGCGATGACGGGTTCTTCTTCTTCTTCTTCTTCTTCTTCTTCTTCTTCTTCTTCTTCGTCGTCGTCGTCGTCGTTGTCTCCTGTGCGAGTTCCTGCTGCTCTGGACGAGGGTGTCGCGCGCGGTGTGCTTGATGCGCCGGTGGTGGCGGTGGCGGTGTGTCGGAGGGACATTTTTTGTAGTCGGCCCCTAGGGGGAGGGGGAGTACTCGGTACTTACTGTTCAGAGGGAGAATGAAGATTGAAGTATTGGAAGGATGAGGAATGGTTCTGCACTATCATTCGTAGATGAAGATAATTATTAATTGTTATAGGTGGGCTATTATATTATGTATATATATATATATATATATAATATACAATATATACATCAAATAAAAGTCCTGGTACTTAAAAGGACGAGGTAGTCAAGTCACGGCGAGGCTCCTCCCACCCTGATCAGGTACGAGGCCCAGAGAGCCATGACAGCTTACCACACTTACTTGGCTAGGTACCCACGCCGCCGTTAGCTCCAAGGAAAGGGGGGACGCTATTTCATCATCATGAATGGATTATTGCCGATTACTGCTCGGTTCTTGTAGGCGATAACTCGTAGGCGATGAGACGGACCACATATGTAGGTACTGGACACTACGAGGAGTAAAGTACGGCGTGCACTCTGACCTCGTAGGGCTAGGACTACATAGTATGTAGTAAGTACTCCATGCTCGTACCGGTCCATGATAATATTCGGTGTCCGAGTTCAGGTGCTCAGGTACTCAGGTAGGTAGTGCAGTTTGGTATTCAAACAACTGGCTGGCGAGCTGACACGAACCACTGCCATCCCATCCCATCTCTTCTTGTCTCCTATCTTCCTCTTCCTCTTCTCTTCTCCCCTCTTCTTACCACAAAAGAAATGTCAACTCAAGAATCTTACACCCCGAATTCACGCCTTAGTAGGTATGTAGGTATGTAGGTAGGTACCCAAGGCACTGACCGGGGGTGCAAGACGTCAAATTAACATGTCGCATTCGCCCATGTGGCATCTAGCCTGGAGCCCTGTGACCAGCCAGGCACAAAACTTCAGGGTCATCGGTCCCAGAGCATAACAAAGAAATCAAGAATCTGAGCCGTGCAGGGGGGCCGTTCATGGGGATAATACTACCCAGGCAGCTGCCAAGCAAAAAGGCATTGACGGAACTCTTGATCCGGCCGACGAATCGGAAATTGTCCACTTCAACGTGCCCCGAGTTTCTTTCCGGGCACACACAGGTCAGCGGTGAGCACCACTATTTATTTCTACAGAATTACTAATTATCAAGCCAGACGACAAGTGGAGATGGTGAGACAATCCGATACGAGTCCCTCGTACTCCGTACTTCTCACGGACTCGCAGCCAGCACCTAACAAAAGTCCAGCATCAACCTCCTCATCTCATCCATGACCCTCCTGACCTCGTCCTCCGAAAGCATGTCTTCTGGGGCAAAGACACCCATGTCTAGGTACCCGTCTTCAACTCTAGCCTCGATATCAATAGCAGGCTGTAAAGACAAAATATTAGTCAGTCGGCCAGAAGAGGGCAAGGAGATGTGAGACGGGATGAACTTACCAAGCACCACTTCGTGCTATCTGCATCACACTCCATGCCGTCCATAAAAGGCGACGGCGCATCAACCTCCTCAAATTGATCCTTCTTCCCCGAAGTTTCCGCATGGGTGATTCGAACGGTGCTCGTTTGGTCTCCAGACGATGACGAATCCTGATCACTTGGGAGGGATAAGAAATTGACAAACGTGTCCAGCTTGACTCCAGTCCACGTATTAATGTCCCTCATATCCACTCCGCAGTTCTCTGGCCGCGTGATTTCGCCCAGATCATGCTGGATCTGTAAAGCCGACTGAAGAAGGGTCTCCCCAGATCGAATTCTTAAAGGAACGATGCTGAATGTCGGAGCAGCTAGTTCCATGATCCCGTCGATGTCGAGCGACCGGTTTGCGAGGTAGATCCCAATCACAACATCCGATTTGGCATTTGTGGCGGGTTGCTCAGTACCCAGGTGGCGACGTATACCCTCGTAAATCCTGGCATATGCGGCGAAGAAGAGTGCTTGAATGCTGAGGCCATGGTACTTTAGCTGCTCGATCAATCCCTCGAGCGGCACAAGTTTTGGACGGAATCTCTCCACGCGCCTTGCTGCGAATGAACCCCGACCCATGGGTTGAAGCGTACCTTCACCTTCACCGAGATAACGCGTCCAGAATTCTTGAGCCATCGACCGAGATGCTCGGTTGTTCGAGATCAGAGTGCTCATATCCGTGTTGAGCTTGGTCTGTGCGGTACCAGCACACAATCTCTCAAGTCGTGTGATCAGCAGCTGGAGACTCACAGCATCATACAAGGCGTGGTGGATGCGAAGTGTAACCAGTACCTCATCTCCTCCAAGGTCGAACTGCACTGCCCAGGGGAAGCCATACTTTTCCACTGCCTCGCTCTTGACGACCACTTGAAATGTTTCTGGCCATCCACCATCACTGTTGTGGATAAACAAAGTCCTCAGTATCGGAACTTCGTTAACAAGCCTTTTCATTCCCTGCCTCAAATCCTCCAGCGAAACACGGGACGCTTTCAGCCAGAAAATGGGGAAGAACAAGCGCCCATTGCTTGCTCTCCACATATCAAGCATGTACGTTTGACCCGCGGTACATGGTATGATCCTTTCGAGATCCTCCTCTGGTATTGTGAGGCCCCCCTTAATGTTCTCGGGAACCAACAAGCTCTCCGCAAACCCGTTAGGCGCACGGGCCGTCTCCTGACCTGCGCGTTGGAGCTGTTCAGCAGCCACGGCCATCTTTTCAACCGTCTGTGCTCTAATGATCGCGCTCACTGGAAGCCTAATGCCCTCTTTTCGGAGCAGAGTAGCAACTTTGATGGCGCTGACGCTATCCAGCCCGAGGTGGAAGAGGCCCGTATTCTTTTGAATGCACTCTCTGTCCAAGTGGGATACCTTTGCAAGGACATCCCTAATGGCAGCCTCGGTTGGACTCCAGTCTTCTGGTCTGTGGGACTGCTGCTGATCTTGAACAATGTGAGACGTCTTCCTTGGCCTGTCGCCCTTGCTGCGGATTAGATCTACTCCTGGGAGACCGCATATTGACACCTTTCCGCCTTCTTTGCCCAGAAGGTCTTGGTCAGGATTTCTCACTAGAGCTGCCAGGATGATATCCAGCTTGTCCAGTACTGCCTGTCCAAATTCTTGGCTGCAAACTCCATTTTGACATGCAACAGTCCAGATCAGACCCTTTGCATCGCCTTCTAATTCAACATTGACAGGATATGGCGGTGTGATGGCTGTCTCGTCGGGCGTGACTTCGTTGTACAATGCTGGAAGCTCATGTTCGACAGTTGGAAGTTTTTGAAAGGTGAATAAAGTATCGAATAAATCTTCACTCACCCCTTGTCCTCGTGCCAGACGAAGAGCCTCACGTAGTGGAAAGTGCTGATATTCCGAGACCCGCACAACTGCGTCATGCACTCTCCGGATTGCCTCTGCCTTGGTCATATTCTCTTGAATGTGAGGTCTGAAGGCGACAGTGTTGAATGTTGGGAAGATCAGTTGATCCGAGCCCTCGGTTGTGCGCCCGGAAAGAACAAGCCCGAAGCATACATCCACCTGGCCGGTATAGTGAATAAGTGCCATTGTCCAGCATGCAAGGCCCAAAGTCTGGAGCGTCACTCCTTGCTGCCTGCAGAAGTCGAGGGCATTGGTTAAGCTGGTCGTGGACTGCTTGCGCAACAAAAACGCGGAGCCGTGGTGACTGTGATCATCGAGGGCCGCTTGTAGAGTGGTGGGTTGGATATCCAGCAGTTGAGACTCCCAGAACTCACGAGCCTTTGAGCTCTCGGCTTGTGTGATGATCTCCTCGAGGTGCTCCCTATATTGATCCAGTGCTGCTCCTTGGGCTCTGCAATGCGGGAACTGGTAGGTCTCGATCACCTCCTGGTGCAGTAAGTGCAATGACCAGGCGTCGTACAAGGCATGCGGCATGGCAAGAACAAGAAATGAGGCAGTTTCATCACGGACAATAGCGATACCAGTCCTTTGATCGACCAGTTGTTGCTCATCTGGAACGTTTTTGAGGTTTTGGACCACATCATTTAGCTTCTCGTCAAGGACTGTCACCTCACTTCCATCCTTCACCGCATATTGGAGAAAAGCCGTATTTTTATTTGGAGACTCGACGACAGCAAAGCGCGTTCTCAAGATTGGCTCTGTCCGGGCGACTGTTTCCCACGCTTTTATCAGTCGCTTCAGATCAACGTCTGCAGCTAATTCGAAAGTCATGACATTGAGATACTTGTCAGATTCCAGGAGCAGGCCTTCCTGCATCGGTGTGACCGGAAAGACGGCTTGTACGTTGTCAAGTTCGACACCATGGCTCTGTAGCATACGTTTATAGCTGCTCTGGCGTTCCTTAATGAAAGACGCCTTTCCGCTACTTTCTGTTTCGGCCTGGGTTTCCATGCTTGATGTAACCGCCGTAGCAATCCCTGCGACGGTTGGCGACCGCATGATGGCACTCACAGCCACTCTCAGACCCTTGTTCTTGACGCGAGCTGCGAGCTTCATTGCTTCTATACTGTCCAAGCCTAGTTCGAAGATCGTTGGCCTGTGACGGTGAATCATCCTTTCGTCCACAGAGGCGAGCTTGGCCATTTCCGAGCGAATGATTGTCTCTGTGTCGTTCAATGCGGTATCGTTGTCTTCATGAACATGATTCGAGACTGTCAAGTCCGCTTTATGATCTCCGCTTGGGGTCCTGGAGTCCTGTGATAGGCAAAAGTCCGGGGGCAGGATTGCGGTCATCTCTTCCGGTCTGCGAACAACGTCAAGATACATGTTTAACAGCCGACTGGCGCTTTTCTTGTCCAAGTATTGCGGCCTCGCGACTAGGGTGACGTCGAACTCGGAGCCTCTCTGCTCTACCTCGATATTCAGCGGATAATCTGGCGAGCTGTCTGTTGGAATCTCGCGCCAGAAGGCGCTGTCCTCGACATCCGGTGATGTCTTTTGGAAAACAAATAACGTGTCAAACAGAGTCTGGCTTGCACTTAGTCCAAGGAAGTGAACAACTTTCCTCAGAGGTGTATGTTGATACGGAATGATATCAACATTGAACTGATGGCACGCGCGGACGAGATCCGAGACTGCTGCACCATTGGCGAGAGAATTGATGGCACATGGCAGGGTATTGAACATTGGGCCGATCACATCCTCTATCTCTTCTGTGGCTGTGGCTCTGCCTGAGACTACCACTCCTATTGTCGGACTGGAGTTGAATTCTCTCTGCATCACATAGAGTAGCATGGCCTGGAAAAAGGCCGAGACTGTGACGTTCAATTCATTGCACAAGGTTTGCAAATGGCCAATGCTTAGATGATGCCTCAAGATGACAGCATGAGTATCTGTCTCAAGCTCGGTATGGACCAATGGCAGCTTGTGAGGTTGGATGCGAGGGAGGTGTGACAGCCAGAATTCCTTCTCGTCTGGCAGCTGAGACAGTGGTCCATAGGGCAAGGCTTGATAGAATTGCATTTTCGGCTTCCAAGTCTCCTCTGGGTGCTCATACCGCTGCTTGACTTGCTTGAGCAGTATTGGAAGGCTGCTTCCATCATAAAGTCCATGAAAGATCTGGAGCATCATGAAGCCACCATCTCCGGACTTTCCCAATTGAACAGTCCAGGGCAAACACGTAAATAGAGACCTTGCAGATCTGACCCAGTCTCTGAAAGAGGACTTCTCGAACTTGTGAACGTTGCCATTTCTGGCTTCGCTGACGATCTTCACCGCACTGTCGGTTTCGCGCAGCACAACTTGAGCAAAGCCATCTTCTGTTGGTACGAAGAATGTCCTGAGGATAGAAATTGGCCGCTGAGAGGCATCCCACGCACTTTTCAGTCGCTGTATATCGGTGTTCGAATCGAGTTGAAAGAGGAAGCAGGAGAAATAAACCGTATCGTCAGGGTCGGCCTGCATTACCCTGGAAATCATGCCTTCTTGTAGTGGCGTACAAGGTGCGATGCACTCAATGCTTTCTAGGGAGACATTCATACATTGTGCAATTTTTCCAGTATGGACGTTACTGAACGATTGGATTTTCTGGCGAGCAGTGTCCACGATGTCGTTCTGATGTGAAGTGGCCTCCCGCGTAATGACTCGAGCAAGATCGTGGACGACAGAGTGCTTCAGGATCGTTCCCACTTCCGCGTTCTGGAATCCCTGCCGCTTGAGCGCTCTAGCGAGACCGATGGCTGAGATGGAGTCCAGCCCGAGTTCGAATAGTCTCGAACTTGGCTTGATGTCTGATATTTGGATTCGCAAGAAAGATGCTAGCACACTGGCTATCTCATTGTAATGCTGAAGGCCTTCTTGCGTCAAAACATTTCTGTCGGATTCGTCTTGCGCTGAACCAGGCAGATGCTCCTCATAGATCGCTTTCAGCGATTTCTGATCAACTTTATTGTTGACTGATAAGGGAAGAGATGAGACTGCAAGAATGTGTGAGGGCACCATGTACGCTGGCAATTTGTCAGAGCAGTTCAATCGAATCTTTGCAGCCAGGGCCTGAGTCTCCTTGTTAGTTACAATCGATGGTTTCTCGTTCTTTGCCCGTCTGTGAGCCGTGGAGAAGAAAGTCACGAGCTGATCTTTCTGTTGTGTTGGATGCTTCAAGACCATGGTAGCCACGTCCTTGACGCGACTATCCGCACTGAGAGCGACATGATTGATCTCCCCGATTTCCAAGCGCTGCCCACGCAACTTGACCTGATCGTCGATTCTGCCCAGAAATTCGAAGCTGTTATCATGCAGGAGACGGACGAGATCACCAGTTCGGTAAACCCTCGTATCATATTCAGCCAACGTTACGAATTTCTCTTTTGTAAGGTCGGGTCGGTTGAGATATCCCTTTCCAACAAGAGGGCCAGACAAACAAAGCTCGCCGATGGCCCCGCGAAGAACAGGAGTCTGCGACGAGGGCTCCAAAACGAAAGAGCCTACATTGTCCCATTGTTGACCAATATTGGTTGGTTTCGCATTCTTGGGTACTTGCCGGTGTACTGTGCAACCAATTGTCACTTCACTTGGCCCATAGAAATTGTAAAGACAACCTGTATCGCCCCAGGTCTCCAAGATATCCTGGCCGACTTGCTCACCGCCAACGATAAAGACTCCCTCGCATAGATTCGGCACTTCTTTGGGCGTGAGTAGCCTTGCCAAACTGGGGGTCAGGTCGAGATGAGTTATCTCGAGGGCGTTGATAGTCCCTGGAAGATCCTCGAACAAGAGATCTCGGGGTGCCGAAGTTACGATGATGCCTGTGCTCCAACTCCAGTATTGTTCAAGCACACTGACGTCGAAATGAAAGGACGCGAACTGCAGCCACCGAGATGATTCCTTCCATCTACCATCGAAAATCCGCTGGAAAGACAACATTGCCTGGACTGCGCTGTCATGGCTGATCAAGCATCCTTTGGGTGTTCCTGTAGTTCCCGAGGTGTACAGACAGTAGCAGACGTCTTGTACTTGCAGTTCCTTCGAAAGTGAAGGCTTTTTGCTCGAGAACTCCTTCCAACTGGCATTGTCAATGGCGAAACTACAAACGCCTGGAATGCTGTCAAATTCCGATACCTTGTCGCCAGTTGTGAGGACAATTCCACAGCCAGAATCGCGGAGGATGAATTCCTTTCTCGAAGTTGGTGCCCCGGGATCGATCGCAATGTAACCGCATCCTGATTTGAGAACCCCCAATATTGCAAAGGAGGCTTCGGGACATTTATCAAAACAAACAGCCACGAGACTTCCAACTTCTATCCCTTTGCTCTGGATCAGTCGAGCGATTTTGTTTCCATTCGAGTCCAACTGGGCATAAGTCCAAGTTTGCTTCGTAGGGGTGTTCCTGGGAATGCTTTGCACAAATTCCAGGGCAACATTGTTTGGTTTCTCTCTTGCTGTCCGCTCCACAAATTCATGCATGTAGCGAACCGTGGTCGGAATCCGTTCTTCTTTTGCAGGCACGATCGACAGGACAGATTTCGGGAGCGTCGATTTAGATGTCGTTTGTGCGAGCAGGACTTTCATCTGCTCTTCGAATTCTTGAAGGATATACACGGCTTGATCTGCTGGTATCACCTGTTTACGGAAAGTTGCCTGAAGATTCAACACGTCGTTCTCTTGGGGTATGAGCTCCAAGGAGAGTATATATTCGGCAGTTGCATCGTCTTTGGCGAGCGTCCACGGCCTCTTTGGGCCTTCGTCTGCATCGTATTTTTGCAGAACGATCACAGTGTCGAACAGATCGCCTTCAGCCTGCACCCAACGCTTGATCGAGCTTAGTGGAGTATGCTGGTGTTTCAATATACCAGCGCATCGCCTAACGGCTGATTGTAAAAGATCACTCCTGTCTTGAGAGAGTCTCATCGCAAACGGGACGGTGTTGATACAAGGGAACACTGCCTTGTTTTCCTCTTCCTCGAAATCCCGACCGGAAAGGATGACACCAAATGTGACATGATCCTGGCCAGTGTATGCCGAAAGTAATACAGACCAAGCTGCAGCAACCAAAGATTGCATTGTTGCTCCAGCATTTGCGCATGCATCCTCGAGGGTTTTTAGAGACAGACTGCACTGCCGAGTCGCGACGCAATAGTTGTCAACCTCTTGATTGTAGACCCCCAACTCTGGAAACCGAGTTGAGCACATATCAGTCGATACTTCCAACCAGAATGGCTTGGAACTTTCGTCTCTGCTCAAGCCTAAGATTTTCGAGACGACTGGAGCAAGAGAAACACCCACGGGGAACTCGAAACCCGCATACGCACGTGCAACATCGGCCAATATGATATCTAGAGAATGTGCATCGTACAGAGCGTGCAGCATGGATAGTTCAAGGTTCAGAGCGGAGCCATTTTTGGTCACCCGAATGAGCCATGGTGGTTGAGTGAGATTGTCCATGTTTCTTGATTTGGTTTCACCTCTCTCCTGGGGTATTTGCACTAACTCGTCAACCCAAGGTAGCTGTACTGCATCTGGTAGATAGGTTATCATGACAAATGGAGTCTGGGGATCGTCGGTCTCAGCGAAACCAGTCCTTAGCATTGCGTGTCTTTGCATAGCAAGATACCATGCATGTTTTAATCTTGGTATATACACGTCTTTATTCAAGCTGAAATGCATGTGATTGAGGTAGAGCGTGTAATTCGATCGGAGGAACTGCGAAATAATCCCTGATTGAGTAGGTGTGCAGGGCCATATGGCCTGGACATGAGTCTCGTCTCGGCCGTTATTCTGACAGATAGACCGGCGACAACGCTTTTCGTAGGAATCAAGGTCAAAAGTCGGATGCTTGGACTCTCGTGGCGTCCCTGAATCGCATATTTTGGCGATATTTCCGAGGCTTGCAGCTTCCAAAATAGCTCCAGTCGATATGTCGAATCCGCTTTTCCGCAGCCTTGCTGCAATCTGTACGGCATTAATGCTGTCGAAGCCAAGACTGAATATTGTCGTGTCTCTGAAGATCTTTGAATGCAAACCAGGATTCAATTGGACGAGTATGTCCCTCACCAATGTTTCCGTTCGAGACAGTGTTTCATTGATGTGCCCCGGCGCATCAAAGGAGTCTGTGGGTGGTGGGGAGGCAAGAACAGTGAATGGCGTAGAAGCCTGCAGTCGTGGCAACATGCCAGCAATGAATGAATGATCCAATGTTCTTGACTGCGGATATCTGGCCGTGTGGATGAGAAGGGCGTCGTATATGTCCAGAAATCGACCGAGTATCTTCTTCTCAGCTACTTCAGAGTGCAGTCTCAGGATGATGGCATCAGCCTGTGAATCCATCGTGATCTCAAGTATGAACGGGAAAGACATATCCCCTGATTCCTCAACCAGAGTCCAAACCTGATGGTCGAGCCGCAGTCCGTCTTGTTGGAGCAGAAGAAGTGTATCAAATAACGTTCTGCCTTGGGTGTCTACTGCTCGCTGGATTCGACGAAGCGAGCTCGACTGACGTGGTAGAATCTCGACATTTATCTGCTGAAAGGAATTACACAATTCTTGATTCGATTCGTCTGGCCACAATTGTACTCTGGTTGGAACTGTGTTGAAGCATGGAGCGACCATCGTCTCCACACCGTCGATAGGAAGGTTCCGACCGCTAAGGACATTTCCAAAGCAGATATCCTGACTATCAAAGAGGCAAGAGAGAAGCCGACACCACGGAGCTTGAAATAGAGCCAATGGAGTCGAATGTATCTTTCGCGCACATCGTTGCACTTCTGAGACAGACATCGTAGACCTCCGTTCAACCAACAAATGAGTGTCAGGAGCAGCCTTGTCCTCAGGCAATATGGCTTCACTTAGTTTGCATAATGTAGCTCCCTGTAGCTTTCTCCGCCAGAAATCATATGTATCATCCGTGTTCGACATCTCCATGAACGACAGATAGCTATCGAAGGGGGTTGTCGGAGCCAGTTGGTGACCGTGGTACAGGGATTGAATCTCGTCTAACAGAACTGTCATTGCCTCTGCATCGTATAGACAGTGATGCATTCTCAGGATTAGCTCTGTCTTCCCTCTGACCTCAAGGCTCCATGGCGGGACCATGAGACCATCCAAACCATAGCTCAACTGTTGGGTGTCTTCTTCGAGCCAGGGAAGCTGGAAATTCTGCAAGACTGCTTGCACAAAAGGAGAATCAGCGGAGTCAGTTGCAACAAAGCCTGTACGAAGGATCTGGTGTCTTGCTAATGCGTCCTCCCAGGCATGTCGTAACCTCGGGACGCTGCCACTGACGTTGAAGCGCAGAGTGTTCCGATAGGCTCGAGAAGAAGTATTTATCGAGCTGATGACCATAGATTCTTGTAGAGGGGTACAGGGAAGGATCCTCTCGACTTCCAGGCCAGCCCGCGAATACAAACTGCGGATTTCCTCTTCCCACTTTTCAGTGAGACGACCCATATTATTCTGGCCGTTGAATGTATTGTGCTGCGGAACATGTTTCTCAATGTATCTCCCTAGTTGTGAGATGGATGGGTTCTGCATCAATGAGGATATCTCCACAATAGGATAATGGTCTCGCAGTGCTCTTGAGACGCGTATTGCGCTGATCGAATCCAGACCAAGGGCATAGAAAGAGGTAGTACGGCTGATATTTGCAAGATTGACTCCAAGCGCATCAGCCACGACACGGGCAAGAATTTTCTCGGAATCGGAGAGTTGATCAACACCTGCCGGCTTGCTGCCTCTAGAAGTGGCTTGGAGCTGTTCTGTGCTGAGATTTTGATAGTGGGTGATCAAATCCCAGCGATTGATCTTTCCCTGACGCGTCAGAGGTATCTTGTCAAGGTGGATGAGGCTATCAGGTATCATGTAATCTGGCAAGCTATTTGCCAACGTTTCGAAGATGGTGGCATTCATGTCGTCGGGGTCTGCAGTTCTGTAGGATTGGCGTGGTGCCCAGAAAGCAACCAGACTCGCACTTTCGTTTCCTCTGGTAACGACCAGGGATACCGCATCTTCAACTTGACTGCACCTCACCAAGGCGGAATTGACCTCTCCTAGTTCAATTCTCTGTCCCCGGAGCTTGACTTGGTCGTCCTCACGACCTAATACGACTAAGGAATCATCACAAAGAAGCCTTCCGATGTCGCCTGAGCGGTAGAGCCGACCATATTCAGGATGATCAAAGAAGCTCTTCGAGGTCAGCAAAGGATCGATATATCCGCGTCCGACCTGTTCTCCCCCGATCCATATCTCACCTACACCTCCCTTGATAACTTGCTGAAAATGCAGGGTGGACTGGTGACTGGATGAATCAGTGGTACCGGACTGCTTCGGGGTCTGTCTTTGGCAAATAAAGACGGATGTGTTCAGCAACGGAGGACCAACATTATTTGGCAGGTCAGATTTCGAGACCTTGGGCCGGACGTTACATATGTTTGTTGTCTCACTAGGACCGTAGCCTTGGTACAGTCCACGGTCGGCCCAATCCGAGAAAACCTTCGAGTTCATAGGTTCTCCAGCAGTAACCAGCAATTTCACCTTTGGGACGTTATCAGGTCGAACAAGGGCCGCTACCGAAGGGGTCATGCTCAAATGCGTGATATCCAGCTGTTTGATGAAGAATTCCAGGTCTCTAAACAGCACATCGTTTGACGCTGTGCACAAAGTTATACCTTTGTGCCAAGCCCAGAAGATCTCAAAAACTGAGACGTCGAAAGCTGGTGAGCAGGCTTGAAGCAGTCGATCTGTCTCGGGGTCGCAGGGGTAAATACGTGACAACTCCTCCAGATTGCTGAGCAAATTTCGACGGCTGAGGAGGACGCCCTTCGGAACACCAGTGCTGCCAGACGTGAATACAGCGTATGCTAATTGATCACCTTTCAAAGACCGGTGGTTATCAATATTTGTCGTGGAATTCTCTTCCAACACGCTGGCAATGGAGACAGGCGTTGGCGCATCTATCTCGTTCGATAAAGGCACATCCTCTGTAAACATGGTAAGCCTGCATTTGGCTTCGCTCAAAATTTGGCGGATTCGAGCAGCGGGCGTTCGCGGGTCGATGCACATATAGGCGCCCCCAGCTATGATGGTCCCTAGGATGCCAATATAGAGTTGAGACGATCGAGGGCCTATCAGACAGACAAGATCGTCAATCTGCACGTTGTATTTAGTCTGTAACACCCGGCCGACAATCCGGGCGCGTTTGTGGAGGTCTCCATAAGTGAGGATTTCCTTCGTCACCTGGCTCGTACGCTCGTCGATACTATGCACGAATTCGACGGCTGCTCTGTCTGGACACGATTCTGCAAGTCTTGAGATGGTGGTTGTCAGATCAAAATCTTCGCTGAACTTTCGGAAGCTCGTGTTGGTCAAGGACAACGTGTTCTTGTCAAAACTTTCCCAGAAGCAGTTCAGACTAAGGTCAAGGTTGCTCACGATTCGAGAGGCAGCGTTGTCCAACTGATGAGTTATAAGCCTTGCTTGATCTTCTGGAATAAGGTTTGTGTCGAACGTCAACTTCAAATAGACCTGACCTTGACGCGGTTCGAATTCTAGCACAATGGCATAGTCCAAGGTATCTTGTGATCTCAGACTTGCAACTTTGGAACGATCCCTATGATCCACTTCGCTGTCTTGTTGCCAAACACACAGCGTATCGAACAACCTGTCCCCAGGGCGGAGACCTGCTGCATTGTTGATGTCCCGTAAGGTAATGCTCCCATGTCGAAGAAACTGGTTGCGTTTCCTTCGGACGTGATTGAGGACATCATGTACCGTCCTTAGAGCACTGACATCCACGCGGAGAGGGAATAACGAGAGACACGGCCCAATGAGGGATTCGATCCCTGCCAGTGAGAAATGGCGACCGGCCACAACCACTCCGACCGCGACGTCGGCATTATCGAGATACGATGAGAGTAAAAGTGACCATGCCGCCTCCAAGATCGTCTCTCGACTGCACCGCGCAATTGACGCAAAGTGAGAGAGCTGTTCATAAGTTATGGCGAGTGGCGACTCTGTGGTTTTTCTGGGTATTCTCTCCAGTCGAACAGGTGTTAGCATCGGAAATGCTGAGGGCTTGAAGTCCTGGAGTTGATTTCGCCAATACTCAACATTTTCTGTCTGCTCCGACCTTAAACGATCGTGCTCGCTCGAGCGAAATTCGGAAAATTGAGTCCTGACGGGCGCATTTTCTCCAGAGAGGATGGCATTCAAATCGTCTAGGATCAAGTCCCAAGACCATCCATCATACAACGCATGGTGAATCCATACCAGGACATCTCTTTCATCCTCTGTTCCGGCGTTTTCCAGCTTCAAGGGGTGCAAAATACTCAATTCAGGGTCGTCTGAGAGGTCTCGCCACACGACTTGAGCAAAGGGCATCTCTTGTCTCCCGGTCGGGACGAATCCGGATCGCAAGATCTCATTGTTCCTTGAAAGCTTTTGAAATGCCTGGCGCAAGTGTTGCAGTGTCAGACCCGATCCGAGCTTGAGCCAAATTCTGTTGAAATTCTGATCTTCTTTCGCGGCGGTTTCAACTAGCATTGCAACCTGCATGTTACTGCAGGGCAATATCTTGTCATAGGGCATTTTGAGGCTCGAGTTGTTCAGGTCATGCATCACTTTTGCCGTGATGCCTTTCCATTCGTCTGAAGTTGCGTAGTCAGGCTGTGCCCTTTCACTTGTTGCATCTTTTGACTTGGTAATAAGACTTGAAAGCGTGGCCACATTGTCGGCTTCTGAGATCATCGCGGCGTTGACACAATTGTACTGTTGGCGTAGTCGAGACGCAATTTTGATGGTTCGGAGAGAATCAACGCCCAATGACCAGAACGAGGTCAGCCTGTCAACTGGGCATCTCAGCTCATCGCTCAATACTCGGCCTACATTCTCCTCTACCGAGTTCTTAAAAGAGGTTTCGTGGCTGATTGACACCCGGCGTTCTCGATAGTTTCGTTCAAGTGCTTTGCGGTCAATCTTCCCAGAAGGTAGTCGAGGCACATTGTCGTCGAGCAGCACAATCTCGCCTGGACGCATGTAGGGTGGTAACCATGCCTTGCATTGGTCGGAGACATTGGAGACCTTGACATTATGATCTGCAGCGCAAAAAAGGACGAGGACGTCGTCAATGACGCCTGCAATGGCAAGGTGAACACCATCAGTCTTCGAGGCAATTTCTTCAATTTCTCCCAGTTCAACCCTTTGGCCTCGGAGTTTGACTTGGCCGGAGGTCATGCGTCCCAGGATCTCAAGCTCCCCATCAGGACGGCAAATTGCTCGATCTCCGGTTTTGTAGATTGGCCCGTAGCCATCAAGTTCAACAAACGCAGCTTGGTTCTGCTCCGGCCGATTCAGGTATCCATCAGCAAGCTGACCTGCAATCGCCAGCTCCCCGGGCTCGCCGACTGGTGCGATTTCAAACGCTTCGCCTTCCTTGAGGATAAAAGCTGTGACCGTGGACAGCGGTCTCCCAATCCTGCGTACCGATGCATCAGCCGCTAGCTGGGGTGCCACAGTACAATGGATCGCCGCCTCCGTAGGACCATACATAGCATACAGCATGCTCGCCTTATCTGTGCTTCCTCCGAATTCGGAAACGACTTGAGCTGTGAGCATTTCCCCAATTGTCAGTAGCGTCTTTAAGCAAGGGGCAGCCTTTCTGGTTCTCAATAACGTCCCCGCGACCGTGGGGGTGAGTTCCGCAGCGTCCGCATCCAAGACTTGGATAGCGGCAGGTAAATCAGTAAGCATTCGCTCACGGTCGCAACCCACTAGTGTCGCTCCCCGGAAAAATGGAAAGAATATCTCAAATATAGAGACGTCGAACGTTGGTGAAGCAAATTGTAAAAAGCGTTTAAAGAAAGGGATATGCTCGTCATGCGCAAGCAATGACTGTGACACTGACAAGTGCGATACTACAACACCCTTGGGAAGTCCTGTAGAACCTGAAGTGTACATGACATACGCTGGACTGGAAGGTGTGATGCACTCATGGCTTTGAGGACGGTCATCCTCTGCCTGCGCCGAACGCGATGTCCGTTCGAGTGCTTCCAAAGATACAGTCTTGCATTGGACGGTTGACAGTGCATCCTCAAAAGTAGCCCTTGTGGTGGTGGTCGCCAGCACGAAGGTTGACTGCGTATCTTGGAGAATAAATTTCAGTCTCTCCGGAGGTACATCTTGGCTGACAGGGCAGAAGGCAGAGCCAGACTTCAATACTGCCACCAATGCCACGTATAATTCTGGAGACTGAGGGATGATGACAGGAATGATGCTTCTTCTATCCCCTTTGGGCGAGATATACTCTTGGATATCCCGAGACAGGAGGTCCGTGAGGCGATGGAACTCGTCGTAGGTAAGAATAACGCGTCCATTGTCCGCCAGTAGGAAGTCTAGAATGAGATTATCAGAGGATGTCGCTATCAGCTCGTGCAGTAACCGTGGCCCAGGTAGTAATTGACGATGTTCGTTGACAATTGAGAGCATATGAGGAGGATGAGAGCCATTGACGCGCGACGGCATGTTGGTCATTGGCGACGGTGATGAAGAGCTTTGAGAGAGATTAGTATGAACGAGCGAGAGAAAAGAGAGACAGAGCTTTTGCGTATGCGTGTTGCGTGTGAGTGTGAGAGATGCGTGGGTGCAATACTTGTTACAGTATTCAATGACACACCACTAGACGAGGGAGTGAGGGCGTTTGATCGGCAACGTCATGTAGAGCTGTTGCACCGACGTCTGTGTCTCTTGGACTACCCTGGTGCGCTCTTGTGAGCTCTGGATCAAGGATCTTTGGATGGTGGACGAGGTAGCATTGACTGCGTGGCTGCTCAAAGCTAACCGCCGAGAACGTGATGGAAGTGGAAGGTGATGTCGACAACGGAGCCCCTCATGCTCATCGCAGGCAAAGTTGCACCTCTACCATCCTCTTGTCAACGCCAATGCGGGCACAGCCAAGCTGCTCTTCATGCATCACTGTCAATCGAACACTCGGTCCACTAGACAAGCCTGGTCCGCTTGAAGTCACAGGAGAAAGAAAAAAAAAATTAGTTTCATGCTCGAAGCCTCGTCTGATGTATGCCACGGTCGCTATGAGAGAAACAGCGGGGCTTTTGTCCACATCGCCTGGTCCCTTACGGTCCCTCACGGTCCCTCCACCTGCGATAATCCAAACTAAGTGGTTCTGGCCAGACGCCGACATCATGCCGTGACAAAAGATTATCAGATAATCTCCCCGATTATCAGATAAAATTTTCCCTCCGCAATCGGATCTGATGCACTTGAGCCAGGGCAACAGGGGGAAGAGATGGCGTGACGTATTCATGGACAAGGATGTTTGAATGCATGTGTGTTTCATTGCCCACCACGATCCTCCGATGCCATCTCCATCTCATCGCATCGACCAGTGGCTGCTGGGTGGATGATCGGGTCATTGACTAGACACAGCTGTGGAGGGACAACAGCTGCCACCAGCTGCTAGTCACCGCAGGGTAATTCATTGTTACCGGACGATTCCGCGTCGTTGGCTTGATTGATGGCTTCAACCTTGCCACCTGCACCAATACAGAGAGCCTGGTGAGCCCCTCTTCCCCTAGTCGTTACTCAATTATACACACCGAGTACTTGATTGATCTATGATCTAGCATCTATTCCCGGCTTCAAATGCTATTGCTTTCCTCTCTCGAGAAAGCTGTCGCACAACCTGATCTGCTTTTTCTTTCTGTCATTGTCTGGAACTTGATCCGCCCCCAGGTATCTCACCTTACATTGTATTGCTAGTTGTACTCGACCTCCTTTCTCATGGCTCCGGGGATTTGGTCCGGAACGAATGGACACGACCATCACTCAGACCCGGCGAGCCCCACGAACGGCGTCAATGGCTGGACTTCTGAGTCTTTGAGCAACGGGCAGCGCACAGACCTCGCCGCACCTAGCTTCTATTCTGCTGCTCCAGGAGAGGTCAACGACCTTGTATGCGTGGGCTTTGGGCCAGCCTCTCTCGCCATTGCGGTCGCGCTCCATGATTCGTTGCGCGCTCAAAAAGCAGCCAACCCCGAGGTCGCCACTCCCACCGTCCGCTTCTTGGAAAGACAGCAGACGTTCAAATGGCATGCGGGAATGCTGCTTCCCGGCGCAAAGATGCAAATTTCATTCATCAAAGATCTTGCCACCCTGCGAAACCCCACAAGCCAGTTCACTTTTTTGAATTATCTCAAGGAGCACGATCGACTGGTGCAGTTCTCCAACTTGGGCACCTTCTTGCCGTCTCGGCTGGAGTTTGACGACTATCTGCAGTGGGCAGCACGTCACTTCGAGCATGTGGTCGAATACGGTCAAGAGGTCGAATCGATCCTCCCACGCAGACTGTCTGGGACGGACAAGTACGACTGCTTCGAGGTAGTGTCACGGAACCTCGCCACCGGCAGGACTATGAGCTCCCTAGCCCGAAACGTCGTGATAGCGGTGGGCGGGCGACCTGCGAGGCCGGCACTATTTCCACCCTACCATGATCGCATTCTGCACTCATCTGAATACAACACGAGAATCAGCCGGGTGTTGCCAGACAGGGACCAGAATTACAGCATTGCTGTCGTGGGTGGCGGCCAAAGTGCTGCCGAGGTCTTCAATGATCTCCATCACCGCTATCCCAACGCCACAACCAGGCTCATCATTCGAGACTCTGCGCTCCGGCCAAGTGATGACTCACCATTTGTCAATGAAGTCTTCAATCCAGAAGCAGTCGATGCTTTCTTCGACCAACCAGAAGATATACGGGCTGAGAACGTGAAGAGGAACAAGGCCACCAATTACAGTGTTGTGCGGCTCGAATTGATTGAGAAGCTTTACGACGATCTTTATATCCAGGGAATCAAGCAACCAGACAAACGTCTGTGGCAGCATCAGATTTTGCCATTGAGGGAAATCTCGGCAGTCGTGACCGATGGACCTAACAAACGGGTCGAGCTGGTCCTGTCCGACCTCAACCCGTTGAACGTAAACGGTGAAGAGAAGCTGTCGGTCGATGCCGTCGTGTTAGCCACTGGCTACCGGCGTGATGCGCATGTCGATATGCTTAGAGCTTGTCAGGATATCAATTCGAGATCGGATGGGCACTGGCAACCAGGACGTAACTACGCTTTGAAGTTGAATCGTGCATCTGTGCAGGATGGCATCGGAATTTGGCTGCAAGGATGCAATGAGGCCACGCACGGCTTGTCTGATTCTCTGCTGTCAATTCTATCCACTCGAAGTGGCGAGTTGCTGGATTCCATCTTCGGAATCAACGCGAATCCCAAATATCACTGAGACAGGGCTGGTCTTAAAGTATGTACCTTTCGCGAGGATATCGAGAACGATGTGATTCATTCCTTTTTCCTTGGTGAGCGAGAAAAGGAGTCCAAGACAGGTAGCTCGGCGGCAGCAGGTTGAAGACGAGTCGATGTTAACTTGGTGGGTGGTTATGACCATGGGTATTTGATTAGTGGTAGACCGGCGAATATCCCTTGCACCGAGCCTGTAGCTCCCAAACTATTAGCGCACTTTTCTTCTCCTGTTGTAATAGACGTTTCCTAGCAGAGTGCCAGTCCCGGAGGAGCCGATGCCCTTGTCTACATAGTTGTGGAGGGTCCAATAGAGGCTGCCGACAGTTTTGGCGGAGGTCGAAACGCACAGAAGCCATAGGTTGGGGCAGCGCCACCTCCGCAAAGAGGTTACAGGTCTGGAGGCGCAGATGCCTGATGGAAGCGGCTTAGAGACGAGGGTATGTCCATGCCCGTTGGTCAGTCCTTGTGCAAGTTCCCGGGTCAGCCAACTGCCGTCCGGAGAAAAGGCGCAGGAGGGTGGACTAGCTGGGCTTCGAAGCGGTCGACTCGTAGAGACAACATCTTGTCCTCATTTTCAAACTGCTACGAGGGAAGTGAATCGGCCGTAGGGTCAAGGAGAGACGTGAGGTGTGAAGAGAAGCAAGACCCGACAAACTGCTCCTAATTTTCTGAATTCGGAATCTCAGTCTTTGAACCTCGGCATGCGATCCAGTGGCCAGTGGCTGATGATCATTGCCGGCGCCCCAGTCACGGCTCTCCAAGTCAATTATTTGACCCTCAAACTCTGCCCACTCTGACAGCTGCCATGTTCATACTTTGAGGAAGAGAATCGGACCATCCTTTCAAAAAACCCCTCTGTTGCGCATGGACATTCAATCTTCCCCTGTTGTCGATTGAGTGGACATGGACAGTCTCGAACATGAACTCGAGCATCCAAAGAAACGCCGGCGGCGTGAAGTTGAACGGAAACCGCTCGGCGTTCGACTGGCATTTGACGACACAGTCAAGACCCATGCTGCCCTGATATCCCAGGGACTTTGGTCGAAATTGACGGGCGGTACTAATGGTATGACGGACTCACTTCGAGTCCTACCAAGCTGATACGGAGTAACATGCTGACGAGGATCTACAGATGCACATAACGCGACGAACAACCTGTTCATTGCCCTCACTCCTTCGTCCCCTCTCCATACCGAGCTGCAAGATTCTACGTGGACTATCCTCCCTGTAAAACTCCGCGAGCCACAATCTTCGACAGATGGCTTGGAACAGGCCGACATCATCAAGCTTTCCCCAAACTCCTCTGCGTGTCAATCGATCCTAAAGACTTACACGACAATCGACCGAGATCGACATCCGGGCCATGTTCCCAAATCAATCGAGATTCGGGCAATTGCCACGAGACCTCTTACACTAGAAACCATCTATGTTTCCGTTGAGAAGGGCATGCTTGAGAAAATCGATGACATCCAGGCCAAGTTTGGTGGAGGTTTTCAATATGGAAGGCAGGTGAAGGTTGACAGGAAGTCCTCGACGCCCAATGGTGTGTTGCAGAATGTGCCTCCGATTACCGGTCGACTAGCATCGCTTGTCCGAGATGCGCTTTCTCAATTACCTGTGGTTCATTCAGGAGATGTCTTTCCTCTACCACTGCCGGCCCATCCCATCACTCATGTTCGACCACCTCCCGCCATTGTGGTCGAATGTGAGCCGGTGTCTCAAGGAAAGATCTCTGCAAAGACCAAGATCGTTCTGATTCAGACAGGTTCGTCACAAGAGAAAGCTCTTTCGAAATTGGCACCCGTTCAACCGATAATCGAAGAGTCGCTGGAAGATACGGCCGAGGACACCTCGAATGATCAGTTTTATTCGGCGGCCGAGGATAGACAGACAGAAACTGGATCAGACGATGATGATGACTTGTCTGACGAAGAATCGGGTACTGACTCAGCCCATGAGGAAAGCGACGAAGATTCCGACTCGATGGACGATATGATTTCGCTTAGCGCACCTGGGCTGCCACCACAACAGGCTGGGACGTTATCGGCCATGACGGCAGCAACTCCAAGACCTGGTGGGAAAAGAGCTACAGGCACACATACCCCCGGCTCCCTCTACTCGAGCTTCACGTCTGTGACGGCAAGGGGTGGCAGTCGCCCGGGCAAGGTGTTCCGCACCGAGGCCCTCCTTCGCAAAGTTCCGATAGAGCTGATGCACCCTCAGCCCAGTCTCGAGGATGATGAGGAGTCATTTGTCTTTATTGACACCAGCACGCTTGCCAAAATTGGGTGTTTTTCCGGCGATTGGGTTCGAATAGAGGTCGCCAGAAATGTGAGCGCTCAAGGGTTCCCGCACTCGGTTCTTCGAAGCCTCGGTGGATTTGCAGAAGAAGAGTCTGACTGGCGAACGGTCAAGGTGTTTGGTCTTTCGGGGCTGGCAAATTTGCAGCCACGTTACGCTGTTGACAAGACCGGTGATCGGAGGTCGAGCTTTTCGCAGAGGGACCTCCTGTTGCCGTTCTCACCAGTGGTCTATCTTTCTCCCGTCCTTTTAGCCAATCTCGCGAATGCACAGTACGTCAAGCTCGGAGCTTTACCCACACCTCCCCGGCACGATCTCAAATCAATCCATCCACCACGGTCCAGTACGTTCAAATCCCCGCCAATTGCGAAGGAGGTTGTCCTGTCGAAGATCGCCGACCCAACAACGACGAATCCCGCTTTCCAGCCCACTTTGTTCTCATCCCTGCAATATCACCTCCAAAGCAAAAAGCGCGTTCTAAAGAAAGGTGATCTCATTGCGGTGCCGGTAGACCAGGAGTTGGCGAAGGCTCTCACGTCTCAAGCAGGTTCAGATGAGACGCCGAGTGAAGATGAGACCATCAAACGACTCAACACTCCCGAGACCGTGGGCAACTCGCGATTTGCCATTGCATGGTTTTCTGTGCAACAAATCCACACTGAACAGGCGGGCACTCAAACCGAAGAGGAGCAAGGCATATGGGGCGGAGCTGTGACCCTTGACAGTCTACAAACAAGGGCCTCCCAAAGTGGCACAACCATCCAATCAGTCTCACACCTCACAGAGATCTGGACCCGTTACTGGATTGGCATCAGCAAACTGCCACAGCAGAACGTACACCGAGTCGACCACGTTCCAACGGCAACAGATATACCGTCCCTGGACAAACTTCCATTGGAGACACGTTTGTCTGGGTTGATCTCGGCTGCGGTCAGCAACCGTGCTATCAGTCTGGGGCTTCCACCCCTTGTCATATTGTTATACTCTACCCAACGACAAATCGGCAAATCGTACATTGCAGAATCTGCGTGCTCAGCTATCGGCGTGCACGTCTTTCCCATTTCCGCTCACGATCTGTTGTCTGAGAATGCCTCTACCACAGGAGGTGGTGATACCAAGACCGAAGCATTGCTACGCACCAGAGCTGAACGGGCGCTCACAGGGGGTGCTCAACAGACAGCCTTGCTCATCCAGCACATTGATGCTCTGACTGCGGATAGAATGGTGCCTGTGTTACAGGAGATCATTTCAGAGTCTCGTGTGCTAATTGCAACCACCTCCAAAATCGATGAGATTCCTGCCGGAGTCCGCAGTCTATTCTCTCACGAACTGGAGGTAACAGCGCCAGATGAAAAAGCCAGAGAACTCATCCTTCGCAACGCATGCGTTTCTCTCTCAACACCGCTGTCGCCCACTGTCAATTTGAAATCAATCGCTCTTCAGACCGCGGCGTTGGTGGCTGGTGACCTGCTCGACGTCGTGAATCGAGCTTTGCTTGCACGGTCGACTCGTCTGTTGTCACTGGCAGAGTCTCAAAGCTGTGATGTTTCCGACATTTCCATCTCCGGAGGCCAAACAGCCACGCATCTTCTCCCTAGTGACTTCACTCGCGCCATTGCCGCTGCACGATCGAGTTTCTCGGATGCCATCGGAGCTCCCAAGATCCCAACCGTCACGTGGCAAGATGTTGGAGGGCTCTCGTCGCAGAAGGACGCGATCATGGAAACAATTTCTTTGCCTCTCACTCATCCCGAATTGTTTGCCAATGGCATCCGAAAGCGGTCAGGTATCTTGTTTTACGGACCTCCAGGAACCGGGAAGACTTTGCTGGCAAAGGCAATTGCTACCGAGTTTAGTCTCAACTTCTTCAGCGTCAAAGGCCCTGAGTTGCTGAATATGTATATTGGTGAATCGGAAGCTAATGTCCGCCGGGTTTTCCAACGTGCTAGAGATGCTCGTCCGTGTGTGGTCTTTTTCGATGAGCTAGATTCGGTGGCACCAAAACGTGGAAACCAAGGTGACAGCGGTGGTGTTATGGATCGAATTGTATCCCAGCTCCTTGCCGAGCTCGATGGAATGTCAAGTGGCGGCGGAGGGGATGAAGACGGGGACTCTAAATCAACGTCAAACGGCGGCGGTGTCTTTGTTATCGGCGCAACGAACAGACCAGACCTTCTCGATCCAGCACTTCTCCGACCGGGCCGGTTCGACAAGATGCTATATCTCGGTGTGGCCGACTCGCACGACCAGCAGGTTACGATTTTGAAAGCGCTAACAAGAAACTTTACCCTGGCCCCAGATGTCGACCTCTTGAGCGTCGCACGCCGGTTGCCTTTCACCTATACCGGTGCGGATCTCTATGCATTGTGCAGTGATGCCATGCTCAAGGCGATTACGCGGAAGACGCGATCCGTGGACGAGAAGGTGCAACAGATCAGTAAGGCCCGTGGTGAAGACATCAGCACCGGTTATTTCTTCGATCATTTGGCCACGGAGGAGGACGTCCAGGTCGTCGTAGGCGAAGAAGATTTCATGGCAGCTCAAAACGAGTTGGTGGGTAGTGTGAGCAAGAAAGAACTGGAGCATTTTGAGAGAATCCGCAAGCTGTTCGAAGAACAAGATATCACGGTGACGCCGTCCACCAACGGCGAAAAGGGCCGTGATCCGTCGAGTCTACCTCTACGTCCCACACCAGCGCCTCAGCCGACTCCTCAAACAAGATCGGATCCTCGTGTAAAGGACCAAACTCGACCCCCTCCGCTGCAGATCAAGGACAAGGGCAAGGGCAAACAGAAAGAGGTCACTACGTTGAATTCGAATCACACGCCACCACTGATTTCTCCCACCCATTTCTCACAATCCAACAAAACAACTGTACCACGGATTGGCAATCCCGACTCTGGCAACTCGTCCGACGCGGACAATTCTGACTTTGGATTCAGCATGAGACCGACCCATATGAACGGAAGTGCGACGATGAATGGAACAGGAACATCTGTCGAAAACAAGGGCAAAGGAAAAATGAGGGAGTTGGCTCCGGAAGCATTGGCCGATGGATTTGTGGATGGTGTGGAGGGGGACGATGAAGGGCTGTACGATGATTGACCGTGAAGTCTCTGTGCAATGGGTTTGCATTCCTTGTCCTTAGACACTGCATGCTGTGAGGCAGCTCGACGACAGTGACACTGGTGGTGGACATTCCTGATGGGGGGGAACATAGTGGGAAAACTGCCAGATGCACAGGTCTGAACGATTTATATACTATTGGGCGCGAAAAGTTACATGACTGGATCTTGATCTAGATATACCTGTATTTGTGTCGTTTCTACAACCAACATTTGTTTTTGATCCTGCAATACGTGTGTGTAGTCATAGTCTCAGCTCAGCAGCGAGAACTATCAAGGCCATGTCCCTACCAGCCAGCATTTAGAAACGAGACATGTATACTCGGTACAGCCAGCTAGCTCACTTGACATTTAAGCCACCGACCGAGACAACCCCCGGAAGTTTCTTTAGCGCGACTGTTTTCGGTAAACCTGTGTGGAACGGGCAGCTTCATTTATCAAACACGAGATGGTGTGGCATCCACCTCGGCACAACCATCGTTCTCATGTCCTTCTCTGACACCAGCATCTGACCGTCATTTATCATCATTGAATTCCGTGTCGGAGGAAAGGTCGTCCTCCACGCACAGCGCAACGCTCCGCCTCAAAGAGGAGCCATGCTCCGGTCAACACTGCGTAGGTCGCTACATCACGATTGGGTTTTTTGCTGGGAACGGGTGCTGATGGATGTCTCTGGATTTCGAAAGCTCGCACAGAGTGTGCAAAAAGCATTTATATTCTACATGGTCTGTTGTTCAACGGTGTAATACCAACTCGTGTTGTCTGACAGGGCTAATTTCGGCCAACACTTTCGACCTCCGACCACCGCAAGCATTGCCGGAGTTTCGTGTTCGCTCCCCAATCGCCAAAACTCCGGGAGAGACCCAAAATGGTTGTATCACGCTTGTGGGCGAGATGGACTGGGTCGCAATTATTGACTCGGCTAACATTGTCTACAAGCTGACTCCGGTTCATTACGTTTACGGCGGATGAACAAATGTTGCCGAGGCACAATCTGTACAAACGTCCCTCGTAGCGCGCGCGGTTCGGGACAATCGTGATAAACTTGTGATATCTGCTGCCCTTGAAACAGTCGCGTGAACAGGGGCTTGGCCATAAGATGCTATATATCTCAACACTCGCTTGGGGTTCCCAGAACCTCACGCCGTGATGGCATCGGAAAGCACATGTGCAGCCCGGATCAAAGCTTCTCGCTCGAACCGTGGCAGGTCGAGATCTCGTAGAGTTATGTGCTCCGCTGAGGAAAGCAGGAGATCAACAACGATCGCACAAGAGATGATAGCAGAGATGGCTGGCAGGGTCGCAAGGGGGGTGAGGTCTCCGTCCAAGACGGTCGCACCATTCCTCCCATGTCCTCGCTTTCCACAAACTTTTCCTCGCACGGAAGTTCCATGTCCCTATTGCTTGTTGTGGCTTGTCAAGAAGACCAAGGCGAACAACTCATATTCCCTGGAAACGGCTAGTTATGTTACAATGGTATTCGGGTCAACGGTGACAGAGTGGAAACAAGCATGACTGGATATAATGTCTCTCCGCAAAAGGGCTACATTTTGACTGGTTTCGATTCCGACAGGCACGGTTTCCTCCAGGTTTTGTATATTTCTTCACTCATCATCTCCCACGATGACATCTTGCATCTCACTTGGATTGGTGGTGGGAAGGTGTTTGCCTGTCCGGAGTCTGAAGGATACAAATGGGCCAATCTTCTTCGGGTCTGAGGAGGGTTAGCGTGCCGACTGATTACGGCGACGGAATGCTTGCTCACTATTGTGGTCGAGAATATCAAAGTTCCTCTTCAGCTCTTCAGGGTTTTCCGGTGTGATTTCGAACAAGTAGACGAGCCGCGCAATGACAAGATGTAGTTCATTATACGCGAGCTTCCGACCGGGACATTTCCTCACCCCGAGAAGGAAGGGCCAGTACGCATTGTGTGCTTGTTGTACCTCTTCGGCGGAGAATTCGCCTCCAGCGATATGTCGTTCCGGCCAATATCTGTCGGGCTCTCGGATATATTTGGGATTATAGCTCGTGGCCCAACCTCCCACGCCGATAGTGGTCTATCAAAGTTTAGTACAGGTACGAGATGGGATGGAATACCTACTCCTTCATCCAAGAATTCTCCATCAATCACTGTTCCTCCCTGATAGTTCTGTAAGAAGAAGGACATCAAGGAAAGCTGGCATCACGGTCACTTACTCGAAGGACAGTCCTTTCTGCAACGCCAGGGGCAGGCGAAGCCATTCGCAATGCCTCCTCTACGCATGCTCGCAGATAAACGCAGCTCGTGAGTTTTTCGCCGAGGCGAATCTCTTCGACGTCTTCAAAGGTTCTGTCAAGCTCTTCCACCAGAAGCTTCATACACCTTTGCTGCTGCATGAGGTAGAAAAGAGTGCCCGCCATTGCTATTACTCTGTCACCATGGTATTCATAATATTGCAGACTTTTCCTTACCTGCAGAGCTTGTGTCACTTCCTGCAAGGATCAATAGAACTCCCTCCGCCCCCAGTCGGCCATTGCTCAGAGGCTTCCCCGCCTCGTCGTGTGCGTTCAACAACTTCTCTAGGTTAGTAAGAAGCCACTTGTAGTGTCCCCTCTGAGACTTGCATAGTGGAAGAAATCTTTTCGATTGTTCACGCCAGTGGCGCTTGGGCCTGCGGCAACCCGCTCCGATATCCGTTTGGTCGATTCGGCGACAAATCTCTGGCGCATAAAGTAGATTCGAGGTAATAACAAGTTGATCAAGCCGGACTTGTGCAACCAAGGCACGGTACCGCCCTATCCATCATGAGCATCGATCCCTCTTCGGCGAGCCCTCTGACTAGCTCTGTCAAGATATGACCTACCAATAGGTATGAGAACGTTGTGGAATCAATGAGATCGAGAATATAGTGTAGCGAGGGATCCGTCAGCATACCGAATCCGCGGCCAAAAACAATTTCACCCATCAAGTCGTACGAGAGAAAATTGAACCATCTCGACATGTCCTTGACCTTCTCGGTTGCGGGATCAACCAATTGACGACAAAAGATGTTGATTTGATCCACCATGTAAGCTGCCAGCGTTAGGATCTACCTGTTATTCTATCATGGGCGAGGCGAGGCGATGCCCACCTTCAAAAGATCTCAAGGAACTCTCTGAGAATCCACTCGCGAGGATTTTTCTTTTCTTCAATGCTGCATCTTTGTATAGTTCACTGAACGTGTCCTTGGCCTCTGAATTGGTCTGCGATGCGGCAAACAGATCCGATTTACGGACATTGGCCTTGAAGCCGTAGATATCTGCCAACCGAGTTATTTGCGCACACTTTTCATGTCAAAATATGGCGACAATACCTTGAAATGCTTGAGGTTCATTAAAAGCAAGTTTATTGGGGGCGTAGCGCACGATCGACCCTTCAGGTGCCATCAGCATATACACCATTCATCGAACTTCTGTCTCCAATTATATACCATATTTATCGTGCAAGGCTAGAATATTATGCGCCCGACGCTCTGACAACGCCGCGAAGAAGTCATAGAGAGAAGTAACTTTGGCCCAGAAAGGACCAGGATACTTGGCCAAGGGATGGAAGTATACTCGGTAGATCACCAATCCTGCACCGTAAGCAATGAGCGTTCCTAGAAGGACTGGCGCCCAGTGACGATCATCGACTGAAACCCGGTCCCAGAGCCCGAGGGCGAGTGATTCGGACAGCATCAGGACAAGTGTTCCTCCAAATGATGAGAGATTCGCGTCAACATGCGTTCGGGCCAAGGGCAACAAAAGCATTTACTTTGGTTGTTAGAAGTGGTCGTCCGTTTGTGGTGGTACTCCGACTTCCACAGAGTATCTCCGATGAACGCAGAGATTGTTTGGTAGTGTTTGACAATTGCTGCAATAGATACCACGCTCACGAGCATGACACGGTCCCCGAGCCATGTTGACTCTCTTGCAATCGTCGTGACATGTTCTGCTCATTGATACAATCGAGAAGATGAGGTTGACGACCAACAAAAAACATGAAAAGGTGGACAGGGAAAGGTTGAAGATTGAGGCAAGAATCCGAAACCAACATTTTGTGCCCGAACCATTGGGGCTCTGCGTTTAGCACTAGCAGCTTGATATTGGTACAGCATGAGATTGTAATCAGCAGGAAAGCTAGTGGACAGATCTGACAATCTTGAGGCGCTCCTGGGCGCTCCATCAATCCTGCCAATATCGACCCAAAATGACACAATGAACCTCTTTAGGCCGCTCTTTTCACCGAAGAACTTCTTTAGGGGTGGACAATCCCTTGGTGACGGTGATGTTGGGAGGAACCTTTGCTCCATTGTCTATATTCTGCCCTTTGCGAAACTCTCTCAGGTGGTGAATTTATGATTCATGGACCTAACAAACTCGGCAAGATTTTCACCTTGGAACCCATTACTTCTACTCTCAATGAATTCCAATTATCTCTGCATCATAATTATACAAGATAGTACATTCAATTTAGCGCCAAGGATCAGAAACACTTCTTTCTAACTGCTATAGTGCTTGATATCGGTTTATCTGCCTAACTGATAGTGGATTTAATCTAATTCTCTTCTCATGACCACAAAAGAGAACAAAGAGTGCCGAAACTCGCCTAACACGTGACGGTTGGGCATGTGACTTGCACCAGCAATAGGTACTACCACAGGCTGCACAGGCACGTGACAGGGTAGGAATGCTATAGCATACGGAGTATACGAGCAACTATTCATCGAGTTATGCTACGAGCCTCTGATCGCCCAGGTCCTAACCCGTAATTAATCGTCAAAGTACCTACTGCGAATGGGATTAGTCAGGACGATCCTGTCAAGTTGACGGCCGCTATTCACCGGAGTTCTTCTGCGATCACATCCAACCATCGGAGAGATGCATGCCCGCAATCATCTGGCATTGTTTCGCCTCGGGCAAGCCACTCTGCAAGATGTCTACAACCCCAACCTGGGACGCTGATATTCAAGATCCTTCAGACTGTGTTTATTTGCGCTGCATCATCATGTCCGACATCTCTATACGCGAGGGAGACCTGAAGGGTCTGAAGGGCAAACGCGTTGTTGTGACGGGTATATTGGGTCCACTGCCATTTCCAAGTGTCGTCGACTTCTAATCAGCAGGCGGTAGCTCGGGTATCGGTCTCGGATTCGCAAACCTGGTATCGTCCTTGGGTGGCCTGGTCGTCAACGGAGATCTTCGAGCTCCCCAGGAAGCGTTGCCCGGCGTCACTTTTTTCGCGACAGACACCACATCTTGGTCGTCTCTTATCAATCTTTTCGAGTTTGCGAACAACACAATGGGAGGAATTGACATGATCGCAGCAAATGCCGGTATGCACCTTGCAGCTGATAATCGTCGCGCGAGATCTGCCACCCCCTGATAATTGATTCCGAGCAAAAAAGGTGTCAGCACGTGCGAGGACTATCTATCCGGAGAGCTGGACGGAAAGGGCAAGCTCAAAGAGCCTACACATGACAATTTGCGAGTCAACCTCATCAGCTGCATCAATTCTGTCATCTTAGGTGTACATCACCTGCGACAGCAGGGAGAGGGTGGCGCCATTGTCATCACTGCCTCCGCGTCAAGTATGTCTTTCTCATTCCACTCGAAAGGGGCCATTTGGCTGATGACTTGGGTCTGGTGCGTGATCACGAATAGGTTTTCAAAGATTCATTGCAACGGATTACGGTAAGACATATCCGGAACGCAACGCATTCTTTTTCTGTCTTCAAAGCATTACTAACAGTTGTCAAGCCGTCGGAAAACATGGTATTCTAGGTGTGTGAAACATCTCTGACGTGGATGCCGTGGCGACGACTGATACTCGACGTCTAGGATTCATGCGCTCACTTGCGGATCGTCTAGATCAGTCCGAGCAAATACACATAGGCGCAGTTGCGGCAATCTGGACATCGACGGGGATGCTGAGTGATCAGGTCGCTCAATGTGTTCCAACACAAGATGCGAGAACCGTTGCTCTCTCCATCGCCTGGCTGGCTTTGCATGCGGAGACGCACGGCCAGGTCATTTACTCTGCGAGCGGCTCGTACCGCGAAATCGAGCTTCCCATCCAAAGCTACACCAGGAAGCTACTGGGAGTCGAGAAGTCGGAAGGCGAGCTTGCGATTGAGCTATCTAAACGGGGCGCGCTGGAGTAGAGCCGGTAGAACGCTTGACGATTTCTACATGGCTCACTGAAGGCAGGCTATAAGTCATGCTCGTTTCACAGAGAGACGAATTTCCACAGAGTTGGTTTTCACGTTTTCTGCTCTCCCTCATTTTTTTGCATTTTTTCAAGTCACACTAGCTTTCAACTTGTAAGGATTTCATTTCGATATTTGCAGTCATTGAAGTGGTAATCGGTTATGACGGTAGGCTTTAGCCACGTTACCGAAAACTACTTTCCCTTGATTCTATATAAGCCTGTCGACATAACTGTTTCTTTGCAAGAGAACCGTCCTTACCTTGCCGTATCAGAAACCCTTTCTTCCGGCCGAACAGCCTGCAAGTCACAGGCATTTCCTATGTCCATGTCACCCGACCATTGGAGAATCGTTCTTTTTTAGTTTACACCGTGACGGCGTCCAGTGTCTCATAAGTTGCAGGCTGAGCAATTGCTATTCGGCGGCTTTTCGAGCCAGAGGGCCGGGTGTATGTTCGAGGAATGTTGTTGTCAAACAATCGCAGAAAGTCCAGTTCTCGCGGGTATCTCCTTCTATCTGTAATTGTGTGAGTAGTAGTAGCACCAACCATAGGACAACTAGGAGCTGCTTGTCAATTCCGGTGTGCCCATGAATACATGATCCTTGAGTGGATTGACAACAGCTCAACGGATAATCTTCCATCAGCTCTTCACAAACGCCTCCTTGGGGAATCTAGATACCATGCCAGATCTGCGCCTTGCGTCTCCTCGAGTGCTGTAAACCCGTTTCCGGTGAATTTAAACCGGTTACGACTTCGATAATCTATTTTGAAATCCTCGGGTCGGAGGGTCTTGGTCATTTCATGGAAATGCAAGATTGAACCTGGATATAACGCCGTGATGTCGGAGCCGTCTTGATGATTCTTGTACCAGGAGCGACATCCGCCAGCCCAGGTGGTGGTCTTGAGGAACTCTTGTGCGTATACATTCCAATCTTCCATGGCCTCTCTCGTGACGTCAACAGTACGGATATCCTCCATGGCGATCTTCTCACACCATCGCAAGATGTAATCGGCCGCCCAATCTATTACGGCAACGAGGCTGCCGTGTCCGATGGGTGTGTTCGGGCCCAGCATAGTAAAGTAGTTTGGGTAGCCGTTGACGCAGAGTGAGAGGTAGCCTCGCGGCTTGGTCTTCCATTCTTCCGCTAGGTTGCGGTGATCTCTTCCCAGGTGTGGCCACCTAGGTCTGCACGAGACATCGAAGCCTGTAGCACAGACTATGGCGTCGACCTTGGTACGCGTGCCATCTTCACATACAATTGAGTCCTCGGTCAATGTCTGGATTGGACTAGTCACGACCGTGGTCTTCTTCTCGTCCAGGAGTGCCTCGAGATATCCTGCTCCTGGAGTTGCTCGGCGGCAACCATAGATATATTCTGGCAGCAGCTTCTGAAGGAGTTCTGAATTGCCTGCCAGCTTCGCAGCCATAGCATTTCGATTGAAATCGTGGCTTTTCTGTTGAACATCACTACCTCTTATCATGCCTTTGAAAGCTGCGTTGATATCGGACTGGATCTTCTTTCTTAACGACAGTAGCGTAGTCGGATCCGAAGCAAATGCCCGTTTTTCTACCTCCGAGAACGTCTTGTTGACAGCACCGCCAATAGCATCCGAGCCTAACTGTAGAGCTGTAATATAAGTGGGTATGCGGATGAACGTAGTTAGGTGCTTGACTTTAGGGTAGAGGGCAGGCACAATCTGAATCCCGGAAGATCCATTACCGATAACTGCAATGTTCTTGTCTGTGAAGTCGAAATCGTTCTTCCATGAAGCAGAGTGGACTATATGGCCCTGATAGTTGGATAAGCCCTCGATCTTGGGCCAGGTCCAGTTACTGTGAAGATGTCAGTGAACCTGCTTGGGGGGGAAAGGGTGCTAAGTTGATTAATTACTTCAACATGCCGCCAGCGTTGACCAAGATGTCGCATTGGTCACTGATCTCCAGCGATGGACCCTGCCGAATTCTGAGATGCCACTTTGAAGTCTCTTCATTCCATGTCGCACCCGAGACGGTTGAGCCAAAGGAGATGTGCTTGTGCAGATGCAATCTTGTGGTCACATTTTTCAAGTAGTGGAAAATCTCGCCTCCGCTCGCATAAAAAGCCGACCAGTCAGGATTCGGGGCGAACAAAAAGCTGCAGCGGAGGGTGAGCATAGTCATTGTCCCCAGGAGACATTGGAGCCCTGACCTGTAGATGTGACTGGGTACATCACATGCGACTCCCGGATATACATTCTCCAGCCAAGTCCCGCCTATATCATTCTGTTGTAGTCAGCACATTATTCCTGTGCTATATGTCCCAGGCTCAAGTAGTTACATTTTTTTCATATATTTGCAAATGAATGAAGGAGTCGAGACCATATTGGTTTTGGATTTTGTGGGCCAGCCTAACATCTCTCGTTCAGAAAACTGTCTTTATTATTGGTAGAGGATGCATTCGTACGTCAGTCCAGACATGCCTGCCTGTATTCATGAGCTCTTCATCCGGCCGCGCAGAGAATGGTTGACTTACTCCAATGCATACAACGCGTAGTTTCCTCGCCGTACGTAATGGAGAGTGGGACAGTGGCTCCCAGTTCTTGCCATGAGGGACTCTTGCAGTCTCATCACCGGTCGGGGCACGCTCCTCTATTGACGATTCTCCCAAGCCATTGCTTAAGCCGTCTCGATGCTCCATGCCCAGATCAATGTGATTGGCGTGCATCGTGCCTATCAACAATCAGTCGTTCACACGAGTAGTCTGACAATCGAAAGGCGTAGCAAGCAGTTGGCACAACTTATGGCGTCGCCAATTGTATTGCCGTGGCCACCAACCCAAAACAGTATCGGAGTTTCGCTGCGGATGTCTGAGTCAAGGGACCTGACCTTCAGCCAATAGAGAGCCACTCTCGATCATTGGCCGGAGTTCAGAGTGTGACTTGATTTCCAAGTTGTCAAAGTCCGACTGTGCGTTGACGGTGAGCTACGATAAGTTTTGTTGCTTCATCAAATACCTTGCTTTGCCATCGTGGCGCAAAGATACTCGATTAGTTGACGATGTCGAATGACCAACCGGACCAAATGAACACTCACCCGGCAGCGGCAAACTTGGGAGAAGCTCATGGCAGAAGCGAGCTTTCCGCCGAGCAAGAGGCCCTGAAAGCAGAGTTCGTGGCCGCTGGGGGCACATGGTCCACCTCGTGGGAAGCACTCGTGTTGCTGGACCCGGGTTACTTTTCTGCGTATCTGCGACTGCGCTCAGTCCCCTTCAGAAGAAAGAAATTGCCACGCAAAATCCAAGAGCTTGTTCTTCTCAGCCTGAACGCGTCTTGTACTACTATGTTCACACCCAGCATCCAAGCACACACCTGGGGCGCTTTGCAAGCAGGGGCTACAAGGAGTGAGATCATGGAAGTTCTCGAGCTGGCCTCAGTTTTGGGAATCCATGCAGTGAACGTGGGTGTTCCACTCCTTCAGGAAGTCTTGCGCGAGGAACAGCTGGCTCCCAGTCAGGTCGCAGACACACTCGATCATCGACGGGAAGCACTAAAATCCGACTTCATCAACAAGCGAGGGTACTGGCACTCGAGCTGGGAGAACGTGCTAGAACTCGACCCGGACTTCTTCGAAGCATATACTGAGTTTTCATCATACCCTTTCCGGCAGCGCCAACCTTCCGAGCAGTCAGATGAGAATGTCATGTCTCAAGGTCTTGAAGCCAAGGTGAAAGAGCTGATATATTGCGCAATTGATTGCGCTACAACGCACCTCTTCGTACCAGGATTGAAGATTCACATTCGCAATGCCTTGAAATATGGTGCCGGACCTGAAGAGATCATGGAAGTTTTCGAGTTGGCAAGTCTGATGGGCATTCATACTGTGACTGCTGGCGCTGAGGTGCTGGCGAGCCTAAGCAAGACTTGAGCGAAGTCATGTATGTGTCAATAGACGCTATACGTAGCACAGCCATAACAAAGACCTGGGCTCGAACGGATATTCGATCTACCATATGCAAACGCCGTAGCCAAACCTTAGCCGTCTTTCTACCTGGTTTTTCTCTCACAGAATTACATCTCGCGAGTCCGCCTCTGCGAGACCAAGCAATTACCGTAGATGCAGTGGGAGTCGGAAAAGCCCTCCCCAACCTGAAGACATGGCATCCACCCCCTCCTAGCTTTACCTCTAAAAGCTATGAGCCGCTGTCATCTCCGTTACCCACTACTCAACGGTAATCATATTAAAGGCTCCTCGTCGCAGATTTACTGTTGGCAACGCTTTCACAAGGACTACACAGAACTGTAGAGTGTTAATTCTACTACCACGCCGTCAAACGCTTGCTTCTTGAGTTAAGCAATGTCTACTCTGCCGGATTTCGACTCCCTACCACCGGTACCAGGTCAACCACAAGGGAATGCTTGGGGCCTGTGGGGAAAGGACGATCAAATTGGCTGTGTGTATCTCCCCAAAAGAAATGCTCACAAGCCCACTGACGCATTGCCCCAAGGTCTGAACAAAATCACCCACGCGGCCAGGATTAATGCAGCAAAAGAGGTCAAGGCCGGTAGGAGTGTCTCTCTCGACCAGCCTCTCAACTGGATGGACAATCACCGCATAGCTGGGCGCATGGCTTTTCAACACAATATTATAGACTTCAAGAAGCTCGTCAACTCTTTCGGACACGATGATGAGGTTCACTTTAATACACAATCATCTTCTCAATGGGACGGCTTACGACACTGTGGACTCCAAAAAAGCGGCCTCTATTACAACAACCTGAAACATGAAGACATTGATACGAAGACAGACGGAAGAAACGGGACACACCGTAGGCATTTGTTCCTCCTTGGATCTTGGTTTGGTCGAAGATTGTCTCACATCTCAAGCAGACTGGGTCGCGGCCGGCGGTATTGTTGGTCGTGGAGTGTTGATCGACTACGTTCGCTGGCGTGAAGAAACCGGACAAACCCCTATCCCAGCTGACAGTGCCTACGGAATCACTGTCGACGAGCTGTATGCTGTTGCGAAACATCAAAACCTCGAGTTCAAGCCTGGAGATATTCTCCTTATCCGTGGCGGGTTTTCGCTCTGGTATGAAGCTTGCGCAGACAATTTGAAAGCTGAGAAGCTCGAAAAGACCGAATTCATTGGAGTCGAACGGTCCATGAACATGGCGCGTTTCCTGTGGAACAATCATTTCTCCGCCGTGGCGACCGACTCGATCGGCTTCGAACAGTGTCCCGTTCCCTTTGGCAGCGAGACCGAAGTGGTGTTGCACGAATGGATCATCGCTCATTGGGGCATGGGTTTAGGTGAGCTGTGGAATCTGGAGCCCTTGAGCAAGCTTTGCGCAGAGCAAAAGCAGTGGAGTTTTTTGTTCACGAGTCACCCGTTGTACGTCTTTGGCGGAGTGGCGTCCCCTCCGAATGCCATAGCCTTACTCTAGATTCTAGTCCATGAGGATAGCTCGCTTCGGTCAAATGTGTTTAAACCCCGAGTGAAATTGCCCGAAGTCTCTCTATTTGTACCTTCCTGAAACGCGGGACCATCTTTGATGTAACTAGCCGGAATTCAAAACTCGAAGCCAATATGCTAGGTTGATTATTTATTCCACGGTACCCAATAATACCAATACCGCATCCGGATCGGAGAGCAAAGTGGTCGCAGGAATGCAAGAACCACAACCGACCTTTACCGAGCCGATTCCCCCAAGCTGGAATCGTGGCACGCTATAAGGAGCAAATGTTTTTCCAAATCCATTCTTTCGTGACTTTTATGGTGCATGGATGTCTCCACGAGAGCTTCAAGGTTTCTCACTACTGACTTTTTCGATCGAACCTCTCACGGACTGCTGGTCACTGAACCACCATGGTACTCAAGCCCGAAACTTCGACGCTCTTTCGCTCTTTGCGTGTCGGCACCATGGATCTCTCGCACCGCGTTGTCATGGCACCGCTGACTCGATACCGAGCACTTGATGACCACGTCCCGATGACATCGCTGGTCGCGGACTATTATGCGCAACGAGCACGTTCTCTTCCTGGAACACTGATCATTGTAGAAGCAACTCATATCTCGCCGCGAGCGGGTGGAGCTGCCAACGTACCAGGAATCTATTCCCCACAACAGATACAATCATGGTCGACTATCGTCCGAGCAATCCACGATGTCGGCGGTTACGCCATTTGTCAACTGTGGGCCATGGGCAGAGCCGCCAAAGCAGATGTCCTGGCAAGAGATCCGGAGGGGCCATTTGATGTCGTCAGCAGTTCAGACCTTCCTATCGACGACAAGAGCGCAGTACCTCGCGCGCTATCTGTCGAAGAGATCAACGAATTTGTCAAGGACTATGCCAAAGCAGCCCAGAACGCGATCGAGGCGGGGTTCGATGGCGTTGAGATCCACGCTGCCAACGGTTACCTCATTGATCAGTTCACCCAAAACACGTGCAATAAACGTACTGACGAGTATGGTGGTTCAATCGAGAAACATTCTCGTTTTTGTTTGGAAGTGGCCAAAGCCGTGGTGGATGCGGTTGGTGGCTCGCGGGTCGGCATCCGTCTGAGTCCATGGTCCCCGTTCCAGGGCATGCGAATTGCGGATACGGCGTTGTTGAAACAGCAATTTGGTCATCTGATCCGAGAAGTCAGAAAACTCGGCCTCTCCTACTTACACCTGGTCGAACCCCGGATCAGCGGAGACTTGGACGTGTCAAAGTCCGAGGACAAGGAATCTCTGGACTTTGCTTTCGACGCCTGGGGTTCAACTGTCGATGCACCGATAATGGTCGCGGGAGGCTACGACCCCACGACCGCCCGAGACGCAGTGGACAGACATCCTACCTACCAGGATAGGAACGTCGCGGTGGTGTTCGGACGCTTGTTTATCAGTAATCCAGACCTCCCTTTCCGGATTCTTCACGGCCTGCCAACCGCGAAGTACGATCGAGACACCTTCTACACCCCGAAGAAAGAAAAAGGCTACAACGACTATCCGTTCAGTGCTGAATATCTCAAGACCATAGCATGAGGTCGCTTGCAACGCGACTGAGCTCATTCTCATGCAAGGCTGGTGTGGTGTACCGGCGAACAACGGCGGGCGCGAACGACCTCCACAACGCGTATAACCCTCCCCAGAACATGTTGAGAGATAGAAGGTCAGAATGTGTCCTGTGGATATCATGCAAGTTGTAAAATGCACGACAGCTTTCTACCCCATGGGCAATTGACATTAATTTTCAGCGTAGAGAATGAGCATTCACGTGAAGTTGCTTCATGACGAATTTGTCACCGTCGAGTGATTCGATTGAATATATGGGATATCTGTCCGTTATATCTCAGGAGTACCACCGTGATATAGTGTCATTGTGTAGCCAACTGCAAAATGCTCCGATGTAAATGAAAACAAAGCGCATGAACGATCCAGAGGCGGCACTATGCAGACAATGTCCGCAGTGTTGAACAACAGCGAAACAGAGCGATCCATTCCAGATCACAACCTGAGCCAAACGAGCTCGGGCTGTTAGGAAGCTCCACTAATTATGATCTCAGGCGTAGAATCCCATAAGGGAAGGTATGCCACCCCAAGGATCCAATCAAATCGACGTGTGACGTGTTACGGACTTTGGACATCTCCAGTAACAACCCAAGTGAGGTGGACCGCAGTAAAGTCCGAGAGACATCAACAACCGAGATTTGCACGACCGATCACCTGTAAATACTACAGAAGACCTTGAAATACTACAGAGCCCTAGCGATGCAACTGAGCCTACCAGAAAGATCATTAGAAGTGAGGACAGAAACACCATGGCGGAGCAAACTCACGCAATCGTGACTGGTGCATCTTCTGGTATTGGCAGAGCAGTTTCATACAAGTTGGCACGCCGAGGGGTCAATCTTTTGTTGGCCGACATCAACATCGCAGGCGGAGAACAAGTGGCCGAGGACATCCGCAACAAGTTTAAAGTCGCCGCAGCTTTTGTCAAATGCGATGTGAGCAGTCAAGCGGATGTCGACAACATGCTGTCCGTGTTCAAGCAGAACTATCCCCGGCTTGATTGGGCCTGCAATTGCGCAGGGACTGCGGACAAACTCATGCCTGATGAGGATGCCGTCACCCAAGAGCAGTTTGACTGGTAAGTTTTCATCCTTGTGTCCCGCTGAATTTGACCCTGCTGGGGCTCTGAGACGAGATTATCTAGGATGTATCATCTCAACGGCAGAGGAACCTGGATGTGTCAAAAGGCCGAGGCCTTGGTCATGCGCGAACAAGAACCGAGAAAGATTGTGCTCGACCCTTCCGAGGAAGTCGTCGAAACCAGAGGCTCGATTGTCAATATGTCGTCAGTCTGTGGTATTGTCGCCCTAGGACTCCCGGGCTATTCGGCAGCCAAAGCTGGAGTGCAAGCCATTAGCAGATCAGGAGCGCACTTCTACGGACCAAACGGCATCCGGGTCAACAGCATATCGCCAGGATCGATCAGGACCGAGGCTTCTGTCGCCTGGGCTAATTCCTTGCCTGACGAGCAGTGGAAGTTGGTCGCCAAATCAATTGTGGATTCAACGCCACTCCGGAGGCAAGGGCGGCCAGAGGAGCTGGCCAATGTTGTTGCCTTTCTCCTTAGTGACGAGAGCACCTTTGTCAATGGCCAGAACGTTACAGTCGATGGGGCGTGGACGACTGCTAGATACTAGATATAGCCTCAATGACAAATGTAAGCTTCAAACGACCTGTGATATATCTCCGTGGAGCAGTAATGCTGGGGCAGACTGATCTCTACATGTTCGATCCTTGAGGTGGTTGATGTTGACGCGTACATTCGACGAGCCATCGCTCTTTCAGACGCGAGTCGTACGCATGTCTGCGAAGCTCTGCGAGCGAAGTTTTTCGGGCCAGGAGGGGAAAAAGCCAGCCAGGCCAACATCCGACCAAGCACTTTGCAATTGTAGTTCTCCTAGCTTCCTCAGAGGCAGTGTCGGGTGCAGTCACTACTTTTTCGGGTGGATGGACCGATTGCAATATCCCATGCATGGGTGGGCAGAGCCCGACTGTGGAAACATCGGGGTAAAAGCGTGGAGGGACAAGAAACATGTGGCCGGCCTCCTCCTATACAGGCACCCCTGAAATGCCCCCCCAGATTCCCTGAATTTCCCAAGTTTGTGTCACACACACGCAGTAGTCACAAGATGGCCGGAAGGATCACTGCCACGGTCCAAGAATGGGCCTCCCAGTTCTTGTCACGATCCGTGCTCATCACCTTCATCATTGCGGCTGTACTCCTTTACCATGTCGGACGGGCAATTCATCTGATTTGGTTTCATCCATTGTCGAAATATCCCGGGCCGTGGTTTGCAAAGATCTCGCCGTTGTACGATTTTTTCGTGGCACTGGGGGAGAGAAGAGCCCAGCATTTTGAGTATTTGCATAAGCGATATGGTGCGTTACTGAGGTTCGCAGCCGTCTTCCTCGCCTGACTGAGGACTGATTGATTACCGCAAAAAAGGTCCAGTTGTGCGATTCGGCCCAAATCAGCTCTCTTTCATCACTCCCACGGCGTTCAAAGGTTTGGACACATCACCCAAGTGAGCACAAAAGCACAGACAGTTTTCTCACGTATTGATTTAGAGATTTACGGCTTCCAAGCCAACGTGAGAAAGGCCGATGCCCTGGTGGCGACGCAGTCAGACCCGGACACAGTGAGCACTCTGAGTGATCCTTACAAGAAGTCGGCGTTGGCAAAGAGAAAAATCTTATCTCAAGGCTTTTCGGAATCTGCCCTCAAACATTCAGAAGGTGATTTATCCGGGGCAATCCATTTCCCGGTCGACAAAGACACGAGGCTGACGCCGGACTGTAGAGTACATCATAGATCAGATCAAAGTGCTCTGTCGGTGCCTGGTGGACCCTGAGACTGAGCGAGTCAAAGACATGTCGTTGTGGCTCAACTACCTCGCATACGATATCATGGGCGAGGTTGTGTTCGGCCAAGGTTTCAACATGCTCACTGAAACAACCTTGAGATACATACTGCCCTTGATTGACTCCATGGTGTTCAGCATGCTTCTGGTACGTGTTGCAAACCCGTGCCCGACCTGGTGGTCATGTTTCCATTACCGCAGGATCTCACACGACACAGGGCGGAACCCTTCCTGCGTTGCACAAGTCTGGTTTGATCAACATTATGTTTCCGCGAATATACAGAGGGCGGAAAAAGTTCATTCAACTGGCGGAAGAGAGGGTCACTCAACGATTGGAGACGGACAACCCTACTGAAGGAGGACGCAAAGACTTTTTCTATCACGTCAGAAGGTGCCTTTTGTCTGTGCAACATTCCCTTTGAGCTGACCAGTGGCCACAGCTACTTCGGGCCAAGGACGAGGAGACCGGAAAGCCCCTCTCGAGAGCGAGACTCCTGACCGAGGGTGTCCTGCTGGTAACGGCAGGCAGTGACACAACGTCAACAGGTAGGAGGCTTGATGGGCCCATTTTTCTCTCTATTTCTGGACACACAGAAAACTGGTGGATCTCTGACTTCCCGATGCAGGTCTTGCGGGGACACTCTTCTATTTGGTCAAGCACAAACGCTGCATGGAACGCTTGCGTGCCGAATTGGACCAAAACTTTGAGCATGTTGACCAGATAAAGACAGGCACAGCACTGGCAAGATGTGTGTATCTGCGAGCTTGCGTGGAAGAAGGGTTGAGAATGGCACCACCGGGGCCGGGTATGACACCCCGTACAGTTCTCAAGGTACGTGACTATATTGCTGCTTATCACCAAGACATACTTAATTGGCTAAACAATGGTGTCGGAACAGGGCGGGCAAATCATAGACGGTAATTTCTTACCAGAAGGAGTATGGCCTCTCGACTCTCTCCGTGTGCGTTCCCTCCAAAGCTCACACGAATGTAGACAACTATCGGATGCGCAATCTGGGCTTTGGGGTATAACCCGGAATACTACCCGGATCCGGAGGAATACAGACCAGAACGGTATCTATACCACGAAAGCGCGTCAGAGGCCGACGTCCTCCGAGCAAAGTCATCGTATTGGCCCTTCTTGACGGGTGTGAGGAAGTGTCCTGGAATGAAAATGGCCTACCAAGAGCTTTACCTGACCATTGCACGACTCGTATACCTGTTTGATATGACACCGGAAAAGCCGGAGGAGCTGGTGGGCAATTTTGATATGCTGGATCATTTCAGTATGTTGAGCTTGCGGCATCCCGCCATTTTTAATATGTACAGGATGCTGACGTGCCACACAGATGTCAAGAAATATGGACCATATCTGTCCTTCAAGCTCAGAGAAGGACGTTCGCTAGACTGAGAATCTAAGCGTGAGTGGGTTGGCCATCACTCACGTCACTATCCGCTCGCCGGGAGCGCATGGAACTGGTTCTGGACAGAGATGAGTAGAATAGGTAGAGCAAGGTCCGGATGATGACCCCAAACAGTGGGCACTTCCGTGAGGTTACCTGGTCTTATAAACTTCTCGCCGTCCTTTTTTCTTTTTAATTTACTGTGCCGAGCGGGATTTCCCCTAACGCATGCAACATAAGTCCAAACTGGATACTCGATTCAACCGTACTACTATTTGGTAAAAGGAGCCGTTCGTAACGCACTCGCACACCGCTCAATAATGCGAACTTTTAGCGATACTCGTCAGTCTCGTCGCTCTCATTCAATTGGTGCCACGGGGAATTCAGTGGCAGGTAGGACCCCTTGACCACGGCCTGGTCGCAGAACAAAAACGGGAACTGCTCAAAGAGACCCGGCTCTAATTTAAAAGGAGTCTCGACCCCTTGTAAAGCCAGGAGAAATTTCGTCTCAAGGCCGGGAGGCAGGGTGATCTTGCCTGGGCCGGATTCCTGTTCCGTGTCATCCTTTCCAGACAGGTAGGATAGAAATTCACTGAGACGATAATAAACATATGTTTCCTCGACTTCGGTAGAAAGACCTGTTGTCACGTCTTCCTGAGTGTGAATACCGGGAACATTCTTCTCTGCCCCCACATCCAGCCTGACTTCCAGGCAATATCTGTCCATGGATTCCTCTAAGAATTGAGTAAGATCGTACTCGTTTGCGTGACGAATCATGTTATCACGTAAGCCAGGGAATGGTAACCAGTCGATGGCGGGCCAGTGGAAAGTGGTGAGCTGTGTTTCGGTCGGTCGCCAGGGTGGCGCCAGTTTCTCGTAGTTTTCCGCAGTTGGCAGAATTCGCCATCGTGTGATGGGACCTACGAAGTGGAAGGTACACGTTTCAGTATACCACAGTTTGTGGGCTGAAAATTGTTCCGTGTTCGCCAATGTTTGAAACATTTTCCGAATCATCAAGTCTAGACTGGAGAACAGTCAGACGTCAGATCATGATTGCTGGGGAGAACAACTATCGCTATGAGAACAGCGTACCTTGGATGAACTCCCGAGGGGTCGGACTGTCGTTGAATAAGGGAGTGCCGCACCGAGCCTTCTAATCGAAGGATGGGCAAACAGTAGATTGATGGTCTGGGTATAGCAGGCACGTTTCCAGTGTTTAGTAGCTCTGAAGCCATCCGACCGAATGGGAATAGCCCTTGGGTTGACATCGATGGCCCCAGAAGAGGCGGCTCCCCCATGGTAATGTCATCGCGAACATCGAAAGAGGCGCTCGGGAGACCTGAAGGGTCTGAAAAGAGCCGATTGTTGCTGTCGAAGTCTTCTGTTAAGTCTGGTATTTGATGACAGCAGTCAGCAGGCGCAACGCAAGACGACAGGTGGTAGACTTGCCGCCGACCGGCTGGTTCATTCCCGTGAAGTCACCCAATAAGTCTACCAAAGCATCGCCGTTCGAGGGAATGCCACTGGTCTGAGCATCGGCCGAGACAATCTGTAAAGCTCGGGACAGATTAGAAAGGGACTGCGAGATATGCTGGACGGTCAGTTGGGCACGTTGATTCCGCTGAGCCAATTGTTCCTCCAAGAAGCGGACTCGGTTGACAAGCTGGTGATTCTCGTCCATCAAAGTCCTTGTATCTAGCACGGCTGGGGGGTTCGCAGGCTGCGATTCATTGACGAGCTCTGTCTCTGTCCAGGGTAGCTCCATCTCGCCGTAAAGCCTCGGACTTGTTCGATATCGTGTTTGCAAAGTACTTCATTTCATCACAAGAAGAACGTGCGAGCGAGGCAGTCAGCAGTTTGGCGGTGACACGGTCTGAAGCTTGCTTGACCGTGCGGCTGCCGTGCTAACTCGAGGGCTTTCAGTGAATCAAGCAGAGATACTCTCGGTTATAAGCCCTGGGGAGTCGCACCGCATCCTCAAACGTCGGCGAATCAGTTCGCTGCCTCAAGTCCACTCCAGCCCGCAATCTCTTCGTGGGGTGGTGGCGGCGGACTTTGCTCCGCCAACTCATGCCCACCCGCTCCGGAGGGTGACGAGGCCAAGTGGGCTCTACCGAACATTCCTGAGGGGTACTCCAGGTTCTCCGGACCAACTTTCCTCTACCCACCGGCATGCACAGCCTTGACCTGGAAGACTGGAGAGGATGAGTCACCCGCGGCGAAGGATACGAGCCCCAAATGGACCAGTAAAGTGTCCAGAGTGCAATCGAGAATTATCGCGCAAAGACGTCCTCACCCGTCACCTTCGGGCCAAACACTCGGACGTCGCCTCCTCATCTCAGAGAAAAAGCCGTCGAAAAAGCTGTCTCCGCTGTGCTTTGTAGGTAGCAGGCCAACTCGGAGCAATCTTGCCTTAGAAATCTCTCGAGCTAGCAGCTGATATTGACACAGTTACAAGTTGAAGTGTTCCGACGAGCTCTCATGTGCCAGATGTGTAGCCAAAGGCTTGATCTGTCAGAGGGAATTTCCTACTGCCACGGTTCCAGACCTTCAACGCGAAGACTGTACGACACAAGACTGCGAGGATTCGTCAGTGTCGGATCGTCAGGATGCGACCACTGAGACCGCGAACGTGCCACATGCCAATGACAAAAGAAAACAAGTCTCTAATCATTCTCACCATTCCGACCAAATTGACGTGGCCGACTCAGGCGAGCAAGACGACAGTCTATCGGCCGGAAAAGATAGCTGCAGACTGTCAGATAGCCAGGTGTTCGATTCGGATAGGAATTCCCTGGGGAGGATATCCTTCGATCTGCCGTCACTAGATCTCAGCTTCCTTCCTAACACAGGACTCGACACCTATGAACCTGAAATCACAGTCGACCACGCACCGCAAGGTGTCAATGGTATGCTGGCCCTTCCTTCCCCCAGACGCTGAGTGCTGGACCCCTGACAGAGGCCTTAGGTGTATACCCGACTCCCTTGCCTGCGACTGTGCCGTTGCATGATTACATTTCAATAAGCATGTCGCCGTCTGGTTCTCCACGGCGACCCATTCCCATTGAAGGAACCGACGAGTACCATGATGCCGCGGTCGTGGCCACTCTCGACAAATCCACTGCGACAAGACCGTCAGAACCGTGTGATTTCCAGGGTGGTCGACCAAGTTCAAGTTCTCCCAAGAGTGATTCCCAATCTTGGAACGACTTATCACCAAGAGACGGCCAAGAACGTGCAGCGTATTGGCTTACATCTTCTCAAGATTCCACGGAACTCATACAAGGCTCGTCGGACGGTGTGGATGAGGTCAAGACTCCGGCATTTCTCGATCTCGCAAATATGCTCCTGGCAGAAGATGCCGCTACTACTCAGCTTCCCGGATATCACTTGCCCTCGGGGCAAGACATGGTGACCTATGTCAATCTGTACTTTACTAATTTCGACCCTGTATGAGCTCTTTTTACCACTTCAACGGCGCCCACCGGCCTTGAAGGACCACTCTCTAACAAGGATCTAGCGCTTTCCCATCCTCCACCGCGCCACCTTTTCCTTATCGACCTGCTCCGCACTGATGTCTGCGACAGTGTCAGCCATCGGAGCCAGCTATTCGGAACATGTTCAAGCAAAGAGCTACTCCAAGGCAATGCTCCGGCAGCTTTGGTCCATTTACAAAAACGTAGAGGCCAACTTGCACCCCTTTCTTGCCCATTGTTCTGACTCTTTGCTACAGGACTCCTTCAGCTCTGGAGCTTTGAACACGTCGCAAATTATGGACATGCTTACGGCTTTCTGCCTCCAGTCTTACTATGAATTAACTTACTTCCACAAGGATGCCACCAGTCTGTCTTCTCAGCATGAACAGCTCTACATTTCCACCGCAAAGCGCCTGGGTCTGTTATCATCGGCCAAACCCTACAAGAGCGGTGACCGGGAGGAACAGACTGCCCTCAACCAGCTCCCAGGAGCAATGACTTCTCAGTCGAGCCGCCAAGATCCGAATCATGACCAGCAAGACTTGGAGAACTGGCTGACCTGGATCCGCGGCGAAAAGAAGAAACGGCTCGGGTGGGCGATTTTCGTGAGTCTGACTGTATTCTTCGCCCTTGCTAGGAGAACAAGTTACTGACCTGCGACCGACTCATGTTTCTTTTCCGCCGCTATAGATTGTGAATTGCCAGCACTGTCTCGGGCTAGACAAACACTTGCAAATCACCGAGGCCGACATCTCCATCTGTCTCCCCGGCGGAGATGCTCTTTGGCAAGCAACGACAGTCCACCAGTGGTGCGCATCACTGAATTGGTTGACGCTTCCGCCACGCGATCCTCCATTCACCGCGACCTTGCACAACCTCTTGAATGAAAACCTCCCGGTCAAGAGGCTTTCTGTCTTGAGTCGCACCGTCCTTGTCTCAGCGTGCCAGGCAATCGTGCTGGGTTTGTGGGAGTTTTCCTCGCCACACTGCGATCCCAATACGTATATTCGCAATGTGACAAAGATAGTGATGAGGATGGTGACGGTTTCAGAATGGCAGCATTGAACGCAAATCGGCCGAGCCGATCGGCTTGAGATGGGCGCGCATGAGGAAGGCCAGTGGACGGCGAAAATACAATCAATGTTCTTGTCAGGCCGCCCACCTCCAAATATTTTGTCACATTTGCAAAATTGTGCAATCAGAGTGTTTACAGGCGTGAGCCACAGAGACAAGTGCGCAGGCGCAGGCCCCCTCAGATGCTGATATCATATTCCTCTTGCACGTCCTTGCCATCGACATGTCCCATGTACCAGGTAATATCCCTCCCGTCGAAGTCTAGCGCATCGAATCCATTCCCGAGCCAACACCACATGTTCTTGCTATGGAATTTATAGTCATAGTCTTCATACCGAGGGTTGTCGATCAATTTCATGCTGCAAAAGGGGGGTTACCGTCAGCGACCCGCTTTTCCCTTGCATGTGTAACACCTCACAAAAAAAAAGATGGGATCATACGGATCAGAAACTTACTACTGATTTCTGGACCCCGGATAGAGCATGATCCTTCCGTCCTTGGTACCGCCCTTCCACCAGCTACGGCATCCTGTCGCCCAGACGGTCCTTTGGAGGTATAGATCCGCATGTTCCTGGAACTGTCGAGCTACCTCCGCCCGAGGGGTCACGCTCTTGATGTCCTCCAGCTGGATTTTCTTGATCATTTTGAAGAAATATTTCGTGAAGAACTCAATCATGACCAGTGCGCTTGCCTGCCCCAGTGGCCCGTACGGTCCGTAGTAGGTAAAGTAGTTCGGAATCGAGGGTGCGGCGAGCCCGAGGTACGAAAGAGGATTTTGTCGGTATATATCCTGTAAATTCTGGCCGTTCGCGATGATCGGGAACCTAGGTATCCAGGTCGTGTTGAACCCCGTGGCGAGGATGATGATGTCAACCTCGACCTCGTTACCCTGGGGGTCGATGAAACCTCTCTCGGTAATTTTCTCTAAGCCCGCTTCTGTGAACACTGTGGTGTTATCCGCAAGTAGCGCCTCGAGAAATCCATTGCCTGGCCTGAATGGCATGTCAGCCGCGAGGAAACGAACCAGGGGAGCCTTGGAGCTGTGACTTACGTTGGCCTTTTACATCCCACAGGAAAGTCCTTTGGTATTAATGCTTCTGCTAAGCGTTCGTTTCCGGCGAGCTTTTCTTTCATCAAAGCCGTCGCGACCTGTTGTTCCACAAGATCAGAAAAACCCCCCCCCCCTCTCTCGATAGTTTGTTGACAAACCTTCTTCGCAGCCAGAGCCTCGGGCGTGTTTTGATAGAAAGCACCGAAGCCTTGGTTGATATTAGCCTCGACGTTCTTTCGATATTTGAGATACGTGAGGGGGTCCTCGCTAAAGACCCTTTTCTCTTCGGGAGTATCTAAGATGTGGATTAGTATTGTCCGTGAATGTGCCCAAAGCCAGCCAAATATTTGCAGAACCCACAAGCAGGATTGGGGCTGTCGCCTTTCAAGTACTTTGCAGCAAACGAGCCCAAGACCCATGTCGGGGTTCTGATCCAGGTATACAGCTGCGAGACCTGGCTGGAAATAGTCGCAGTTATCTGCATGCCACTGGAGCCGATTCCGACCACCGCGACCTTTTTCCCCGCCACATCAAGTCCTTCGGGATAAGCTGCGGAGTGGACCAAGGTCCCTTTGAACGATCTCAGCCCATCGATCTTGGGCCATTCCCAGTAGCTAAACATCACGACATCCATGTTAGTATCTTTTGTTCTCAACGGAGGAAGGTGTGCAAACTTCGGGGTCAACGTACTTCAGCGGACCTCCTCCATTGATGAAGACATCGCATTCGTCGACAAATTCAGTTCCATTTACCGTGTCCTCTACTCGAATGTGCCATTTTCCTGTCTTCTCATCCCACTCCGCGTGCTTGACGGAGTGACTGAGCTTGATATACCGGCCCAGGTTGTATTCTTCGACGATACCTTTGAAGTAGTCGAAGATTTCTTTGGACTCGGAGTAATATTTGCTCCAGATGTGTGGCTTCCAGGTGAATTGGTATGTCACACTGGGAACATCGCAAGCACAACCACTAGGCACACCAAGTATCCTCAGTATTTGGGCCTGATGTAGCCCTGCAAAGCTAACCCGGAATGTCAACGACCCACAACAGATGACTTACGGGTATCTATTCTCCAGCCACGTGCCTGCAACGTCATGGTTCTTCTCATATAGCTGGAAACTGACATTTGTGAGCTCCGACTCGGCCCATTTGGCGAAGTTGATGCCGGATGCTCCAGCTCCCATCACAACGACTCTCAGAGGACGATAGACTCCCGACGGAGCCTCGTTGATGGTGTAGCCATGTTCATTGGTTGTAGGCCAGCCATAGAGGCTGGGATAGTCTTGGAATGGAATTTTGTCCAGTGGACTAGCTTTCGCGACTGCAGCCACGCCGTGCGGTGCTGCCTCTGAACTGCTGGGGGATTCAAATGGCGCCATCATGTATCATGTATCGAGCATGCGAGCCAACAAATTTAATGTCTGACATAAAATGTCGCCAATGGTCCATGCAACAAACTGAAAAAGCCAACGCGTTCCGGGGAGACTGGCCAGACAGCTTATGATACCTGATAAAAGTGCTGAGCACCCGGCTCCCATACATTGGTGGGTGCCCCCCCTCTGCCCGCTTGAGAATTTATAGCGTGAGTGGGCTCAATGGGCACAGACTCTGAGCGTCGAGTCCGCAAAAGGGTCCGGTAACCATAATAGCATGTTGGCTGTACCCGGCCAACTTTGGTTGCGGGCTCGGAATGATGAAGTGGCCAACGATTTCGCACTCCGACGTGCCCAATCCACGACTACACACCTTGTCGGTCACGCGAAGTATCTCCCTCCTTCTAGCCACAAATTGTGGTCTACTATCGTGTGTCCACGATCTCTGCCTTCGCCTAGTTTGCGTAAATGCCAGGATGGTAAAGCATGAAAGCTTATGAGCAGGAGAAGCGAAGAACCGGATGTATGGAAGCCGCGAATGCATTTATCACTTGTGGAATCGTAACTGTCTTCGAACAACATGACGCTTGTACCAAATCAAAGGCATTGTTTGATACTGAAATATAGAGTGTCATCATCCACTGCGAAGAAAGTCAGATGATGCTCAAATACTTGTATGCGATTGCCACCAGTCAAGCACACTCCACTCCGTCCACTGAGTCAGCTGGGACGGTTTTTTCGTCTAGACCGCAGATGACTTCAACACATATGATAGCCCCTGACCACGTCTGCAAACCCCGATGAACATCCATCTTGCTGAACAGCTTTCAGCACATATTGAAACGACAGATCGTCGGCTGGAGGACATGCATGGCCGAATCCTTCCTATTTTTCTCTCCCAATCTCAACGGCGTTTTCGACATGTCTGGCATTGGCGGTCTTGACCATGCCATGCTCCGCCGCTTCAGGAGCTTCCTTGGTTACAATATCCTGAAGCTCATCCAGATGCTGCCCAGCATCCTCGATGGTTTCGGCAACCGTGTCTCCAAACACGCCAGCAATTTCCTCCAAAGTTTTGCCAGAAGTCTCGGGAAAGCTGTGCAATGTCAGCGCCAGTCTCTAAAGAAGTCATTTCTCATGTCATCCACTTACAGGAAGTAGAAATACGTGATGAAAACAGCGTCCATGATGACAAATATCATGAAGAACTTCCAGCTGATTGCCTCGAGGGCCAATGGAGTCACTTGCACCAGCATGATTGTGATGGCATTGAACGCGCCCAAACCAGCCGAGACACCGGTAGCTCGAATCTTCAATGGCAGAATCTCGGGGAAGTACAGGAAGCCAAAGGTATTCAAGAAAAGCGTGAAGCCTGAGTGCGGTCAGCGATTGAACATTGGAGGATGCAACGGCCGGGAGAAAAGACTGACCGACTTCGAACATGAACATGGAGAAGATGCTCAGTCTGCCAAACACCTTATCGGTGGAGTTCGTCTTCTCGTATGTTGCCCAGAAGGCGACGAGGAGCAAGGAGCCAGTCGTGATGATGGACATGGATGTGAAGAAAGCCGTCCTCCGGCGGATCTTGTCCATGAAGAAGAGACCGATTGAGTTGGAAATGCACGCCGTGGTTCCCCAGACCCCGGTGAGCACCAAGGATACCTTGTTGCCGATGCCCAAGGACCCATAGACAAACACTTGGTAGTTCTGAAGCGGGATGACCCCGGTGAACATGACGAATGCGTAGAAGATGATGGGCATCGATGCACGTCTCCAGAGTCGGCGGTCTTTGAAGATGGCCGCCATGCCCATGGACTGTTTGCCCTCGAGCTCGAGCTGAGCTCGAATCTGATGGAACTCTTTGAGGTAGAAGTCCTCATCCCCGTTGACGCTTCTATGCATGCGATGGAGGACCTTCAAGGCTTCTTCCTGTCTGCCTTTCAAAATCAACCACCGCGGGGATTCTGGCATCCAGAACGAGCCCGCAAGCATGAGCACGGCAGGGACCAGTTGCAGGCCAAGCAGCACGCGCCATGAGACATTGCCTGAGAGATAAGAAAACCCCAGACCCCTGGCAGGAAAACGTCAGTGTGAAGGCAAATCAATCGGAAAGAAGAATACAAGGCGGGCCATACATCCACTCGGTCAGAGCATACGCGACCTGGCAATTGACAGAGTAAATGGCCGCAATGCGACCACGGATGTTCGGGCTGCTGATTTCACTGGCAAAAGACGGACAGACACTGAAGACCATTCCACAAGCGATCCCGCCGATGATGCGTCCGACCAGCAAAGTCGCAAATCCTTGGGCGCCTGTTTGCATACTGACACCTAAAATGCAGATGACACAAGAAGCCTGCACGGTGAAGATGCGCCCATACTTGTCGGGCAACCAGAAATTGACGACGCTCCCGATGACGCTGCCGCCATAGTATGCGGATCCAAAGCCTCCGATCTTGTTGACATCAAGGTCGAAGTATTCTAGGAATGAGGGATAGCCAAAGATCGACGTGGTGCAGCCTGAGATATATGTCAGCCCAAGTTCAAAGTCGAGTTGGATGCCCATTTGACAGCGCCACATCTATTCAGAGGTGAGGAAGGGGTGATGGTTGACCGACCAGAATCGTAGCCATAGAAGAAAGACCCAAATGTCACAAAGATTATACAGAGGATGGGATAGCTGTTCATGGTGGCTGTCGTGTAATCCAAGGTTGACCAACTATCAGACTCTCAGTCTGCACTGGTGAGGATCTGGGGAAATCTGGGGAAGATATGCCTCCATGTCTGGATATGCAGAAAATCCATCCATGCGTCTGGGCTACAAGGAGAGTGAAGATAGTTCATGTGCCACATCGGCTGAGATCCCTTCTACTTTGGGCTTCCTCCACCTGGTGCCGCATCAAACTCCGATATCTGTGGGCTAGTGTGGGTTGGATGAGCATTGGCAGTGGAAGGAACTGTGGCCTTTCTCCGATCACGACCAGCGGCGCCCAAGAGGACGCCGGGACCTCCGATGGGTGAGTTGATGACCTCTTCCAGCACTTACAGCCATCTGATGAGCTGATCATGCCTGACTTCAGGAGTGAGGCCTGCTCTAAGAGGAAGTCCCATGTCAACACCGCGCCTTGGTAACTGCTATAATGGCTCCGCACCGTGAAGTGCGGTGTACAGATAGTCAATCCTATACTCGAGATAATGGCATCGTCCTAGAGGGTCTGGAATGGGATCTTCAGCCGTGGTGACATTTTAAGCCAGCCGACCGTCTAATACGCGGTCGGAATGCATAACATCATCGAACTGAAAATGGAAGCTCATCCGAGAGAGCTAGCGATTTTTAGTGCTTAGGATCGGATAAACTTGTTTCCGATTGATACAGAATCTCAACGCGCGACCAACATGCCCAAGTGAAACTCCAAGGGTACGCAGCGGTCTCAACTCCCATTCAGACCGAAATACTTCAGGGGTCACAGCCTACCTTATTCCTCTGTGGTCTCGGTCCTGGCAGCACGGATTCGAAGTCGAACCTGCAATACATGAGCTGTTCCATTTCACACGAGATTTACTAGAGTAAAAGCACTCATCCTCTGCGCCTACAACATGCCAACATCAAGGCGTCGTCAACATCATCATCATATCGATACCTAGGGATGTTGCGCAACTCATAGATCTCTTCACCTATTGTTCGTTGTTGAATTGGGACGCATGGCAATGCTGACAGTCGGCCGAGCTGCATCCTCTGGGTACCAGTCGAATCCTAAAACGTTTGACAGAGTCCTGCTCGCTCCGCCACACGCGCAGTCAAGCGGATGGGAAACTCAGGGCCTCGACATTGGATAACCGTTCAGGTAGATGCCTCATCTCGGGCTCCATCACAAGGGGAAGAGGAAGAAAGGGAGCTTTTCCGTCGCAAGGTGACTTGCTGCACCAGTCAGGTTGTTCTCTGGCTCGTCTTGCCTCGTGCGAGGAATCGGCCGTAGTCCTTTGCATTTCGGCTGCTGTGTGTTGCCTGTGTGTCGTACTGTATTCTCCTCGGCGATACAAGCCAGCTTCTGGCGAGTATCTGTTCACGACCCCCAATCAGTGCGGCGAACAAGGGAGCTTGAGTGAGGTTATTGGGCTTCATGTGGTTCAAACTCACATTTGCCCCCAAAGCAGGCTGCCAGGTTCGTGTCGAGCTATTAAGCTCCTCAACATTCATAGTGCAGGTGTTAATCATGGTGAAGTTGTTCATACGAGACCCTCCGTTGCAGCGAACTCTTCGATCGGTGGTTCTCGTAGTCCGACCGCCGAGCACGATCAACAGGTCGTTTGCCCGTGTCTCGATCTCCTTTTCTTCAACTCGTGTAGACGGACTATCTCTGAAAATACACCCTGCATATGACGAGGTTGGCCAGATTTTTCGCGACTCGAGTCAGGTATTGATTGGGATTTGGGAGTTGATTCCAGTGCCACCCTTCCGTGACGAAGGCATAATATTCACGAATGCAGTAACCTGGTCCGACTTGGTAAGCATCGTGGATAGAGATGGGTAGTCGACATCGATAGGTTCCTTTTTTGCAACGGTCTCTCTCAGAGATCGCGCCCTTTCGAGGATTGAAAGACCTTGTCAAGTCTTAGGTGGGACGGGATTGTATAAGGATGATTGGGATCGTCGAGCGTCGACGTAGAGATATAGAGAGAGGAGAGAAGCGGCAATCGGAAACCCCCTCCAGAAGACGGAGGGCAGTCAAATGTGACTGTGCGTTCTGCTCGAGTAGAACAACCCGTGAGATGCCAGGAACTGATGCTGCTTTGTAACGTCATGGACGACAGCCTGACCAGACCCAGCCAGCGGCACCTCCCCTACCCAAAGTCAGCTACATATGAGTATTACCTCGTAGGGGAGTTGATGAAGTTGCCCGCTCTCTCTCTCACACATACTCTCTCGCCAGTACGAGTACATCCCTGATAAGCACCAACTACTAGCGCACCTTTCGCGCGCATATGTACTGGTACGTATATGTGTAGTCGAAATCATGTTCATTGAAAAAGGTAAACGTTGACCCCATCCTTCAAACATCAGTCCCATGACATGATATGACTCTCTCCTCCGCCCCACTAACCCTCTCCCTTCCCTTTCTTTTCTGCCTTTCTAGTATCTTTGAGCTCCCATCTTTTGAGTTTCTGCATCCCTTCCTCCCATATTGCCTCGTCTCGTCTCCTCCTTGCCTCGTCTCCCGCTCGTCCCCACTTTTTCTTCTTATTTTCTTCTCTTCTTCACTAGATACCAAGTACTCCGTAAGAACGGAGTAATTTTAATCAAACGCCCCCATCCCGTTCAAAGAACCCCGGTCAAAGCGTAGCGCGCCGTTTCTTCTAGAAAAGTCACGCCGCAGGTCTTATATGCAAGTTTCAGGGAGAAAAGTGGACCGGCACCACCAAAGGCCAGAGAGTGCGCAATCCTCGGTTGCTGAAACAGGCGTCGCTACGGAGGATTTGTTTAAATTGGGCAAAGAGATCTAGGGCCCTCCCCTCGACTACCCCTGGTCGAGGACCGAAATGCTGGGAGAAGAAGAATACCTCGTGGGTAATGAGGTTTGAAGACGGATGGGTGACTCGCAGCAAAGAGATTTGCTCCTCGTCCTCGTTCTCGTCGAAATCAACACTTCGTCTACATAACCTCACTCTCCATCCAAAGACGATACAAATGTCCTGTATGTGAATTCGAGGTCTCGTTGACGGCAGACTCCATGAACCCCAGTCAGGATATAACATATAAAGTCACCGGAACAACGACCCCCAACATGCCCTCTATTATGCTCCACAAATGAGAAATTGACAAACTCCCACAGTCGTGATCCTTTCGTGGTCTTGCTCAACATGCCCTGCCTGGTGCGCCAGGTGTATCAAAACGTTGTTATTATCAATTATGTTTTCTTGATGCCTGCACGGCGCGTCCATCATTGAGTATTCGTCCTGATCTTGCTCCCTGCCTTTTCTCGGGTACCAAATATGCTCAGTCTGGCCAGCAGATCTTTGTTGCGCCCCCCGATTATATAAATACATAGGAATGAATAGAAGAAAATTTTGGCGACCAGGCGTCCGGTGAGGACAACAGGTCGGATTCGAAATCGCACACACAGAGAATTAAGCCACTCCTGTCCGTTCGTACTGCGCATGGGTATCATGTACACATGTATCTGCCGCTTTCTATAGTCGTAGCTCATGGTGTGAAAATGTCTGGGTGTTCGTCGTAGGTAGGGTTCGAAGATGGATATGGGGAAAGTAGGAAGACATGGGCGTATATCAATGGCTATGTGCCGGTATTGCTTCTCCGTATGCGACAATTAGGTAGACGGAGGGCCCGAGGGTGGATTGTCCTGCTGCGTACCTGGTTGTGGCTCAAGATGTGGGCTCGATATCTGCTGTACATCTCGAGCAACGGAGGTAGCCGGTTGAGCACGTTCTGGTCTCGCAAGAAGTCGATCAGAAGGGCTCTGGGCCGCGTCCGTACTCCTTCCGTCACCCGAATCGTCTCCAGGAGACCCAGAAAGAGCCGGACGCGTCGACTCTGCCTCGTCACGCTGGCGTTTTGACCGTCTTTTTCCGCTCGATGTTTCCTCCCTGGGTGTAAGCTGCTGCAAGCGTGGAGTCTGCATAAAGGGTGATGTTGTGGCAACAGCTTCGGAAAGCGAGCTGGGCGTTTCAGACGGTCTCGATTTCTTTGCTGGCCTCCTCTTCGGCTCGTAAGTCTGCCCGGCCTCTGCAAGCTTGCGATCGCGTTCTTCCACTTCTTCTTTCGTCGGACGACCTCGTTTCCTGCGCTTTTCCCCCGGCGGCTCGGGTTGAATGAAGGGGCGCAAGATCCGGAACGGTTCCCCATTTGTTGTCGGAGGAATAGGCGAGTCTGTCGAACGAGGAGGACGAGGCTGAATGGGTCGTTGTGTTGACGGGGCCAAATCTGGTTCCGACACTGCTCTCACCTCCGGAGGATGCGGCGCAAGTTGTTGCTGAGGGAAGCCTGGCACTCCCGTCGTTGGGAAGGGGCGGTATTGACTACGCAAGAAATTGTACATTTGGTGGCATGCGCTAGGAGTGCGGCCTACACCAGGGTCAGCGCATGACTATGGATTTCGCGACCAGGCAGGAGGGACAGTGAATGCCAGTTGGAAAGGGGGTTTCCCAGCGACCATCTTGTCGAGTTCGCGGGAGGCAGCATTTCTCTTCCTTCTTGAGGTCTACATACCTGCTGGCAGTGCAACATCGTCCCATCTGGGTTGTATATTGCCATTTTCGATGGCGCGCACCAAAAATGACGGTACATCCTGTCCAGCACTCTGAATAATGTTGGTCAACAAGACGATTTGCTCCGAAATTGTCCATGGTTGGTTGAACAAATTGGACATTGGGAAAGGTGAGGGCGGAGCGCAAGCTGAGTTTTGCAAGGGACGGGATGCATGTGACTGTCATCAAGCGGCGCAATTGTGACCGGCATATAGGGAGGATTGGTTCCGCAGAGCGCGCTGTTCATCCAAATCCCGGGTGTTAGAGCAGAATTGCGCTGGACCCCGACTGAGGGTGTACAGAGAGCGGAAAGGACAAAGTCAGTGGGTGACTTTGGCCCGGAGGTTGTAAGAGACCTTTTAAGAGTTGTAGATTGGTCACCCATTCAAGCAATAAGGCAGAACAAAAATTCCAGGACGCTGGGACAGAAGGCCTTGGTGGTCTGGTGGTCCCTCTGCCTCGAGGCCAGTGAGCCAGGCGCAGAAGGGGCATCATTCCAAGTTAGCCATTATTTTGGGAAGAGCAACTTGGGCTTTGAGTAGTCTAGCGATTGTCAGTGGCAGATGATCAGGAGCCGCGGGTCGACCAATGTTGGCCGCAGCTGCAAGACATGCAACGGCGCGTTGTGAGTGGCCGGGCGGTGGCCATCTGCGCGTGAGAGCAAGGGAATTAGAGTACGGAGTAGCATGTCTGAGGGAAGGTTTCCGTACGGCGTAAGGGAGGTTCGGTGGTAATTCAGTTTTCGACAGATGCTAGATGCTGGATGCTGGTCAGCCCGGGTTGGTCAAGTGGTGCTGTTGCTGGCTGGCGCCATGAGTCGCGGAGCCCGCCTTGCCTTTGTTCGTTCAGACTGCGCCTGATGAGGTCTGGGTCCCTGCCCATTCTTCTGCTAAAGCTGCAAACTCTCGACAAGCTATGCAGCAGGCTAGGCTCCGTCGAGCGGCCCAGGTGGATGCAGGCGTAAAAGGGTAGGGACGAGATGCAGGTAACAATCAGTAGGGGTGGGAACAAGTGGGAGAATCCTGTCTCTCGTGCAGCAATCCAGTGCTGTTCAGGTTAGCCCAGCCATGTCTTGGGTGTGTTTGGGTTGCTGCTTGACAAGATTAAATGCCCCCCCATCAGTTCTCAACTGGGAGTTCGTAGTCTTCGGCAAGCTGCAGCGCAGTCTCCGCGCCCCTGCAGCATGCCGAAAATTGATGTCCTTTTTTCCCGCCCGACAATCTCAAGGGTTGCAGGAGGTATTGGCAGAAGCAAAATGGCGCGCATCCCTCAATACTTGCTCCTGAGGAAGCCATGGCGTGGTTCGATCAGCGGGCTTTGGGACTTTTTGATAGACGAGAGTGGATGCGTCTTCCGGGCAGTCCGCAAATCAGCGAACTTGCCGTCGTGGGCGCCCGAGGTCGAATAGGGAGGCCCAAAGCCGTGTTGGGGGCTCAACGAACCGCCGAATCAGGTGCCATATGACGCCTAAGCTTCGAAAGTCCCGGGGGTGACGCCTCGCCCTCCTCACCCATCCGACCAACCATCCTCAGCATCTTAAATCTCAATCACAACTGCCTCGTGGCCGGGCGTCCAACAATGGCACGGCGAATAAATGGATCCTTTGCGACGTCGCAGCCTTGCCTATCGCGACTGGCTCCGGATCAACTCAACTCGCCCATGGGGCGGAACGCAGTTGATGTCGAGGGAAGGCAATCCCGGCCTGAAATTGCGAAGCGAACGTTTGAAAAGAGAAGGACTTCTCCGAAACACACCATGGCTCAACTCCACGGGCGCCGTAGTCACGATGACCTTTCCGTCCTCGCTATATCACTTCTCCGCTGACTTCCACCTTCGCCCAAATCCTCCGCGCGACGGGTTACTCTTATATAGACGGCGCCGCTGTCTTTCTGACCGCTACTTGTTGCGAGTATCGGATCGGATCTGCCAAAACACGCCAACGCAACAATGACGGAAGTTGGGCAGATGTGCAGAGCCACGTTGCGCCGTACGAGAGCTCTGCTTCTCTGACCTCGGGAAGCTAAACAGACATTCGCCTCACTTTTAGTGAGCAGTTACATGCACTCATCATTGCGCTAATCTCGTCATCTTAGCTCTCGCTGCATCAATTCTTCGTCAGGTGCTGTCCATTGTCCCGCTCACGGCATGTATCCGGCTCTTCAACTCGATGAAGAATGGCCCTACCGAGCAGCAGATCGCGGGTAATTAGTCGTCGCTTCGCCTGCCTTCCAGTCTTACCTTTACACGTGGCAGTGATGCTACCTATGGACCTGGCTCAATCTAAGAGAAAGAGGAAATTCATCGCCCATTTCGAGGCACTTACAGCTAAAGGCAAGTTCTGCCCCATCTGAACCCATCGTCCTATGTCGCCGATACAAACAATGTTTTGTGGGTCTCCTTAGCCGTCAAAGGGAATGAAGGCCTCAGGCTTTGGGTCCAAAGACTTGCAAGAGACCTCAATGGCTCCTCATCGACAGGGGAGGATCATCGACTTTACACTTGGCCGCGCCGCCGCCGCTCAGAGGATTCCTTCCAAGGATTTGCTCGTGGGAACTCGGTGGGACGCAGCTTGACTCTGTGAGATCACTGATTTGGGCCATGCATGATTGCGCGCAGTACACCCGGGAGTCCAGACAAGAAGATCGTCGCACGTGGCTAATGGCGCATGTCGAGTGACTGGTTTCATCTGTCCTCTTCGTCATGTTATTGGCTGGTCAGAGACGACATTGGCATATCTATCAAGAGTTTCGAAGATAGATTGTCTCCTGTCCCTGGACACACTCCCACAGAAAGCCTTCACTGACTGTCAGGCCGACAGTGACCGTCCTCCCTTGAAGATGACTATTTCTTAAATATTTCTTGAACATCTGGTATTGGCAGGATCACATCGCCCTGTGTCCGGTTGAGTCCGTTTGTCGAAGCTGTTGCCTCATCCTTTATAGCCACCTTGGTTGCATTACACAATCCCATTTCTTATTTTGAGACTTGCCTCATTGTCTTGAGATTGGCCTCCGAGCTCGCAAGTCTCTCGACTGAGTTTGTCGAGATCGCTATCTCGACGCCTTCGCATCGAAGAACTGATGCAGCTAGTGATAGATTATTTCCACGTTATGTTAAGTTGGTATTGCAATTGAGTTGTGGCCTGGGTGGTATTGATTTATCGACCGGGGTGCGGCAATTAATGTTCTTGTCTCTGAACCGCGAGACGGAACGTGGATCAATGGATAAGGGTGGTTGTGACCGCAACTACACCTCTACCTTGTTTCCTAGCGCATTTCCCTGGTAGTCGAGACGACACACAACACCTTTACCGCCACATACTGGTATCTTATTAGACCTCTTTATTATTGTTGCCCGAGTCCGCAAGAGAGGTTGCAAAACGAAACTGAGAACGAAAAAGAGAATGCAATTGATGTACTTTCACGTGACGTGGTCCTTGATGGGCCATTCCATCTTTCCAGCATTTGCTCACCATGATTGGTTGAATACCCCAGATGTTGATTTGGGGTGTCCAATTTGGCGACAAGATCTCTAGAGATATTACTTTCTCTAACCACCTCCTGTCGAGCACGGAAAGCTGGTCGGGATGTCGAATGCGGCGCTTAATCCTCCCTCGGTGGTCGTGAACACCGCCAGCAACAGACAACAAGTACCGTTGAGGGACTACCTAAATGCGCGAATCGCGCCGTTCTTAAAGAAGGCCATTACGGAGAGCTTGAACGCTGAGTACGTGCATTGCGATGTCCCTGCGTGGATGACAACCTCTGCGCTGACCATGTACAGTAGCTAATTCGTGTTTGCGCAACAGAGCAGAATTCCCCCTCCAGTGGCTGGGAGAATGCCTCATCCACCAGTCCATACTATACGAAGGGAACACGGACAGGACAAATATTCGCGAACGATTTCTGTACAAGTTCGAAGATCCCAAACCACAAGAGCCGGCAGACACGTCAGCCGACGCACCAGCACCAGCACCAGCATCAGCACCAGCATCAGCGCCAGTACCTGAACCCACACCAGCGCCTGAATCCGTACCTGCGCCAGCACCTTCATCTCCGCGTCGATCACCATCGGCGCAACCAGAGCCCACGTCCATCCCGTCACAAGAGCCTCCCCGCATACAACCCGAGATTACCATGAATGAAGCCATCGACGCTAGTGCAGAACAGCAGCAGCCTCCCCAGCCAACTGCAGAGGATGCTGTGCCGCAAGCCGCACCGGTAACAGAAGAGCCTGCTGTCAACGGAGTCAAGGACGAGGGAGAGGCAAGAGAGGGAGAAGCAGCCAGAAATGTCGATGTCGACACTGAGATGGGAGGCACATCGTGACAAAAAGCAGCTCTGAGGTCCAGGTCGCATAGTGTCGGTCGATGTTTACACATTTATGCTTAGGTTGGAGTCCGGCAGTAATGGTCATCTTGGTTTTGGAATCTAAAATCTGATACCCTCCAGCTATTTACGTATGGCATGAGATAGAATCTAGTATAACGTGTGTGGAAAAAGCAACAACGTTTCAAATGAACTTGGAATGAGGCAAACATGAGTGCTGTTGACTGCGCAACGCTACCTCTTGCGACCTCGGACAGCTGGAGATTGTGACACTATAGTCGCACAGTGGTAAGCCCCGTCCTTCCTTTTGCAGTCTGAATCATCAGAGAATTCCTAGACAAACCCTGCTTGCACAATGTTAGTTCCCGTTCTTGATCAAAGAGCGAAAATGCAGTAGGCAGTGTAGAGGATTTGAGAAATCAGAAGTCCATTTAGATCATCGAAGAGAACCCTGCTGGGCTTCTCTTCTGACATAAGAGGTACCAGAAATTATAGAAATTCAAAGTGTTTGTCATCATGCAAGCTTGTAGAGACGGTGTGAAATCAACTTGACAACGTACCTTGGGATTGCTCGGCGACACCAATGAGTAGGGTCGCCTTCGGTGTCGGTGTTCCTTTTGGGGCACGCGATCATTGCCTTCAGTTAATCAAGACCGCGTTGAAGGAAAGACATTGTATCACTTCCTGTGAAAACTTACCGAGTCAAACATGGGAGATAATAATTTGAGATTTGGAGGTCAAGTTCAGCAGAGCAAACTTGTCTCCCCAAAGTTCTTATAGCTGCCAAGATTTCACAGGCCTTGGCGGACCCACCACACAACTCGGAGCCAGTGCATCTGCAAACCTGCACCATACAACTTTCTTCAGATCTCAAGTCGTTCCCTCTTCCACCGCGACAACTCTCAATACACAGCCAACATGGGTCGTCTTCACAGCAAAGGCAAAGGCATCAGCGCCTCGGCGATTCCCTACTCGCGCTCTGTGCCCACCTGGTTCAAATCCACCCCAGAGACTGTGGTTGACAACATCTGCAAACTCGCACGGAAGGGTGCGACTCCGTCGCAAATTGGTGTTGTGCTGCGAGATAGCCATGGTGTCGCGCAAGTCAAAGTCGTCACTGGTTAGTCTTCTACGAGATCCATCCCCGGTGGCCTATCGTGGCTGGTTGCGCGGCAGCAATTGACTGATTTTGTGCTTGCAGGTAACAAGATTCTGAGAATCCTGAAGTCGAACGGTATGCACGCACCTCGATTATCCCCGGTGTGAGAAACAAAGAAGAAAAGAAAGAAGCCGTCGGCTCAAATTATCACTACCCATCTTTGGGAACATACCCCTCGGCATTGCCTCTGAAATTGGTCCTGTGAGACTGACAGAGTGACACTATACAGGCCTGGCACCAGAAATACCCGAGGACCTCTACTTCTTGATCAAAAAGGTATGTATACCTCAACACAAGCGCCGACTAGACCATTTGTCCTGCCATGAACTTGGCTAATCTGGGTCATTTCCACAGGCTGTCGCCGTCCGCAAGCACCTTGAGCGCAACCGAAAGGACAAGGACTCCAAATTCCGACTCATCTTGATCGAGTCTAGAATCCATCGTCTGAGCAGATACTACAAGACTGTTGGTGTCCTCCAACCAAACTGGAAATACGAGAGCGCCACAGCAAGCACCATGGTGGCATAGTCTTAGCAAGGCGAGGACGGGGATCATGAACGAAGTGAAAATCTTTCAAAAGAAGTCAAGAGGACGAGTGGCGCTGCTAAAACTCTTCAACGGATTGCAGTGTATTAGCAAACACACTCAGGAGTCTAGATTAGGGGTCATTGCGAGAGCTTCCTCAAGAGGCCTCGAAAAGCTAAGACGAGACACGCGCAAGAGGGCTTGGAGGTGAAAGCGTTTTGTAGCAGAGCTCGTCGACCAACCAATCGTGCCAATGTCTGATCCAGCGTAATAGATCCAGCGTCAGCTGCCTGATTACACACCTGGCTCATGGTAGAATTTGACCTCTTTTCACTCCATTAAACTGCTGTTGACCCGACCTTCCAACTTTGTGCTTCATGTTACGAATTACCCAATCGCAGTTTCTCAGCAGGCCAAGTAGTGTCTGCGAAGTTAGGCACGGCAGTTTATGAATGAGGCGGGCAAAGGATGAGAAGGTTGGCCATCGGACAGTGTAAGGAAATGCCAGCCCACCAGACAATACCATTTGATTTTGATCGGCATCCAACAGACAATATGCATACAATGCAGAACCGCTCATGGTAAACCAGAGCTATGATACATGCAGTTGAACACAATAACCGGGACATTTCTTTACCGCAAATGTACATGTGGAGTTCGAGTGATGCTGACAGAATGCACCGAGCACCTGGGGTATCGTGAATGCAGCAGAAAAACGCCTCCGTGATGCCGCTGAACCGTGCGTGACAGAGACCACCACAACAGCATGCCAGCCTCAGCCGCCCTGACTGATCCCGCCCGTCTGTTGCAAGGCAGAAACCTGCCTGCGCAGGTCAAGCCAAAAGTCCTTTCCGCCAGACATGGCTCCAGCTTCCAAGAGTTAATAGTTATCTTCTCAGGAGCGGGACTCTCCTTACGCTTGGCACCCCATGGGCTCTGGGGGTTCGCGGGTTGCGCTTTTGTGTCCAACTTGTAAAGAGGCGCCTTAGCCTCGTAACCTTGCTTCAACATTGCCTCGACAACGTCGGAATTGAAACCTGCGATGGGCACATGATCATCTTGTGGTGGGAGGGTTGTCGTGGAACCATTTTGAATGTTGTCAGAGGACCTGCTCAGGTTTGAGCCTGCTTTTCCACCTCTTCTGCTTTGATATGTGCTAGAACTACCATCTCTAGATGCTGCAGAGGCGGAAGTAGACTGTCGTTGCTGGTGGGAGTTCGCACCTCGGGAATCGTTTCCTCGTCGTCCAGGGCGGTTCCTGATATTACAGTTCATCTTTGTAAGCATGCATGCAACCACAGACGGACTGATAACAGAACAGTGGAGACGTAGACAGGTTGGAAAGACATCTTACTCACTCTTCAATGGCATTCATCGAGGGAAGCGGCAGAAAACGAAATGAGTGAACCGTAACTGCCAATGTTCTTAAGAAGATGGCGAACTCTGGGTGCGGAGGGCAGTTGCATCCCGCAGATACGATGCCAAGCCCTTTGTGGATCCAAACTGTCGGGCCTGCGAGTCGCGCTTAACCGAATCGACTGGGAGATCGCCATCTTGAAGCGACGACACTCAAAAAGCACCTCAACACACTGTGACTCCAGGACATCCTCCAGAACATCATACATTGCCCTAGGCCGACCTCATTATACATCCTACTACTTGCGCGTTCAACTGGCGCTCTCGTAAGCAGACTGAATGGCTACTCACACACGCGAAAACGACCCGAAGCCTGCCTGCGCCTCCTAGTTGCGGCTTGATCACAACCAGTCGCGTCGACTGCCGTCCACCGTGCGCCCAGGATGGGGCCTCTGAGATCTGTGCAGGCAAGAACACGTCCGCGGAGAGAAGTCAAGAAGGTGTCAAAGGACTTCAACAATTCGGACGAGGAAGACCTCGCGGATTTCCAAGACGCAGAGCCTCCCTCGAAACGCATCCGCACGTCGCGCCGGGCCCAGCCCTCCCTTAAATGGACACCAGGAGGTAGAGGAGGCGGCGGTAGACTTGTTGATCACGAGAGCACCCCTTCTACCACGAGGACACCTAACGCAGACGAAGAATACGCGCTTCCGCGCACGCGCACGAGACAAAGCCGCAACCCCAAGAAGACGATGATATCCACACCCCGCTACTCAGCGAGAAGCAGAAACAGAGGCGGCGCACGACCCCGATACAGTACAGCAGCGGCGGCCTCCGCCGCCGTGACACATGGAGATGGGTACAAGCCTCGAGAAGAACGAGGGTGGGAAGAGTTCCATCCTGATCTCGACCTGGATGCGGACTTTGCTGTGTTGCCTTCCGAAGAAATAGACGGACTGGTGAAAAGGCCTACAGTTGATGGATCTAGCCAAGGCGCTTTGACGCCGACGGAGGGCGAAAGTCCTGCTCTCGGAATTTCCACACCTTTAAAGCGACGACCTGGAAGGCCACATCGTACCCAGAATTCGATGGTCAACGCTCTTCTGACTCCCGAAGTCCCCAGATTCGTGCCTATGCCAGGACCAAATCCGCGAGAACGCCTGACCTTACCCAAACCCTCATATCGAGAACTTGATCCATTCTTATCCTATGAACTAAACAAGGACATTGCCCAAGTTGACTTCGTGGACAAGTCAATGGCAAATGTTGGGTATCAGGAGAGTGAGATCTTCCTGCGGCCAGAACGGACGCTGATAAGACAGATGGAAGGATCGGCGGAAGAAGACCTCGATCTCAGTCCGGACCTCATGACGCACGGAGAGAATTCTGCTATTGGCAGTACGGGTGTCGGACGAGTCGAGTATGATATGGATGAACAAGATGTCAAGTGGCTCGAGGCTTTCAATAAAGGGAGGACCAAAGATGGCGTTCAGATCATCAAGCCCGCCATTTTCGAGATTACAATGACCAAGATCGAAAAAGAATGGCATGCTTTAGAAAAGAGAATACCGAAACCCAATCCCAAGGCGCCACAGACTCAGCGGCCACGATCGAGCTCCGCTGCTGCAGTCAATGGTGAGCCTGCCGGAGAAGAGCCTGACAGCAAATGCGCCATATGCGACGATGGAGACTGTGAGAATGCCAATGCGATAGTGTTTTGCGACGGCTGTGATCTCGCCGTGCATCAAGAGTGCTATGGTGTGCCCTATATCCCCGAAGGACAGTGGTTGTGCAGGAAATGCCAACTTGTGGGAAACTCTCGACCGAGCTGCATCTTCTGCCCCAATGAGGGCGGCGCTTTCAAGCAAACCAACAATTCAAAATGGGCACATCTGTTCTGTGCCTTCTGGATCCCGGAAGTCACAATTGGCAACCCATCATTGATGGAACCTATTACCGATGTTGAAAAGGTTCCCACCAGTCGTTGGAAACTCATTTGCTACATCTGCAAACAGGAGATGGGGGCGAGCATTCAGTGCAGTGACGGCCGTTGTTACGAGCCATTTCATCTAACTTGTGCTCGCCAAGCTGGACTTTTCTTGCAAATGAAGACCGGTGGTGGACAGAATACCCTGATGGAACCGTCGCAGCTCAAGGCATATTGCCACAAGCACACGCCCAGTGACTGGAAACGTCAGCACCACACTGATAAAGCGTATGAAGAGGCGGTCAAGTATTTCAAAGAACATTTTCGTGGGCAAATTTGGGCAGACAGTCGTGCATCTGCCTTGGCGATTCATGATATCCAAGATCCGCCTGCTACCGACAAGGGCCATCTGAAAGTGACTCTGACTAACAAGAAGGGACAAAAGCAGAAGACGGTCTGGCGGCTTCCTTCAGGTGCTCCTGTGATCCCTGAGGTCATTCTTAAGTCCATCGAGGAGTCTCTGGTAAGGTTCACTGTGCAGAAGAAGAAGGAGTATGTTTCTGAAATTTGCAAATACTGGACTCTGAAACGCGAAGCTCGTAGAGGCGCTGCCCTTCTGAAGCGACTACAGTTACAGATGGATACATTCAGCTCTTTCGAGGTGACACGACGCGATTACAAGGCTCAAGGTGCGGCTGGCCGTGCGCGACTGGAGCGTCGTATTGAGTTTGCCGAGAGGTTGGCGAAGGATATGGACCGGATCGTGCAGCTATGCAATTTGATCAAAGAACGCGAAGCCTCAAAGCTGGAAGAGGCCCGTCTGTTGAAGGAAGTCGTCGACATCGTCTACTTCCCTGTCCCACACCTCCTAGAGCCCATTATTGAGAAAGCACTCAAGTAAGTCTACTATCCCATCGCACCAGCTTCGATGCTAACAAACTATAGACTTGACAGAGGTCTGTTCCGTCCTGGTCTTCTCGAATTGAAGAGCAAAGTCCTCAGGAAAGAGCATACCTCGATAGCAAGCTTTTCCAATGATGTGGTGCAGGTGATCAATTCGCAGTTCGGCAACAGCGCAGGAAGCATTTCAGAATTGATCTCCCTGGTTAGTGGCCGAGCTGAAGACATGAAACCTGAAGACCGGGACCGACGTACGCTCGCAAGACGAATTGTCAAGGGAATTGAACCAATGATCGAAGATGCTACTCGAAAAGAAGCTGAACTGCACGGGCGACCATACGCTGAGCAGATTAGGGAGATGGATGAAGCCCTCCTCTCCCGACGAGGCTCATTGGCACAGTCTGCGGAAACCCCAGTCATTGATTCAGTCGAATTGAAACACGAGGTTGGGATCGCTAGTCCCGCAGAGGCCGGTGTTGAAATGGTTGATGTTACAACTACTGTGCAAGAATTCAGTCGTGTTGAGAAAACGCTCCAAAACGCAGCAAGGCCTGCTGCGCAAGAAGATTTGCTCAAGCATAACAGTCTCGAGATGGCGTCTCACCTGGTCTCGGCCAATACCCCGCCAGCGTCCACGAATGGATTTAGACATGAGTCCCATACAAACGGAATTGCGGCCGCGGAACAAGTGCAACAAGTGGAGCCACCTACACCTCCCATGAGTTTGGAAGGCCACTCTCAAAGTCTCCAATCCGAGGGCGGCATTCCTTGGTACGTTACTCAATTTGATCCAGAAGGCACAACCATCTTTGAAGAACGCTGGACAGGACCAGAAGTGTTACGCGAAATGAGTGAAGAGCTCAGTGAGATGGATGAAGACGAGCTCCTGGGACTGGGTGCCGGCGATGACATTGTCAGACACGCTGATGATGCTCCGGTTGATGGCGAGATCACAGACTCAAAGAATGAGGAAGCTACAGCGAAGAGAAGGATCCTCAGAAGCAAACGAAGCAAAGCCCCTGATTGGGGCGCGAGGTCTTTCCGGAACAGAAGATGATATAGGAAGGGTTATTGTTGGATTGCATGCCTCGGCTTCGCTTACGCTATTACCATTCCCTGGGCCACATTCCCCGGGCGATCCCTTCGCTGTTATATTCACTAGTAAATCAGATATATTGACCCTCTAAACGTGAGTCCTCAGAGAACACAGTAATGATTAAAGGAACCTCTTTGTATTATCATTAAACAAGGAAAGGCAGCGATGGAGCCTAGAGCCTCCAACTACACGGCACTCCTTGAGCTTACTAAGCGGCGCATGACCATGGGTGAGATTGAGTCTGCCTTTGGTGGACGAGGCACTAATGTCATCGTTCAATGCATTTAGTATTTGATTTATCTTGCACCCCTTTGCCCCGTGCTTCATCAGAAGTTGAATCGCACCAAAATCCATGAGTCGCAAGGCTGAAGGCTGGGTCGTAAGGCTGCAGTCATATTTTTTTCGGGGCGGATTAAATATTTGCCTGTTCCGATATGCTTCTCAACTAGGCAACTTTACCTTGGCGATGAGTGCGCGTGTCCTCTAGCGATTTTTTGCTTTCGCCTCACTCTTCATCATAGCCTTACAAACAATCCACTCCCCAGCTGCAACCATCAGCTCCCTTCATCATCGCGCACAATTCATCTCATATCTTGACTATTTCTGGGCACTCTCGCTTCCCAGATCCTGTTGAAAGTGTAACAAAAGCCCTCAAGACGAGATCCGCAGTTGCATTAACTACAACCAAACCCCCTTTTGCTCAATCCCTTTTCCCAGTCTGACACCATGGCCGACTTTGAGGATTCTGCTGCTCGCTACGAAGGTATGCTTGTATCTGCCAGACGACTTCTATAAGGCGTTCTTTCTGACCTTTTCTAGATGACCGCGGGTATGAACGCCGCGACCGATCTGCCTCGCCTCGGGGAGATCGTGATGACCGCAACCGCAGTCGATCACCAAATGGCCGTGACAGAGCGTAAGCGTCATCTCCCTTGCACTCTCTCGAATTTCTCTGACCGTTGCTTCTCTAGGCCACCCCCTCCGTCTGACACTCGCATGAAAGACGCCGATGATGAATCCCTGAACAATGGCTCCAATCTCTTCGTGACTGGAATTCACCCCCGTCTCACTGAAGCCGATGTCTCCCGCCTCTTCGAGAAGTATGGCGATGTCGAAAGCTGCTCAATCATGTTGGACCCCCATACCAAAGAATCTCGAGGATTCGGATTCGTCAAAATGGTTTCCAACGAACAAGCAGAGGCTGCCAAGGAAGGCTTGCAAGGCGAGGTTGTTGAAGGTCGCGTCCTGAGCATCGAGAAGGCTCGGCGTGCCCGCCCTCGTACTCCCACTCCAGGGAAATACTTTGGCCCTCCCAAGCGTGGTAAGTAGGATCCTGACATTGGGCACAACGTACTGACCTTGGACAGGCGACTTCCGTGGCCCACCTCGTGGTGGATACCGCGATCGCTATGACGACCGTCGGGGAGGTTATTCGGGCCGACGTGACGATTACCGTGGCGGCGACTATCGTGGTGAATACCGTGGTGACTACCGTGGTGGTTCTCGATATGACGACTATGAAAGACGCGGTTACGGAGGTGGCGGCGGCAGCAGACGCGAACGAGACGAAGGCTACGGCGGCCGCGGCATTGATCGATACGAGGGTAGGCGCGAAGAGGGAGGCTACAGCGGCGGCGGTAGCGGCACACGTGGTGATCGACGTGGCTACTATGACCGCAACGACGAACGTAGCTACCCTCCTGCTACACGCGACGAAGCCCCTCGTGAGTATGCAGGTGGTCGAGACTATGCGCGTGAAGATCGTTACGCCAGCAGGTAAGCGGATGGACGAAAGGGGACCTGGCTTTCACCCCATTCCCTTACGAAATTGTGGAATTCCAGCCTTCTAGCCGTGGAATCCGAATCCCTCCATGTATCTGGGATATGCAGACTGCTAGCTCCGGCGACACAACACCACCCTGTTGTTTTCAAGTCAGAATGGTTAATGGTCGACTTCATTCGGCGCAGCGGGAACACGGTTATGGACTGGGCAACGGCGACAAAAGCAAAGCCACAGTTTGCTCTTTATTGACGACTGGGGTGTCGACATGTATCACAACGATTTCGGCTGGGGCTTTTTTTCTCGTACTCGACTGATTCATCATAATCTTGTTGCGGCAGTCATTTCAGCACACTTTTCCTTCCGCGCACCTTGCTTCAGCCTCGATAGTTCGCCTGTTCCGCCAAAGAATCGGCGTCAAGATCCGACTGACATGCTTGCCTTACGCAAACTTCAATCCAAAATAAACCCAGAAGATGACTCGCCCTGCGCCGTATATACACAACATGATCCACACACCAGTAGTTTCACCCAGCAAGTCTAACCAGCCATTGTCAACTATGCGCCGTCATTCCGTCATGCCAATGCCACACTGAACTTGCAGTGGTCCAGGCGATCAACAGCACAGCCCATCGACAACCAGAAGGACACTTGCTCGACATGTAAACATCACCCGTCCTCATTGCATACGCCCAACAGCCATATTGCTCTGAACAGGTAAGTCGAACATGGCAGCCGTCACATCGCGGCGAAAAGACGATGTTGTACAAGCCTGGCTATTGATTATGGTTTCCCTGCCAGAGTGGCAAGTCGAACTCAATGCATATTGAGACGAACGTTCATGTGGCTGTCAATCGCTGTCACAGCCGTGTCGTGCTTTGCCTACAGCCCATTATGGTGCTTCGGTTTGTGCCTCATGCTTCAAGGCTTACCTGGAACGACAGGTGAAGATGCGAAATCGAAGAAACTGCAAAGGTGGGTTCTCACAGAAACGACAATTACTCACAGAGCAATAAGGTAAGGTACGATCTTTCAAGGACCAAATGATGGCTACCTCGTAGCTCGAAGACGCGCTGTCACTACATACGGTCAGTTTAGAGTCAAGGTGGGTTTACACCTGAACTAGGACATCCAGGGTCTGTACCTGGCTGAATGAAACATGCTGGCCTGGATGCTCCTGCGTGCCACAGCACCTTCATTGTCCACGGTCATATGCACCTTGAGATCAAGCAACGAGCTATGTACTGGTCTTCCGTCATCACCAGCAAAGGTCGTCCTCTCTGTACTGGTTCTGTCATATGCCTCGCCGGTTTCCTACAGCTCCTGCAGCCCACTCGTCCCGTGGGCAACTCTAGATGTGAGCGAAGCCGCAATTGATCATTCGCGGACAGCATCAAATGGGTTTCTTCAAAGCCAGCCACATTGTGAATATCATGTGGTCTCCCGCATCAGCACCATTTCTATCACCTTTGTCACCCTGTCAGGAGACCAAAGGAGGCAAAGAAACAGAGTCCTCAACTTGATAGTTTCACGGGTTGAGTGCTTGGCAGGCATACAATGCCGATCAAAAGCCTCAGTGTGAGCCGGGTCATGGACTCATGCAAGGCGAAAAGCCGTCTGCGAGGTCAATGCAATACTTGAAAACTTCCCGATTTATTCCATCACACATCGTCGCACCACTAGCCCGACCTTTGACGAGAAATCTGCCTTTGCCATTGGAGGGAAAGGTGTGCAAGCAACAATATCACACAATGTGAGCGCCTCAAGGCGTGTTATGATTGGGCATCATGCAAGGCCAACGCACGGACCACCACGACCATTCTGAGCGAATCGAGACGACAATTCGCAAAGACCAGCCCCTGCCAGCCCAGGTTGCAACTCTTCTCTTCTATATCTAACCGCCCATCCGACCGCTTTGTCGACCCAGCTCTTTTTTTTTCTCTTCATCCACACATTGATTGTCTGGTATTTCCTATTCCTGCGTTTCATTTAGCATCTAGATTTGGCTGGTCCAATTCTATATTTACTCTCTATCATACTCGACTGCTATTCTTACATCCCACTACCCCGCTATTCAGATCTACGTCTTTTTGTTATATCCTCAAAACACCATTTCAGCAAATTTGATCGTTTGATCTAGGCCCTTTGCAATCTGTTGTCTAAACCACCCCATCAATTCTCACATTTTTAATCAACCAAGACATAATCATGCTTGCCTCACGCACCGCAAAGCCAAAGTTGTCCCTGAGCATCTCTACTGCTCAAACAACCAGACCAACACTGTCACTCAAGTCTCCCATGACACCATTGAGGTCACCTCTGAAATCACCTGTCTCGCCGTCACCCGCGAGCCCAACTGCACGAAACACTCGACTCAACCAGCGAGGATACTCGACGTTGCAACAGCCAACATATTCGTATGTCAACAGCAGCTCATCACGAAGCATTTTGAAGAAGTCTCCTTCCAAGACTAGCACGCAACGGCGACAACTGTCATTCTCGGACACTCCTGTCGTATACAGTGTGACGCCAATCGAGGAGGAGGACTACTATGGCCGCCACGTCAAGATGTCGAGGGACGAGCGACGATGGGGACGGAGATGAAAGACTTATCCGGCAAAATTCTGGCTTTGGTTTGTTTAAAAGTATGAGGGTGTGTTTTAGATTTTTCACAGCGAGGGACAGGTTGCTGGATAACGAGCCTTGATGATGTACCATTTTGATGTAGGGCCTCAGCTCATCTCTGCGGTGAGGCAGGGACCTTCAGACGGGGGTCAACGAAAAGAATCTAATGCAAGACTTACAGAAGAGTTTGAAGCAGAATACTCCACGGTCTTTTTACCTGACAGTCTTCAGGATAGTCAATATATGACTTTATCCTGTCTTTGTTTGACAAGTGACCTGTCTTGTATGTCGGACACTTAGTACTCTTACATGGATAGAGTGTCAGCAGCATTCATAATGGCGATCTCCTTTCATCTCGACCAAGTATGTCGAGACCGAAGACTCAACTAAGGTATCACGAACTTGGCAAACATTCTGCCGCAGCCCTATATCATGACTAAGGCTTTTGGATGCCTTTCCCATCTGTGCCATTCCTCCCGGAAAAGGCTCCTGGCAATCGGCCGAGGTGGTGGGCTCGCAAATCATGGCTCTCAATCTGCCATGGCTAAATATAGGATTTGGAAGAAAATAAGCGCCTGGGAAGCGACCCCGAGTTTCATATCCTCCCACCTCGGTCGAACAGATCAGAAGCACACAGTGTGTCTTCTGATGACCATTCTAGATGGTATGTATGGTGATGGTCTGCTCGAATTCAACGCCGAACAGATCGTTGTCCTGGAGACAAGTGCTTCTGACTTGAGGTCCAATTTGTATCAAGCGATTCCTCGATGGAATGGATACTCAGCGGCTATCTATTTCCACCCGATACTATCCCAACGCACGTCATGGCGTCCAGACGATCGGCCAATCTGCGTCAATGGAACGAACAAGATGGTAGAGTTCTGGGGCATCCCAAGTTTCTGCTACTGGCCAGTGTGCCTGGGGTGTATATTCCCAAAATTCTCGAAACTGCTTGACCTCTGGCGTCTTGAAGACCCTGGTCCTGGTCCCTCAGCGGCTACTGAGATTCGCTTGATCGACAGCCGCTTTGTACTCTATCGCGAGTGGCCCGCTTGGCCTTGGTGGCATCAGAGGTAGGGCTGGCTGGGTGCCAAATATACTTCTGCAACTAGATTGGTATGATCCGCCAGTTGATTAATGGCCCCATGTTGAGGCTCGAGTTTCATCTGCTCGTTACACATGGATGGGCCAATGACGGGCGTGACTGATTAACCATGCATGTACATCTCTTGCAGTTCCCCGAGGCGCCGTTGCATCTTTGTGTGTCTGGGGCGGATTTCCGAGCATTTCTACTTATGAAACTGGGTGGCTCCCGGCTTGGGTTGTTGGGTTTCCCGCGTCTCTTGTCAATCTGAGATTGACGCCCGTGTGTTTGAGGTTCTCTGGCAAGGTTGTTTGCGCTGGACGCAATTGTTCATAAGAGGGGTGGTCAGGCTCGACTGATCCAGGCATACACCATTCCATGCCATCCAGTCCTCGACGTGCTGCACTCAGCTCAGTCATTTTCCTTTTTCATTGTTCTTGTACACTCGCTGCTCCTCCTCCTCATCCTCCTCCACCTTAATCATAATTCGGAAGTCCTTTTTTCCTTGCTTCGGACAACCATTTCAGCGACCGGGCCTTGGACTCATCGGTCGGCTCATGACAAGGAATGCCCAAGCAGCCAACCATAGCACGCCGAGTTCAGCGAACAGCTCCCTATAGCCTTCGAGCACCAGCCAATATGGTCACCAGCATGGCTCCAAGCATGGCTCCATGGAATGCTCCTCAGATGCACAGCCTGCACTATGCAGACCACAGCCTTCAATATGGCCAACAACAGATGATGTCCAGCTATCTACAATCGGTCCCCAATTCCATGCCCCCGGTTCCCCAAATGCAGCGGGAAGTGATCCCCCGTCCCGGACAGAGTGGTCCCTGGAACGGAGAGGAGGACAACATTCTCTTGGATGCCAAGGGTCGAGGACTGTCCTGGGAGGAGATCCACCGGCGATATTTCCCCAACAAGTCAGCCAATGCCTGTCGGAAAAGACACGAGAGGGTGTTGGCCAAGATGCGCGACACCGATTGGGACGAGGCAAGGATCCAGCGGGTGACAGACGCGTACAACCGACATCGGCATTCAATATGGCAACCGCTGTGCAAGGAGCTTGGAGAATCCATGTCGGATGTGGAGAAAGTGGTAGGTGGAGATTGATTGACGCTTGTCATCCGGCATTTCGCTAACTGATCATGTGTCCCAGATGTTTCAACAGGGGCTTCGGAATCTGAGAAACCCTTCTCGCTCCAGCCACGCCCGGAATCGATCACGAGCAAGCTCTGGGCAAGGCGGTGTGAGTGACTATGAACGCGGCTCATCGCTTGACGATCAGTATGACCACACCGACGACAGTGGAATCAGCCTGGGGCACCATGTACATAGTCGACGTGCCAGTGAGATCACAACTGGCTTGTCTACAGAGAGCCTTCCATCCGTCAACCGTCTTCTCTCAGAGACTGGATATGGGTACACAGCATAGGAAATGTGTGGGTTAAGACCAGACTAGGCTGGACAGGACTGGATCTCGGGAAAAAGGAAAAACTGGATGGCGGGGGATACTTTTTAACGATGCAATGACCCTGGGGTTTTTTGGCTTCTATCCGGCGTATGCAATAACCGGCGAGTATGCATTTGTATTCTTTGTATTTTTATATATATACTCGGTATATGTACTTCCAGAGCGTTGAGGATAAAGATGGAGATGTGTGAAGGGCGTGGAAGCGTCGAGGTTAGGGAGGACATAGGCACCGGGTATATGGACCAAGGCAATCTCACAAACGGCATCAGGACCCTTTTTTGCTCTCTCCTCCCTTTTCCCCAATTCCATGGAATCCGCATGGACGGGGTGGACGTGAGCACGAGGCTCCGCACGTGTGCATAACAAGAAGAAATTATATCCGCCGGAGCTTCATCACTCGGTTCGCGGAGTTTTATGCCGAGCTCTAAACCAGATCCGGTAAGAAGCCAGATTGTTCCTGAACTCGGATTACCCAGACCGGCTAGACCGCGGCTAAATGGATAGCGAGGACCTGGAAGCTCCAAATTTTTGTTTAATTTTGTGCCCCGAAACTGCGCTTTTTTGAGGCGAGAAGGGGTGAGAAAGGGACTCAGACTCAGACTCACTCATTCACTCAAGCACTCACATCACCGCCTCTTCCATAAGCACTCTGTTGCTTTTGCTACTTTGCTTCTGGCCCGTATGCCTTTAGTGTCTTGACTTTTGGCACGTTGACCCTGTTCCTTTCTATTCCCGTGCGTTTCTCACTTCAGACTTTGTCGGATCGCGCTCAACTCGCGATAACGAACCCTTCTGCACCGATTTGAGACATCACCACTTTTCCGTCAACCATCCGTCACAATTCATCCCCCGACGGATTTTCTACTCCCCCCATAGACCATGGCGACTGTCACAGAGGCTGTAAAAGAGTCCTTACTGGGCTCCACGACCCCTTCAAGCCTGTCTACAGAATCCCGCTTGACGTTTCTGAAACATGCAAACCAAGGCGAAGACGGAGAGCTTTACATGAACGAGGAGGGTTTTATCAACGCCATCGCACCACCAGAAGAAGATTATGTGAGTTTGGTCCCTGCCCTGCGCGTCACATGTCGCTCAGATCACATACCTTTTTTTTTTGGCACATGTCGCCTGACGCGGACTCTGTTTGCAGCACAAAATAAAACGGGAACAATATGGCATCCTCTTTGGAGTTGCGGACCGTCACAAGCGCGGCAAGATCTCCATGTCAGAATGGGCCGCCTTTGACAATCTCCTCGCAAAATCAGACGCCGAATATGAAATCGCTTTCAGATTATTCGACGAAGATGGTACGGGTTCGATCAAGTCGGACACTTTCCAAAAGATCTACGAACAGAACCGAGGCCAGGAAAGCATTCCCTTTGACTTCAACTCGGAATGGGCGTCGCTCTATATCGGTGGGAAAAATAAGAGACACGAGATGACCTACCCCCAATTTGCGCAGATGATGCGAGGGTTGCAGGGCGAGCGCATCCGACAGGCGTTCCACCTGTACGATAAGGACAAAGATGGCTATATCGACCCAGAGGACTTTGAGCGCATTATCCGAGCCACTGCAGGACATAAGTTGTCTGACCACCTGCTGGAGAACCTGCCGACTCTGTGCAATATCTCGTCGGGAACCAAAATCTCCTACGCCAACGTCCGCGCTTTCCAGAACGTCATTCGTGAAATGGACCTTCTCGATTTGATCATTCGGAATGCGACCGCAAAATCCCCAGACGGCAGGATCGACCGGACAGATTTCCTCAACGAAGCTGCTCGACTGACGCGCTTTTCACTCTACACCCCCATGGAAGCCGACATCTTGTTTCACTTCGCCAGTCTCGACTCGCCCTCAGGGCGGTTGAGTCTGGATGACTTCGCCAAGGTTTTGGACGCCAGCTATCAGACAGCAGGTGCGAAGCTCACTGCTGTGGCCGAAGCTGCTGACCGCGCCGTGTCAAAGTCCCAACAGCTACTTCGCAGCTTGCTTGAATCTGCACACCATTTCGGTCTTGGCTCTATCGCCGGCGCGTTCGGGGCGTTCATGGTCTATCCGATCGATCTGGTCAAGACACGAATGCAAAACCAGCGGAGCTCCCGTCCTGGTGAAAGACTTTATGAGAATTCCATTGACTGTGCGCGCAAAGTCATACGAAACGAAGGTTTTCGGGGACTGTACTCGGGTGTACTGCCTCAGTTGGTTGGGGTGGCTCCTGAAAAGGCCATCAAGCTCACAGTGAATGACCTTGTGCGAGGAAGATTCACAGACAAGCAAACTGGCAAGATTGCACTCTCGGCGGAGATTCTGGCAGGAGGTTCCGCAGGGGCTTGTCAAGTGGTAAGTTTTATTTGGACCCCCCGGTTAAAATGACAGATACTGACTCGGCATAACAGGTCTTTACCAACCCACTCGAAATTGTCAAAATTCGCCTGCAGGTCCAGGGTGAATTGGCCAAGAAATCTGACGCGGTTCCCAAACGTAGTGCGATGTGGATCGTTCGAAATCTCGGTATCTTGGGCTTGTATAAGGGTGTAACAGCCTGTCTGTTGCGCGATGTTCCGTTCTCGGCTATATACTTCCCCACATACAGCCACCTGAAAAGAGATTTCTTCGGCGAATCACCCACCAAGTCGTTAGGCATCTTGCAGCTTCTGACGGCCGGTGCCATCGCGGGTATGCCAGCTGCCTATCTTACCACCCCTTGCGACGTGATCAAGACTCGACTCCAGGTGGAAGCCCGCAAGGGAGAAGCAACATACAACGGCCTTGGGGACTGCGCGCGCAAGATTCTCAAGGAAGAAGGGTTCAAGGCATTTTTCAAGGGCGGCCCGGCCCGTATCCTACGTTCGTCACCGCAGTTCGGCTTTACGCTCGCGGCGTACGAAGTGCTATCGAATCTACTCCCATTCCCTGGCTCAGACGAGGCCGAGAAGCAGAAGGCAGGAGGTGGAGTGTCGGGCGTGGCTGGCAGAGTGGAACCGGGCGTTGGCCTTAGGGAGGCAAAGGCCCCGTTGCCGTACCTGCGCAGTCGCAACGCTTTGAAGATCCTGCTCGACCTGGACGTTAACTTCGGCCGGGTCAAGCCGGGTCAAGACGTGGGGAGCCTGATGCAGCAGCATGCGATGGCGGCTGCGGCGGGCAAGGAGGCCGTTGAGAAAGGTGTTGGCTGGTTCGGGAAGAAGTTGTGAGCGAGAACCTCTCTTTGCTTCACTCGCCCTACTCCTTTCCCCGCCGCAGGGCTTTTTTTTTTCCCTTTTCCGAGAAGGAAAGCGAGGTGCGGACAGCAATGGATATGACCAACCACCGACCGGCGATACCTCTTTGCCTCACCACCATTGCGATCTCTTTTTCCCCTCCCTCTCTCCCTCTCGCACGCACTGACGCAGCGCGCACGACTTGGTTGATTGGGATATGTTACATACACGAGGGGCTCAGTCATTTTTTTTTCTTTCTCATAAGCATGCGTGTGATGTGGTTTTCGTCTTTTTCGCTCATCGTTCATCACCAACACATGGGCCGGTCCCCTTTTTCCTGGCGCAATTCAGCTCGTGGATGGGTTGGGACGAGCACGGCGCATCACAGCGCATCACAGCGCATCACAGCACATCACAGCGCGACGCAGCGCTACGCATGACGCAGGCAGCAGGTGGCTGGTGGTAGGTGGTTGTGGCTTGGGCTGGGGCTGCGCAAGATAGATGGATGAGGAAGATAGACGGGGAAGGGGTGGGTA